AAATATCTGCGCCCCGCGTCGACATTTGTGGGCTATACGACGTCACCGCGACGCTGACGCGCAGACCGCTCATAAATAAGAGTCCCTTTGTATGTTATCTAAGCAATAGGTGCCTCCCTTAGACACCCGGAGCACCAAAGGAGTTACGAGTGATTTGCCGGCCTTATGGGGATGAGGTTTTCGGATGTTTTAGGACTGGGAACGGATGAGGAAAGGGCAAAGAGCCTCCAGTTACTCACACGGCGAAACACAACGCTGTGGATGTTTCACGCCGGTTTTCTTTGAGGCTGTGGTATCACTCCTGTTGAGTCTACCCATTCGAGTTGAAGCTTGGCTCTCAATTGACTGTTTTCGCTTTTGAAGTAAAGTGGATTAAATTTCACAATAGTAAAGACCATGCCTAATGTCCTCTTTGACGAGCGAGAGGCTAGCTAGACTAGCGCTTGCACCCGCAAGTCCCGCAACACTTAACTACCTATCGATATAATATACGTAGCGTCATATTTTAACTTTCCCACAATAAGAATGAAGAAGGCGTCAGTACCTATCTATTGACTGACGCGCTTTCAAAACGTACTTTGTATGGCTTCCCAAACACGTACCTAATAAGATAAACAGAACGCGTTATTGTTTTCTATAATCTATATTTAATTCAATAAAATAACTAACAATAAAAAAGAACTAAGTTAGTAAACCATATTATCTACTTTAACAAAATATTGTTTGTTTGGTTCCAACATTGTCTTTGGAACAACATTTGGGGCCAACATTGGCTCAACATAGTACATTAATAACTAAGCCCAGCAAACCGATCACAACGAGTTTGTTTAATTACGCACTGATATTAACATAAACGTGCAAATAGTTGTAATCTGACCTTTATTTTAAGACCATGTCCTTCACACTTCGACGGGTAGCTGCTTCCTACATCTAGAGCGAGCATTTCAACGTATGGCAGGTTAGAGATAGTCGATAAAACCGAAAATAAATGCAAAATCTAATTGATCTATCGACATTGATCCGGTGCATCACTAAAAACAAAGAGTAGAGCAAATCACACCTAGGTGTCAATTTTTATCGGAAGTAAAGTTAGTTAACGCACTAATTTCATATTATGACAAGCTTGGATAAAATACTGGTTAAAATTAAAATAACTTAATCGTGAGACCTTCTTTGGTTTGTTAAGAATAACGAAGGAAAACTGAAGATACTGAAGATGATCATCATGAATGTAATGAGATGAAACTGAAATAGAATACTTTTTGACACGTAGGCTTTGTTTCCCTTTACGCTTGGAATGTAGGTATGTGACGAAGTGACGAAGAGAGTCAAAAGATTTATAAAGAGGTTAACGCGTCCGCTTCTCATGCACGAGGGTGCGGGGTCCAAACCTATCAAGAACCAATGTCACTGTCACACTACATTGAGGGAAAAACATCGTGTGGAAACCTGGAATTATAATTTCTAATTGTAAATTTTAAATCGCCAATCCACCTTCAGCGAGCTTGGTGATAAATGCTTAGGTAAGCCCCTCCTCCGTGTGAGAAGAGGTCTTTGCTCAGCGAAAGCAGTGGGGCACTTATAAGGTTGATGATGTGTCCTTATAACAATGTAATGTTTCATTCAAAAACACTTATTGGTATATTGATAAAATGAGTAACTGCCGCGTTTTAATTGACAGGCTAAACAAAATTATGCAAAATCACCTTAACCCAGTTACCTAAAACACCGTATCCATAATAATAATAATTCGGACCTATTTACTAACATAAGTAGCTAGAAAAATAAAAATGGCCATTAATATTCTTTGCGTACACCATTTAGTCTATTTTTATAACAAGGCCAATGTTAAAATTATAAGTATTGCGAATATTATGTACATAAATAGATAGGTACCTACTAGAATATTTATTTTTGTGACCGAGGTAAAAAAACTTTGGTGCCTACATACTTAAACATTTTTCAGGAAAATTTCGCGTTACTGGGAACTCGGAACCTCGAAAGATTTCTGATTTTCAATCAGTCATTTTTGCTAAAAATAGTGACTTAATAAAATCGATCAATGAATTAAATCGAAAAGAACTACAGGCTCCGAATAAAGAGGTTAAGAATACCTCTGTGCCTTTTCAAATGTAATTTTTTTACTAATTCTTATTTTTTACTACATCTTCTTGCAACTTCTTGCTTGCTTCTTGCTCCGAAAGCTGATTTTAAACAAATAATCCAAGCTGATCAAACTACTGAACCGATCTCTGTGTGTGAAATTTGGTACAGATATAGTTTGGAACTCGAGAAAAGAAATAGGATAGTTTTTATACCAAAAATCTGCAGGAAGTCACTATTCCACGCGAACAGAGTAGCGGGCAAAAGCTAGCATTTCGTCAAGGAAATAGCTTAATGCAAATCAGTTAATTTACAAGAAACAATATTTCTCAATATCACGGCGAAGGGTCAGCTTATTGAATATTGATAGAAATAACGAAAATCAGAAGATACTAATGCAATCCTTAATAGTAACCTCAAGGTTAATTCTTGACATTTTGCTCGTTCACCGTAAAATAATTTCCAAGTAGCAGTATCTAAGTTATGATTTATCGAAATGTCGTTATGAAACAATATCCATGCTGTTTCAAGGACATGAAGTGTAGATCAACCGAAACAGACGGAATTTCGTACTTTTCTTTTTTGAATGCAAACTAACTACCGGAGTACCTGATGGCAAGCAATCGGCGCCGCCCAACGATACAGAGAGTTGCTCGTGCATTGCCGACCTATTAGTGGTAACGGGTATTTGGCTTTTAGGGATTGAAGGAGTGATGCGGAAGGGGAAGGATTGGTACTCCTGTAACCTCACTTACGCGGCGAAACACAACGCTGCGATTGTATCACGCCGGTTTTCTGCGATGCCGTGGTACCGCGGTTGTTTTAATTTTACCTATATGTATATCTCAAAGGTAAAGGTATAGTTAGGGTTCCTCATTAGGTATAATATATCATTAGGGGCCACCGACATTCCAAGCATAGTTAACCATCAGGTGATCAGTCTGGTGGAGGCCCTAGCTTCTCTTGCATGAGGGGGGGAGAGGGTTCGGAACCTGAGAAGAAGGTAACAATGCGACATTTTTCGAGTGATATTTACTTTCCAAGTTCTGATGATGATGATGATGATTAGTGTTCAAACCTTTTCCGTGTGAGAAGAGACATTTGATCAGCAGTGGGCATTTATAGTCTGATTATGATGGTGATGACTCATTACGGGAAAATTTGAACGTTGTTATAAGAATTCGCAAGAGTGCAAGCGCAGAGCGGATTAAAATTAATTTGATGATAGCCCAATAAACCCCAATAAAAATCACTTTATGTATACACATCGTGACATATCGTAAATATCGTGAGAAGGTAATTTTAAGTACTTATATCTTAGGTTTCTCACATGATCGCGTTAGTCATCTCAAGTCAGAGAGATGTTTAACAAAGGAAATTCTGACTTGCACAATGAAAACCAGGAAATGGTCATGCAACAGAGTTTATAGTAGGTATGTTTTTTATTTAACAATAGAAATGTACCTATGTGGTAGAAAAACCGTACTTATGTGTCTACTTGTGATACATCCATCAATTTTTAATTGTGCATTTTAAATCCTTGATAAATTTCTATAGAGTTAAATTTGTCGTTCCGTTACACGTTACTAAATTGTTAGGTATATAAAGCTACCTAATTTCAGATCACTGAAAAAACAATCATAATATCTAATAATTAGACTTAACGGAACCAGATGTAAAAAATGTATCACACAAACAACATTTAAGCAAACTCAACGCCTTTGTTGACCATAAAAAAGGGGATAATATAACATCGTAGAACAGATTAAAATAAAAAAAAATGGAAAAAACATTTAAGTAATTTTGCAACCGATATACCTTTAAAAAAACATCCTAGGTAGGTACGTATCTAATCCGATACCCGATAACGGTATTATTTCGATAAGGTAACAACAAAGAAATGGCAGAACGATAGCAAATATTACACTTTGAAATTAAACCTTAATTCGTGTCATGAATTCACAAAATTGCTTGCGATCACCACATAATACACATACGACACTTTTGCATTGAGTCTAGATCACCGTAATTATTGTTGAGTTTAGTCTTTTGACTTTATGAACTAGGTACATGCTAAGGTTTACGTAAAATAAAAAAAAACAGTCATTTACAGAAAACAATAATAAAACGCAATAAATATAAATATGATATTAAGAATATAAATAAAATGTAGATCAAAAGTCTTTGTCTATATCAAATCCGTGTTCGTCTTTCTAAAGTAGAGTTAATAATATAAAAGGTTAATTCAAAAAAAGAATGAAAATACACCATCTCTTGTCAAGGATTGAGTCATTCAATTGGTTTGGCGAAGCGTAAAAATATTGAAATATTTTCGTTATATTGTATCTGTCCATGATCCTTGAAGACGGATAGACAATCCCACATACCTACTTAGATTTATCAGAAAATGGCAAAATTTTTATTTCCTCTAACAATAAATTATTTATGTTGCTTATAAACCTACTTATTTTATTTTAAAACTTACGTAGGTACAAGAACAAAAAATACCTCGCACCTTAATAAAAAAACTATTATTTTATGTCATGTAGGCATCGATCATTAATAAAGAACTGAAAGTAAAGAAGAAAGTTCTTTATTAGTGAACTGAAAGTGAAGAATAAAGTTCTTTATTAGTGATCGATGCATGTAGGTAAATTTAATATTAATATACTTATATCTACATTTTTATTGGATAATTAATTATAACTTTAAGTAAGAAGGTATAAAAGATATATCTCCGGTACCGATCCTTTGTTTATTCATTTTACACAAAGTGTTTTTATAGCGATTTTTAGAAATTTAAAGGCTTGATAAAAAATATTTTTAATTTATTATAATAATATGTAACTTTTAAAGGTATCATTTTGTTTATTTATAAATCACTATAATCACTTTACCTTTTCCTTTAATTCCATTTTTTTTATTTCACTGTTTTCACTTACTAAAATCACATTTTACCGCTAAAAATCATAGACATAATTGTTACGTTCAGAATTAAACGTTCATTTATTTATGATTGAACTTTTTTCACACAGATTAGGAATATTAATTTAAAAATATAAACACGATTGTGAATGTGACTCAGAAGGACAAATTGAATAAACGTAAGCCCTCTCTCGCGGCGTGAAACGCACTAAATTATTGTACTGCGCTGAATCAAAGCCAAATCCGTACATACATATACGTATTTGTTACCAACGTTTGGACCAATATTAATCGTCTCCTGACTTGAGTTTGTTGTTAGGAACAACAATTAAATTTCAAATTCTTAATTTTTATTTATCAACAAAGTATTTTTCTTTATTCATTTATGTTGTAGTAAATATTAGAACTCTGTTGTTGTGCGTACTACACACCATCAGGATCAACGTAAATAAGGTGGTTAAGATGAATGACTGCTAGTCATTGTAAAAGCATTGTTCCAAACCAGAAACAAATAAATTAGCAACAAGCCAACATTTTGCCATAAGTAAATCCTTAAAATAGTAAGTACCTAATAACGTATCGTCAAAACTAAGAAATTTATAATATAGGTAAATCTATTTTGTATAAAATATTTGTGAATTAATTTTAAAAATAAATTCGGTTTGATATACTCAAAGAAATGGGCAGGTGCAATAAAAATATTTTTATTCTTATAGTGTAGAGTTGTACACTAGGTGCTTAAAGTTTGACAACTAGTAGTTCATTTTGGTTCCTGTCATTCTGGTTGACATAATGCCGCTCATTTATTTTTTCGTCTTCATTTTTCAAATTCGAAACGTTCCTGTATGTTGAATTCGAATTTTATAGTTTCGACGTCTATAGAAATTGAAGATTTGGTTCATTGGATTTATTTACACAAGCAATAAGTCGCTCAAAGCGCTTAAGTGAAAACTGTCTCGAAGGTAAGTACTTACGAACTTATTTAGTAAATATTATTACTTTTTTGCGTTTTTTTTTTTTTTTTTTTTTTTAATCTTTATTTTATTTTTTATATTTGGGGTTTTTGTCCAATAAGGATATGCCAACCCCATCATACCTTGTAACAATATTGTCTCAATTAAAACTATGTAGGTATAATTAATAAGTACCAGAAAACCAACATCTTATATGCTTATATGTTGTCACTACCTACTGAGCGACCAATGCTAATCTACATAATTTTTTGGCAGCTTCAGATTTTGGGTTTGCCAGAATGCTTTGCACCAGGCCTATATCTAACCTGTTAAGTTTCAGTTCATACAACAATAAATCGCGCTCATCTTTATTCCGGACACATTCCATCAGCAAATGCTGCACATCTTCAATTATATTACACAATGAACAATTGGGAGAATTAGATTTTTTCATTAAGTAAGCAAACTTTGCCGACGGATAGTGTCCGGATCTAAGCCTAAGTGCTAGCTTAACATAATTTCTACTCCAGTTAATGCCATCGAACCAAGGGACACGAGGAAGTTCACCCTGTATGCTTTTGTACCAAACGCCTTTGTATCTAGATTTATTGTCAAATATTTGTTTCCAGTCATCAAAACATAATGCTTTAAATCTAGGTACTAATTCCCAATAGTCTGGTGCGTAGTCAACTATTCTACCATCTACTGTCGCCGACTTAGCTACACGGTCAGCTTCCTCGTTACCCTTCAAACCAATATGCGCTGGAACCCATTGCAATTTTATGTCTGTACCCCTATTATTCAAAATCATAATAGCTTTCAGGATGTCATAGGCTATCGTTGTACCTCTGCGACCAGAGGCGCAACGAGCCACATGTTGCAAGGCACTCTTACTATCAGAAAAAATAACAATTTTCGTCCATTGATGGATAATTCCGTAAGATAAGGCCTCATGTATTGCAATAAGTTCCAGCGTCATTATTGATACATCACTTTCAATTTTAAATCCTACTTCATGTTGTAAGGTTTTATCATAGAATCCAGCTCCTCGACTCATGTTACTTTTAGACCCGTCGGTAAATATTTTATGCCACCCAGCATAGTACTCGTTTAATTCGACAATAACATTGTTAATTAAAATATTGGGGTCGTAAAGGGTTTTAGAATACTGAATACTATTAAGATTTACACAAATTACATTTCTAATATCAATCCCTGTAACCCATACGTCTAAATTAAACATACTAAGAATACGAACAGAATTAATATTATGTTCACAGACATTTCTATATGTTTTCACAAGCAGAGGTTTTCTTTTGTTATCCCAATACCTTGTATTACAAAGAGTAGTCAACTCTAAAATATTATCTACGGTTACATTATTTGTCCATGAAGTTATTTTCAAACTATATTTATATGCTAAGTATTGCCTTCTCAAATATAACGGTATTATATTTAATTCACTCTCCATTACATGAATTGGCGAGCTTTTAATAAAACCTCCTATTATTCTTAAAGCCTGGTTTTGCAACTTATCTAGCTTTACAGTATGGGTCTTAGCACTAGAATCGTAAATAAAACAGCCATAATCCATTCTACTCCTAATTAACGCAATATACAGTCTACGCATATGTATTGTATGTACTCCGAAAGAGCTGCCAGCAAGTACTTTAAGAATATTTAATAGTTTTGAACATTTTTTGATGATTTCATTTATATGTTTGCCCCAAAGTAGACTTTTATCCAACCATATACCTAAGTATTTTGTGCATTCCGAGAATCTTAAATTACATCTATATATTTTAAGTGTGGGTAATACTCTTCTGCGACCCCTGCTAAAAACACAATAATTTGATTTGGTAGGAGATAAATCTAAGCCCAATTCACTCAATAAGCCAACTATGGAATCGAGAGCACTTTGCATGTACCTTTCACACTCAAAGATATTCTTGTCCCTAATGTACAGCACATAATCGTCTGCATATTGCGACAAGACTACATTAAGTGGAAATTGGCCTATGCGACAGGTTATTAAATTAAAAAGTAAAGGAGACAGGGGATCTCCTTGAGCTAAGCCTCTATTGGTCCATCTGGTAGGTATTGAGTCATTATTATTATTTAATTTAATTTTTAACCGTCGTTCACTTAAAAATAACCATAAATATTTACAAAACTTTGATCCTATGTTTAGTCGGTCCAACATATTTATGGCCACATCAACACATACATTATTATAGGCATTTTCAATGTCAAGAAAACATGCCAATGTTGGAATGTTTTTCGAAAATCCTACTTGCACGTATGTAACCAAACGGGTAATTGCGTCCAAACAGGAGTGAGATTTTCTGAAACCAACAGTATGAGGTGAAAGGATGCTTTTCTTCTCTGTGTACCATTCCAAGCGTTTAAACAACATTAAGTGTAAAGTCTTACAAATACATGATATTAAAGATATAGGTCGGAGCTTCATATCGGGGCTATTATTATTGGGTTTAGGTATAGGAATTATTTGGATATCTCTCCATTGATGTGGTACAGTACCTGAACTGAAAATTTTGTTATAAATGTTAAGTAAAAATAATTTAGCTACGTCAGGTAAGTTAAAAAGCATCGAATATGAAATCGCATCCTCGCCCGGTGCAGAATCTTTTTTTTTGAGACAACATTCTAGCTCCTGTATAGTGAAATTGCACTCTAAACTTTCATTAACTGAAGTAAAAGTGGGCATAGAATTTAAAACATAGTCGGGAGTAAGTGAATAGAGCAATTCTTTTTGTTTATCAGGAGGTGGATAGTTTTTTGTTTCCCTATGTCCTTTAATCCATCTCATACGACGCCACATCTCCTGTGCAGACACTCCTTGATCTATGGAATTGCAGAAATTTTGAAAACCTATTGACCTGGCTTTACTTATTAATTTCTGTGCTTCTTTTGTTTTTTCTTCTAGTATACTTAAATTATCTGGCGTAGGGTTACGTCGAAATTGTGACAGAGCGAGTCTTCTCTGTGCCACTACTCCTGACAATTCCACATTCCAGTAGCTTTTTGGTTTAAATTTGTCAGTAGGTTTAAAGCAGCACTTAATGTATGGGATGTGTTTATCTCCCGCGTAATTAATTTGATTTATAAAAAAATTATACATCTCTTGGACATTGTTATTGTTATGATTGTAAGAAAGGAAGCTGTTTAACAATGTTTTACGATATTCTACCCAGTTAGCTTTTTTATAATTTCGTTTTTTTGTTGTGCTAAAACTATTTATAATATTAATTGACATTTTAATAATTAGGTGATCACTACCAATATTTTCGTTTAACACTTGCCAGTGAAATTTAATCGCGATATCAGAAGACACAAATGTAATATCCGGGGACGTTTGTTGCAAATCACCATTAACTAGTTTAACTCGCGTAGACATTCCATTATTAAGATAAACGAATGAATGATCTAGGGCTGAATCCATGATTTGCATACCTCTTGTATCAGATTTTACCGACCAGTTGGTGTGATGTCCATTAAAATCTCCAGCTATTAGGGCTGATTTTGTAAAAGCTGCAAAAATTTCATCCCAGTGAGATTGTTGAGTGTGAACAGAGGAAGGGCAATAAACGCTTACAACATATTCTAAATCTTTGCAATTCACTAATTTAACACTTACAATTTCTATTCCCGAATTAGAAGTATACACTGGATTTAAACAAGATTGAATTGATTTATGAACAAAAATTGAAACTCCCCCATAAGAGTCAGCCCTGTCTTTTCTGTATATATTATAACCGCTAATACTAAGGTGACTTTCATCATCAAGCCATGTCTCACTAAGAATAGCTATATGTATATTTTCTTGATATAAAAGCTCCCTAAAAGATATTAATTTTGGCCGTAGACTTTGTGCATTCCATTGCAGTATATTTATCTGTATATTATCATGAACGTTATTACCCATTTATAAAATTAACCATTTTTTCAATAACATCTCCTTTAGAAAACATAGATAGTATTACCTTCAAAATTTCCTCCCAAATCATTCTTAAAACTGAAATAATTTTAGCCTCTAATTTGTCCTCAGACATCAAAATACCCTTCATCTTTAATATTAGTTTAGTAAATTCAAATCTATACCGTAATTGTTCATCTTGTTGATTACCCTTTTCTACCTCTTCTTTCTGCGACGCTCCACTCTCTGTCTCCACCACCTGTTCCGCTTCAAATTGAGTTGTTTCAATTCTCTGTTTGGTCTTCAAAGGTTTTTTATTTTTAGCCGTTTCTTTACTACTTCTGGTTTCCAGTGCTATCTCGCCAGACTGTTCCATTGAATTTGTATTGAATACCCTTGCTTCTCGTTGGACTGGCGTCTTTGAGACTACATCACTATAAGTTCTCATTCCTCTTACTATACTTGTAAACAAAGTTGGACTATGTGAACTTTGGGACAAGTTCGTAGTCTTTTCGCGATTCTCAATTAATGATTGAAGAGCTCTTCGGTAGGGTATTTGTTCCTTGCTCATAATTAATCTGATTTGCTTTTCTTTAAGATATAAGGGACATGTTTTATCTAGAACAATATGGGGACCTTTACAATTTAAACACTTCAATTCTTTTGTATCGCAGTTTTCATGGCTGCCTCCACATTTAGGACATAACTTCTTTTTTGTTGGACAATACTTTAATACATGTCCAAATTGCCAACATCCTGAACATTGAGTCACCGGGAACACGTATGCGTCAACTTTAAAGCGACAATCGTACGCGTATACGTGTGTTGGTAAGGTGTTTCCCTCAAAACAAATCCTTACAGTTTCACTGTCGACCCATTTACCGTCTGCGTTCAGTCTTTTCAGTCGACTAATAGAAATAATTTTAGACTCACTTTCTAATAATTTCTGTAATTCATTTTCATTCATATCCATGTCTACTCCTTTTACAATTCCGTAACATAATGACAATTCATTTACCTTCTGGCACCTAAAACCCATATCCTTAAATTTTTGACAGCTTAGTAAATTATTGGCCTCTTCTTCTTTGTTAAACTGTAGCAGTACTTTGTTAAAACTTTTATATTTGATTCTGCTGATTCCTTTAATATTCTCCATTCTAAGAAGTTTAGCCAAAGCCATTTGTTTTGGTAAACTTTCCATTGAAGTAATACAAACTTCGTAGGTATTAATGTCTTCTATTTGTTCATTTTGATTTTTATTTCGATCTACCCTCTTGTTGGGTAGAAATTCTGAGGAATCACTTCGATTAAATTTCTTGGGTTTTCTCTTCTCAACAGTAATAAAGTCATCTTCTGCACTATAATCATCTTCTCTCTCTTTTCTTTTCATCACACTACTTCTTCCTTCTTCTTGCGAATTTTCTTCATTAACACTATTAATTTGTATGTGTTCATATTCTTGTTGACTGTTAACTATTACTTCTGAATCGCTTGTGTCTTCACCATCATCGATAATTTCCTCCATTGCAATGGAGCACGTAAGTACGAGGTACAAACTATTAAATCACTCGGCAGGAACAACAACACGCGACCGCTTCGCGCGTGAATCACCGGGCGAAATGATTTTTTTTTTTTTTTTTTTTTTTTGCGTTACAAAGGAAGATAATCATGATAACCTTATCCAAATTCAAATTTGGTCAAAATCCTACTAATTTATTGCCTAACACTAACTTCTAATTTAGCAAATATTTAATTTACCAAACCCTAAAAAGTCAATCAATAAATTTTTGAATTATTGTGTTATTAGAACCTACCACGTTTCGAAGTGTGCCTTTCCTTTTTACTTTGAAAAAAAAATGAGGGCGTATTTTATTGTAACAAATTGGTTATGGTATAATTGTAAGGATTCAGTGCTGAATTGTGGTTTCTAAATTGAATGGCTATTTACCTATAATAGAAATTATGAAAAAAAAATTTCATTGCAATTAAAACTAGAAAGATGTTCATTGAGTTTTGTAAAAGATGGACAGCACACCTTTACAAAATTGTAATTTTATCTAATGTACCTAGATAAAAAGCTTCTACCAAGATACCTAGGTAGGTACTAATCTTGTTAGTTAGAAGTTCGTTGTAGGCAAAAATTGCGCCAAATTCTTTCTTTGACAGTGCCATCTATTTTCTGAATCAGTTTTTAACATAACTCAGGTGTCGCCATCTACGATTAAAATTATGTACAAATAATCAAAACATAAATACTTGCCAACAGATAGCGCTAGTGACACGTTTCTCGTTGTAAAGCAGCGTTCACATAACCTACGTAGGTAAGTACCTACCTAGCTAGTCATCTTCATGCCGTGCGCCGAATTCATGCCAGTTCATTTTCATATTTCGATTGGTGCTACCTAAATAAATATCCATGTAAAAATAGCCTTTCAGGTGCTAGCCTTTTGATTAGGTAGATAGGTATATGGTACTTAAGTATGTACCTACTTGGAAATTCATAGATCACATAAGATCTGAATTGACGTAGGTAGGTATCTAGGTATTTACCTATATTAGGAAACTATAGGTACATAGTAGGTAAATGAGTACCTACCTAATTTCGGGGGGATTTCATGAGAAGTTGGTTGGTCCTTGTAATTTATTTATCCAGGAGGAACAAAATTGATATCCTGAACTAAATGCACCTACTATATAACCACTATGAACACGGCTCAATGAATTGCGTTGATCGAGACATGCGCCATATTTATTTTTATAGCGCTCTATCTTTAACGTCATCAAAATTGGTAGGTACTGAAAATTTAGAATTATTCCAGAATTGAGTCCGTTACATATCGTGGGGCAAATAAATAAGCTTAAAAACAAAATAACTTTTTACTTAAAATCGGTTGTATTTACATTTCGTCCATTGTAGAAAATCAATAGTGTTCAACATCACAAATAAATAAAAATCGTACTAAGGTATTCACATAAGTCGTACATAGTACAAATATGCGACAGCTCATTCTTACCACAAAAAATGAAAAGGCGGGACAATAAGATTTACTCATAAGATAATTTTATTGATTTCCATGTCAATTTTTTCTAGTGAAAACATCTTTGCTCCCTTTGGTATTCAATCGCGAATGGAACAATTAATTAGCTAAATGCTTTTCATTACACATCGACGAGTCCATGCCGGGCCGGGTGCTTAAAATCATAAGTCATTGTGCAACTAGATGTAGGCACACCGACGCCCTGCGATAGACTGAACGGAGTGAAAACGGATTCAACAAGAAGTATCAAAAAACGCTCATGTGACGGTCGGCGTCTAGACGGGTGGTACGAATACATCACTGGCGAGTCGGCGTCGAGCTCGAGCAGCGATGTATAGCGCACAACGGGTGATTTTCCACGCGAGAGAGCGCGTCGCCGCGTCGTGGTGCGGGGCGTGCGGAGCGGGCGCGGAGCGGCGGAGCGCCGCCGGCAAATCGAACGAGGCCACGCGCGGCCGCCCCGCCCCGCCCGTGGCGTCCTTTCATAAAAAATGACGTACATCCTACATACTAAATCACTTTAACCTAGGAATCTCTTATTCCACACCGTGAGACACTGGAGTACCGAGCTGAAGGTTCTATCCTAATTAACAGTTATGGACAAAAAATACAGGCCGGTTTGATATATTTTTGTTATTCGCTATCGCGCCGTGGCGACCGTCGCGCTCTCTTTATCGGTCGTTCAGAGAGCGGGCGGCCGGCGCGCGATGGGCGCGAGATAATGGCAAAATTGTGATGTTTTTCTAGTAAACTGACGTGTGGAATAGGAACGCGTTTCGTACAGCTACGAAAGACGACCTAAGGTAACGCTTCCTCGTCCTAACTCGGTAGCCATGGACGGCACCCATCCGTACAGTACAGGATTCTATCGCTAAATGACTAATTTCCTAAGTTTTATTTCGTTATCATACTTTATCACTCGATCCAAAATGCGATCGAGTCGAACGAGGAAACGATTGTGTAATCGGAACGCGGCATTTGATATTGTGTATAAAAGAAAACTATTAACCTGAATGCAACGTTCACACTATGTTACATTACTGATTATAAAAATCACAGGCTTCACTTATGCTAAATATGTACACACAAACTCTCATCGACAACAAGAAAATGAAGAATTGAGCTTTGTGACTTATAGCTTATTTACTATAACGCGCCAAATCTGGCTTAATTCTATATTTTCATGGATAGGTTCCTATAGCATAGAAAAATATCACAACTTCACCATTCAACGGGCTCACAGGTAGACCTAGAATACAGAGCGGATTTCACTTAGAATAAAGTTTACTTCCGAAAAACACATTTGTACATTTCATGACAAAATTCAACAGCATTCTACTAAGTCTTAATTAATTACATACTCGACAACGAGCAGAAAAAGTAAAGATACAGCTTTCAGTACCAAACTTAAATATTGTAAAAAAAAATGAAAATCTGCATTGAATTTGACTTAATTAATTACATTTTTGTCATTTAAATAAACTGCACCCGTTTTAGGTGGGAGCGATGTCGGCCCCGCGTGTTCCCAACTGTTGTTAGTGTCCTGTAGTTGGGGCTGTCGCTGTGTGTGGACAGTTGAGGCGAAGCGAGGCCGCGCCAGTCAGGGGCGTCACGAGCACTAAACACATCACTGTGACATTGTCCATAAAGAGGCTCGAGGCGTATTACGCATCCTCCTCCTCCTCCTCACCAAGCAACTCTTCTTCTACTTCTTCATCTGTAACAACAAACACGGTTTATTAGAGTCACGCACGCGTCGCCACTATTTCAATGTATTCCTAATTTACATTTCACATGTAGTGTCTGCTTAATGACGGTTGAGTCAGGACCTCAATTTCATTTACGTAACTAAAACTCTTATTTTGATTCAATATCATTGTAATATACTTTATTGAATTTCGAAGATGATCGCTTAGATTATTGATAACCTCACCGGCACGTGTATGTTTATATGAGTGGAGTGTTTATAATAGTATTCTAAGAAACATAATACAATACAAGAAAGGTCAATGTAGTGATTTATTCGATTCAAATAACATACCCTCGCCCTCGAGATCGTCCTCTTCTCCCTCCCCGATAATTTCTTCATCATCTTCGCCTTCTACTTCTTCGTCGTCATCTTCTTCACCCTCGCCTAAGTCTTCCTCTTCGCTGTGTGGTTCATCTTCACCACCTCCGCCATTTTCCTCCTTTCGCGCCTTTTTCGCTTCCGTTGTTTTCTCCTATAAACACATTGTATTATTGGCGGGAACTATGTTTTCTTATTACCTTTCTAGGTGCTATATACAATAATATGCGGTGTGCCTTGGCGTACTCAAGATCAAACAAGTAATAACTGGCCATTAGCCAGCATAATTTCAATAATGAATGCACTAAGAGATCTGTTTACGGATGATTTTGTGAGAAAACGATGCAAGTTACCTGCATCATAATGAGACGCAGGTGACAAAGATTGGTAACGATAAAGAAGCGTGGGTCATTAGTTGTGTGGGGGAAAGAGCGACGTCGAGCGGGGCCGGCGTCATACGGCCCTTTTTCCCTTGGCAAAATTGAGCGGAACGCGGTCACCGCGCATACCTAGCTAGCCGTTCATAAAGCGACGCCATATACAAGAAACAGTACAAAACCGTCAAAACACGTTGATACAAAACCTCGGAGCGTCGTTAATTAACATGCACGTTATAGATGGTTGTAGTACTTACAAATTTATAATAAAGATAACCTATTCAATTTTAGGTTTGAACAAGCCGCAAACGCCATGCGTCCTCGTGCACGCACGATATTATGAGTGAAAAGGACAGAAGATATAAAGCATACCCGATTTTAGAGAATCGGTGAAATATCCTGATTTCCCGCTAACTGGTGTAATTCATGAATGTGCACATGACTATCTACTATGAAACAAGTGCTAATAGAACAAAGGATACATAGCTACATAATGTACACCTACATGCAAAATAATGCCGGGTCATTGACTACTTTCGGTATAAAAGCCGAAATAAAGTAATAGTCGTGAAAATGGTTGAAGTGCGGTTGAGTCATGTCAGACTTGAATATTGCATTGAATAATAATAATACGTATAGAGAAGATAACACGACATGTATTTGCGCGGCGGTTGTGACAGTCCACCCCGACTCAAACACTGACATTCGCGCCGGCCATGTTACCCATCTATCTAGCGTCATGCTACGATGAACGCAAGCCCTAAGAAAGTCTAAAATAACTATTTTCCCGCAATATGATCGATAGTAAACTACGATTGCGCCTACAACACCTATGTCGACAATTTTCTATAACAACTACATCAATGAGGAGAGCGTACGTTCCCGCGCCATGTTTTTTTTTCCGCCAAGGTCATGCCTCCGTATCGAAAACGAGTAAACAAAAGCTAAAAAATGAGTGCCTCGCGAATATTATGTGCTTCAACTAATATTCATTTATGTGTTACATCAGAGAGCATCATGATTTTGACTCATCGATTTCCCCACACGCGTTAAAATGCAGAACTAGACAGAAATGACATCCAAAAATACGCCGGTAAGAGTCAGCATCGTTCTCGTGCCTACACACATAGATCACTATAAACCACGTGGAATGATGCACAAGAACAATATAGATAAAGAAATCTAGTGTAATGCTACCTTTATAATAGCGTTCAATAAAATGGCGAGCGATTATAACGAATACATTTGTTTGACATGTGCACTCACCTCTGCTGCCCTTTTGGCTCCTTTTAGGTCACTTTTGGCGTCACCCTTCTTCTCATCACCGACCTTGTCGACGGCCACTTCACTGTTATTTTCATTGGTGCTCATGATTGTTCTGATTTTGGTGTTAATTACTAGAATTAGTAAGTTAAGTTGTACGGCTGCCCGGATCCGACGCGCGACTGACTGAGCGAGTGAGTAAGCGGGGCCAGATGAGTTTGAAAACGAAGATGGCGCGGGCTTCTGCACGCCTCGACGCTGATTGGTCCAAAACGTCCGCCATTAACAAGCAATGTCTAGCATGTGGGTAAAAATGTTGAATTATATTTTGGTTAATATGCAATCGAGCTACCAAATATGTAATCATATCGGTGTTAAAACTAATTTGGGTCTTATATTCAATGTTATTTTAGCGCCTAATGACTTTAATCTAGAAAAATATATAAAAATAAGATCGCGTCGGCTTGAGTTAGTTCCAAATTTTAACGCAACGTGGCGCTTTACTGTATCATAGGAAAGCGGGAAAGTAAAAAGTTCATTGTTTTAAAATATTACGGTACTGTTAGTAGGTATAACTTAATTTCCGTCAACAACATTCTAAAAAAATGATGTTTATAAATTGCGACAAATCTAATGACGATAGGTACTGTTATCAGTTATTATGAAAAGCTCTTTAATTGCCCTAAGTCATTGATAATCTTAATTTTAAACTCATTCGACATGCATTAGTTTTAAATATATTTTATTACCACATGTTCATAAAAAACAAACTTTTGCAAAAATAAATTGCAACCATAGGGTAATTTTGCCAAATAAACAAAAGTTATCACGTTGCATTGTAGTCCGTAGTCACTTAGACAGAAATTGCCGCCATATTGGAATTCTGATTAAATTGATAAGGCACCCAAAGCTGTTATTGAAATTTATTTATGTAGTGTGTGATTATTATTACCTACTTAATTGAGAAAATAATCAAAGACATTATTCAAAATCATCATTTATTTACACATTGGGACTAAACCTTACATTTTACTCCACTCACATTGGGAGACGGTAGCTAACGATAAATAAAATACACTCAACTAAAATAATAGAATCATATGACCTAGATGAGCGGTGGCAAACCAAGTATAGAAAAAGTTATAATGTGTAATATTTTACACATAACGGTTGTTCTATGTATGTAGGTATTTACAATTATCCGCAACAATCCAACCTCTTACATAAACAAACAACTATAATTGTATATCTACAAACAAAATCAAGTTGATTTTTGTTAAAATCAACACTGAAATTGCCATGTTTAACAAAATAATAATAAGTCGATATTGACCCCTATAAAGTTTATTGAAATATAGTAAGTAATTTTTACAAAATAAGAAAACAGAATAACAGGAAAATAACAATTATAAGGTAAATAAGTGTTTAGTTCTGGTCTATAAAATGGTTTTAGGTAGCTATATTTTTTTTTAAAGGGGTCTGTTTTGAATTGTTCGAGACAATTTCTTACAATCATATTTTTTCTACAGATGAAACTAATATAGTGGATAAATGTAAAATAGGAGGGAAGAAGAAAAGTACTTACTATTGTCGTAACAATACATTTCGACGATAGCGTGGTATTTTACGTTTCACCATTAACAGTATTTTTTTGCAATCTGTATTTCTATTGTAAAAAGAAAAAACCGTAAGCTGCTATAAACTAAGGATTTTATGTATTTATTTTACTCTAAAAATATTAAAGTTACATTAGAGATTGAGTACAGGGTAAAATAATCGGAAATACAAGGCGACTGTCTTCATAGCAAGGGCAACTGTCTTCTTTCTACAAAAATATTAGGTAGGTACAAAGAAAGAAATGTAGATAAATCAGATATCCTAGCGTGGGTAATTTCTACCGCGCTAGATTGACAAACTAAACAATCTAGAATATCCATTTTCATTAAAAAATACCACGACTTTATGATCTTCAACTTCAAAACTTTAAAGGAATATAAAATAAGTATTGATTGTTACATTTTTTTGTATCACTCTTATTCCGCCTAATTATTTCAATCAACTATTAATTATGTTAACTAGCACATCTTTTCAAAACTTATTACAAACAACATATCCTCTAATTTATAAATCAAATCAGTATATCACAGGCATATACACAGTAATGTAATATAAAAACTATTTTACCGTTTACAAATTTCAAAGCTACCAAACTATAACACTTGTGGTTTTTGTTTTAATCATAAAAGTTGTTTTCAAAAGTACCTAGCTTAGATAAGGCATTAATAAATTTAACTCCCATGTGGTTAGTGAATAATTAGGTAATATTCAAAAAGCTAATTTCTTTCGCTTTAACCAGATAAAATGGTCATGTATAGATTTTTTTCTTGAATTTGAATTACGAACATGTCTCCTTTACGAGACTATGTGTCATTTGTTTAATATTGAGAACTGTATTATTAAGTTACTATAGTTTCTTAACTTGTAATTATATAAAACTGTGGTAAGTATTTAATTCTCATTACACTAGTGTCTTAAAACTTTCACATAGACGTTAAATTAAGGAGTCCAAAGTTTTCTTTAGGGACATATTTTATTATATACACTATGTATGGTGTATACATGTCTGAAGTCCGTAACGGTAAACAAGCTAACACAGACTAAATCGAGTACATAGTACAGGTCATTTGTAAATAGATATTTTAAATACAAATCATGACTAATACGCCAGTAGTAGTTGCGTCAGCGTATCGTCCCGTAATACGTGCTGAGATTACACATGACCTTTATGCAATCAACCATACAGCCAGTATGCAAATATTATTGTTCCTGACAACTTTTTTGGAGCGAAATTCAAATAGTTTCCCGCGTTTCGTCTGTTGGATATATAAATTTATAAAATCGGTCGTTTTACTATATTGGGTGTTTATAAACAACTAAATATTATAATATCTAGCTAATAATAATAAAGACACTTTTCACAACGGGTTTATTAGCTGTGTCGTATCGTAAATACGAAATCCGGATGCCGCTAATCCGGTAGCCATTTTGTTTGTATACTAACTGCTACTAGGTCAATGATATTAATAATATTAAAGATAATATTTATAAATAGCATTTTATCATTGTCGTTAATATTTCAAAAACCACAAGCGTCTCAACAACTAATGTTTACATTGTGTTTGGCATTACAATATTTAAATAAAAAGTGAATGAAATATGTTAGATAACAAACTAATTCCTAGTTACACAAATTTGTTAAGTCTAGATTTAAATGCAGCGTGTGTGATTTTACATGAACAAAAAATAAAGGTAAGACCAGACTAAGCACCCCACGCTGATCCATCGCGTGTTTTCGTGTCGTCCGTCGTATATTAATGATAGTATATGCACCTGTCACCTGATAGTAACAGGTGTATTGCCTTTAATAGCTTAAAACGTGTTAAAATTTACAAAATAAACAATGCTGCAAAGAGCATCACTCGTTACATATTACAAATCGCCTAAATATCAAGAAATTATTGAGCTCTCATCGCTTCTCGATTGGCTGGACAGTTTGTTCTTATTCAGCTTATAGTTTGACGTATGGTTCTTCCATGAAAATGTTTGTATAATAACGATCGTTAAGTAATAAACTTTAACGTCAAATCTAAGAACAAAATTTTCAAAAAAGAATTTGAAACATGTCCATCAAAAGAAAAACGACATTTAACTTTAATTTCCGACATAACAGACAACAAATGTATAAAAACAAAATAAGTTTTAACTTTAAAAGAATTATATTTATTTTAATAATGGAAAACTGATTTAGTTACACAACGCAATCTTATCTCAACTAGAAACATGGCTTCCTAAATACTATTCTTATAGTAGAGCATATTCCGCTTCTGGCACAAACAGTAGGTTTCTTGACCCTCCACCTTGACATAGTAAGCTTACGTTACTAACCAATCAATGAAATTTAACAAAAAAAACAAAATCTCGGATACTAGAAGTTTGCTGCGTTTAAATCTATTCATAACGGTCGTCGCTGAGTCTTTAGAAGGTGGTGCATACGTTTCCATCGAATTGCTGCGTTTAAATCTATTCATAACGGTCGTCGCTGAGTCTTTAGAAGGTGGTGCATACGTTTCCATCGAATTCTATGTTCCCCGACATGGGCGGTTGGCTGTCATCGTCGGAAAATAGTCTGTTCTCTCCTCTCCAAGCACTATATAGTGTAGGTAAAAAATCACTGAACAGCGGACTTCTTTGTTGTGTCATGCCGTTTTTTCGTACTACCTGTAATTTTAAAAACAAGGTTTAGAGATTTCGGAATAAGTTGAATGTATTTTTTTTTTTTTTGAGACAAAATTAACAAGCTGGTACTTGTATTTGTAAATTTTAGGAGGGAATTTTAAAGGACTTTCAGGATCATTACCGGTACTTTGTTAGCGGTTAGGAATTTAAGGAATTGGGGGGTAAGGGAGGAGTAGGATTGAGCTTCTGCTTACATGACTGACAAAACACAACGTTGTGGTTATTCCACACCGTGTGATACCACTCCGATCGATCCAATCCATCGTGCCGAAGCACGGCTATACCACACTTCTATAAATATATTTCGAATCTCTCATACCGATTAATACATAATTCTTCATCTATACCAAAGCTGCGGACCTCTTTGTTTATTTTTTAAAACAAAAAAGGCCTCAGCACTCACACTGTTAAGCTACTATCAAAGAAGCCGTGAACAGCGCTAGTACTTATTCTTTATTATTATAAACAATTCTAGGGGAGATTAAAATCGATGTTAGAACAAAACCTGGTACCTAGACTTAGTTTTAAAGACTTAGAACATAACCAGCAACTAGGTGGTTGCCACATCACAAAAAAAATTTAAACTTTAAAAAACAAAAATAAATTACTTATTTCATATTAAATAAAGAAAAAATATTATGACGTCAAAACTTTGTATTTCATACAAAAATCAAGTCGTTTATTACGTTTCGAAAAAAACAATTTAAATAATTTACGACGACACTGTGACTTGATACTAGTAGAGCGAGAAAGTCGTTATTTTCAATAAAAATTGTATGTATTTAATAGTACTATTAAAAAAGGTAACTATTGCAAAAGTATCAAGTCTAGTTCAGATAACGGCATTGCAATAATATACAAGTCACTCCTTCCTCGATAAATGTTATCAGAAGCAACTATCTTATCACTTGATACAGTTAACTCTTACAGCTTTTGTTAGATGATAACAAACTGACGACTTAGGCGGCGCGCTCGTCACCATCTTGATACAAAATATAATGATATTACGAAATTTTACTGAACATGTTGTGAAAGTTTAAGAGGTTACCTTATGTTTATTTTTCTTTCGTGCAAAGGTACTAAAAACTGGAGAAAAGCGCACGATAGTTGTATGTATTAAAACTAAAATAAAGTATTAAGTCAATCAATGAGTCTTTACAGATTTTAATCTTGATAGTTTTCTTTATAAAAATTAATTTTTGTATACCTCTATGAAAACCTCTTTAGGATTTCAATTTTGCAAGTTTGATACTTAAGTCAGATATATTTAAAAAAACACTCACAATTAATACCTAATTAACAATCTGCCTTCCAAATGTAGGTACAGTTACAAATTCACATCTTTGTCCCATACTGTTGCCAGAAGCCAAATAGCATGGATCTTAGGGCTGTTTTTTTTCAAACTTCAGATAAATGTTATCTGAGGAATAAAATTGTTGCTGTCACTGTCTTATACAAATATTTTGACGCGACAGAATCATAATTATTCCGCGCATAACTTTTATCTAACCATTGAAAAAACAGCCCGTAGTAGTCTTGACGACGTGATTTCCTATACTGTGGAGTAGAACCATAGATATATTCTAGTAGCCTTTCTCAGCAAAAAGACTATCCATAACAAAAAATATTGTACGATTCGAACTAGCAGTTTTGAAGATTATCGCAATCAAACAACACTCTACAGATTTTTTATAAACTAGAATATACCTAACCTTTCTTTCATTACAAATCCATTTCAGGATAGTGGCAGCTCGAGAAACATTTTACTTTTTTGGAAGTCCACTAGAAAAAGAGTGCTAGTGCATGACATAAATATGGATAAAAATCCGACTTGAAGTGGAAACTATTTTTTTTTTTTTTGTAAATGCACTGTAAACTCCGTTTCATTTGGGAAGTAAACGGTAACTTTTGGTATTTGAAGTATGAACTAGAATGCATTTACATTCTTCATCATGCTTGATTTATTGAAGACTAGCTACTCTGGCGCGGTTTCGCCCGCTGCTCAGCTCCATTTAATCGTAGCGTGATGTTTTATAGCCTATAGCACTCAGGAACATTGTAGATATCTATCAGTGAAAGAATTTTGACAATCCGACGTGTCCGTTACCCAGGCCAGATGTTGTCGACAATGGTCATTTGAATCTTATAGATAATTAGTTGTGCGGCTTCTGTAATTGTTGCGCACATTTTTAAATTTGTTGCGCTTATAGTTTTTTAATTATTTCACAAAAACATTTCCTGCTGGCGTAACGTTACCACAGCCAGACCTTTTTCTTTCTAATGGGAATATTTAAATAAATATTAGCTATAAAATTAGTTGTCTAGATAAAGTAAATGTTGTGCCTTATTTTGTATTTGTTCCTTCTTCGGTTGCGAAGTTATTCGAGATTTTGCTGCGGTAACGTTTTTGGTTTTGCTAGATCTTTGAAATGGTTAAGCGGATTCTTATCATATTTTGTACACGACTTCCGAGGACTTAGTTTAAATTTGTTGTGCAATAACAAAACCAAAATAATGCATATTTTAAAGGTTTTTTCATTAAATAGAAAAACACTTAAATTGGCCCCAGCACTCTCAATAAGAAGTCTAAAGACTTACTTTAAACGTAATTTTAAAGCTTGTAACTGCCTTCAAATGTATGTGAAGTTTCATTAGTATCCCGTAAGTATTTAACAAGTTATGATGATATTCAGTTCTTCACGAGCACGGTCTTAATGCACGCGGTGTTATTTGGCCACTGGATTGGATATATGAACTGAATGTTATGTCAATAATTAGTTGTTTAGATCAGTTGTATATCAGTAAAATTTCAGCTCAATACATTGGATAATTAATGAGATAATACTATGAAAGTCATTAGGAAGTGAATGACCGTGGTAAGCCGACCAAGTTTAGGTGGTTACGAAAAAGCGAAAACGCAGAACATTGTACTATCTTTTGAAATGTTTAGTATAATACACCTTACAATTTTGGTACCGACGCGTACACTGTTAAATACCTATATAATAATAATATAAAAGAAAACATTATCTTCCAGTTCCACAAAATTATCAAAAATCACCGCTTAAGAGCATGCCGTTCGGTAGGACGCAGGAGGAGTGGGGTGAAGGGGTAATACATTGTTTGCATCACGCACTCAGTCTTACCAGAAGGTTACTTTTGTAACCTTTTAGATGATTTTTGAACTGCATTTTGAAATAGAAATGACAAGGACGGGTGATGTTTAATCGGTTGCTAAGCAACACAAGTTTTTATAAGTAAAGGAGTAAAAGTTCAATTGAAATGATTAATTTACCTTTCAATAAAAAATCTTGAATAATCATGTAGTTTTTTTTTAAACTTTTGTACATGTCTGTACTAAATTTAAAACACTATCCTACATATTTTAGAAGGTACCATAATGTTCTGCGTTTTCGCTTTTTCGTAACCACCTTAACTTGGTCGGCTTACCACGGTCATTCACTTCCTAATGACTTTCATAGTATTATCTCATTAATTATCCAATGTATTGAGCTGAAATTTTACTGATATACAACTGATCTAAACAACTAATTATTGACATAACATTCAGTTCATATATCCAATCCAGTGGCCAAATAACACCGCGTGCATTAAGACCGTGCTCGTGAAGAACTGAATATCATCATAACTTGTTAAATACTTACGGGATACTAATGAAACTTCACATACATTTGAAGGCAGTTACAAGCTTTAAAATTACGTTTAAAGTAAGTCTTTAGACTTCTTATTGAGAGTGCTGGGGCCAATTTAAGTGTTTTTCTATTTAATGAAAAAACCTTTAAAATATGCATTATTTTGGTTTTGTTATTGCACAACAAATTTAAACTAAGTCCTCGGAAGTCGTGTACAAAATATGATAAGAATCCGCTTAACCATTTCAAAGATCTAGCAAAACCAAAAACGTTACCGCAGCAAAATCTCGAATAACTTCGCAACCGAAGAAAGAACAAATACAAAATAAGGCACAACATTTACTTTATCTAGACAACTAATTTTATAGCTAATATTTATTTAAATATTCCCATTAGAAAGAAAAAGGTCTGGCTGTGGTAACGTTACGCCAGCAGGAAATGTTTTTGTGAAATAATTAAAAAACTATAAGCGCAACAAATTTAAAAATGTGCGCAACAATTACAGAAGCCGCACAACTAATTATCTATAAGATTCAAATGACCATTGTCGACAACATCTGGCCTGGGTAACGGACACCAATCCGACCATCGGTTTCAAATATTACTCCCCCTACATACAAACTTACAAATTTTAGATCCTTATAATATTAACATAGATTACGACTTGGCCACGTGAGGTAACTGAGAAAAGCTATACAACAATCCAAATAATAAATAATTCATATATATGAAAACTAGCCAAGAAAGACCTTAAATTTGATACGTTTATGTGAAAAAGTTTTTGATTTATGAGGGGGTCAACAGCGGCTCGAAATGGTTCGTGTAACACACACGGGGTAGCTCGCCAGTTCTGTTTCTTGAACTTGGCTTGATCTAGATTTTAATAAGATTCTATTACAATTTAGAATACCAAAAATCACATGATTCTCATTTTGTATAAGCCATCAAATACCTGTATCGGTCCGCGCAATACTACAAACCGGCGCCTTTAATAACAAAACCCGCATAGCACACAAACAAAAGTTACAATTTTACAAAAGGTAACATTCATAGCTGTCTTTTGTATTTCTCCTTTCGTCCATTCTCTGTCTAAACAAGTGAAACAATCTTTTTTTTTCTTCATAAACATTAGCTATTATGGTTTTAGTCGTACAAATGGGTGCAAATGTTACCGACCACATTTTCTCTAGAGTTTTTACCTGAGATATACACGATTTAAAAAGCAGACTTTCCCTAGGTACCCACCACATTTCATACGGTCATGTCCACTGCCTTGTCCACACAAAAATGTAGATTTCTTTCATAATTCCACTATTGCTGTTCCAAAGATACATATTGACGCCAAAAGAAACAAAAGACGAATGAAATTGTAATTTCCACACCTATAGAAATCATTATTTATTTTGGTGATTGTGATGTGTTGGTAAGGTTGGTATTAAGACGGGTTACAGGTGCGCAAACGAACAAATTTATCACCTGATGATAAGCAATCGGCACCATGAACACAACGCAACTTTTTGTAGCTCTTAGGGACGTGAGAATTGAGGATGGGTTGGGAAGGATAGGCAAAACACGACGACGCTAATATTATTTCACGACGGTATTCTATGAGGCCTTGTTGTCATCGTGACAGAATGTTTTAAGTTTCGCTGTGACATGTATGTTTATATTTGTAAGTGCACCCATACATGGCACAGGAGACAATCGTAGTGTAAGGTGCAGTTGAAATTGTACAATAGGAAATAAAGCAAGCCGTCAATAGTATCAAATCTGTGTGGTCCCCCATTAGGATGTTCTCCTGTGTCGTGGATGTTTGCAAACTGTGCAACATGTTCAAGAACATTCTATTAATAATGAAAGGTGTTTGGTATGTAGGTAGTGGGCCATTTCACTCATAAGCAACTACAATAAATGATTGATAAGTTGCTTGAAAATATCTTAATACATACTAGGATGGAATGAATGAAATATGAACGGTCCACTGAATAAAGATGAATGTCCTTTTATTTTCGTTTTATAAGGTAATGAACCTTGAAAGCGCCGAAAAAAAACTCAAGACTTGGAGATATAAAATACTTTTATTCAAATTAAACTTAAAATAAACTTAAAGGGGTGTAGATACAACGAAACTTTTAATAACATATTTTTTACCCGTTAATATAATAAATCTACCATGCAATGATTACATTTAAATTTTATATCCCTTACACTAATTAATAATTAGAAAATATATTTTAGCTGCGTTATCTTAAGACCGTGACAGTGTGACGTAACGCCTCTCTAATCAACATGTCATTTTGACGTTTGACAGTTGTGACATAAAATAATTCGCACGCAATGTTGTTAGAGGAGCGAAGCGTCGCTGTGACACCATGACAAAAATGAGCGTCCCGACGGCAAAAACATAAAAATAATTTTGAAATTTAAAATTAATTTTAATATAAGATTATTTTAAATTTTAATTAATTTAGCCAATGTATTTCATGCATTACTAATCTACGTAAGAATATATTTTTATTAAAAATCATCTACACCCCTGTTTATAATTAAAGTGCAGTCTTGTTTATGAGATTTACGACAACAGTGATGAATGTCCACAACATTGGTTTCAGTCTTTATGACATCCAAATAAATAAAGATTAAAAATAAAATCCAAACGCTATTGCCGAAATGTTCAACAATGGTGTACACAAAAATGTAACACCTTTTTCTTAGATTATGTTATCAGTCTCATGTTGTAAGTATAAAATCAACAATCAGCCTTTCTTTTCAAAAGAAATATAATGGTTTCTATAAATAGGTACAAAGTAGCTCTTACACACGTGAATATTCGGTAACGAAACTAGATGAGGTCGGCATTTCTTATCTTACTACACCGAGAAAAAATTACCCTAAAAAGACTTTCTGAGATTTAAAACTCGAAATAATCAGGCATTAAAAATGGTTTAAATCAAATAGTCAGTCATTTATCCCAACAAAAGTACCTGGTTATCATTTATAACCAGGTACTTTTGAATGTAAAAATAAAATAATTGTCTGTCAGTCTGTTCGTCAGTGAAGCTAGGTAGCATTTTGAGACACGGTAACTTAATAAATAAACGAATGACAATAATATGAATAGGAATGATGATTATAGTTTTTTATATCCGTCTAGTATTTTGAAACAGACACACATTTTCCCTTTACGGAATCAAACACTTTCGTCAGTATTGATTGAAATCAATACTGTCTGAAATATCCTGTGACGTCACGATTTCGTACGTTCTATACTGAACAGTGACGTAGCTTTACTGTAAGCCTCCTAAACTTCGTATACTTATGTACTTTTTAATTTTGCCGTATAACATTATATTACTCAAAATTTGTTTCATTTGAGTAATATTATGATGTTATACGGCAAAATTGAAAAGTACATAATATTTCTTCATTTAACTTGTAACTGATAGATTTTCCTACAAGACATCATGGTAATCATGATCATCATCCTTATAACTTGGACGTTCATCATTATTGCAGTGGACCCTTCATATTGTGAGGTACTATGAGTGAGAGATCATATGTTTCTATGTATTAAAATATGCGATGTTTTGTTCAGCTTACTCATCTCGCCAGGATTCGTAAGGTTGAATCGGGTGAGGTGATGAAGTACGTGAAAGATTGGGATTATCAGACAGAGTCGAGTCAAAATACAAAGGCAAAAAATTGCTTACTTTTTCTATGCCATCATATGTAGGGTCGTATTGACTTTTAGGCATCCAAATCTTAATATCCTTGTCGAGCCCGCTTGTCGCCAGCACTGGACATTTTGGGTGAGATTCTACGCAATTAACCTGAAATTTAAAATATTAGATTTCGATTATCGAGGCATATAATTGTGGCAACATACATAACGTTGAGTGTCGACTTGTACTTGAAGATCATTGTGTGTGCAATATTTACGGATTCAAAGTTCTACTTAGGGCCATATTTTTAAATAAATGACGTAATTATAGGCAATTTTCTTCGATATATTTGCTTCCAAATTTCCCATGTTATAACATAGAACTAAAAATTAATTAAAATACAATAACATCGCACATTAGCTGCTCACATCTTCAAGTAATAATAATAATTTGTTCAGAAAATTTAAACTTCTGAACACATACGAAATGACTCCATATGTACAGAATCAGTTAAACTACCTAAGCACTAAACTAAGACTAGACAACCCGGGTCAATAACCCTTAGAACAATAACTGTCTGAAAGAGGCAACAATGACGTGAAAATTGGCTCATACAAAAAATATTTGCATGGAACAATCACGGCGTCTTCCACAAATTGCCAATTACCATTTATATGTGATACAAATATGTATATCTAATTTATAATTCGTATTTTTCCTTTGGACATTATTCATATTTGGTACGTAGCTACTTCTAAACTTCCTAATCATTGTATCTCTTTTTCATCTTTTTTTTTCAGGGGAGAAAATCATTGTCTTCTTTCCCCTGGGTGAGGCGAGTTCCCTCGCGCCATACTCTTATTGACTAAAAACCACCCCCTTCCGTCTCCTTCTTTGAGCCGTATATCATTGTACTTTGCTATCACTTAACTGCCACTGCATGAGGCACAATATTTTTTTCCAACTCAAGCCTGCTGTTTATCTACAAATAATATAAACATTTTTCACAAATACTCACTACTCCATGAATGTCTCCGACCAGCCATTGTACGATAGACTCCGTCTTCTTGTCCCATATATAAATGTAGGAGCAATCAGACCCGGAAACCACGTATTCGCTCCTCGGTCCATAAAACGCTACGCCTTTAAATGTTGCACTGTTGCGATGACCACTGTAACGATGTGTGTAGCCCACAGTCTCGCGTTCACTTGTTGTCGTTCTAAAATAAGTCATTTTTATCAGTTAATTGAGTACAAAATAACATGTTAAAACGATAACAATAGATAAAGATAAATAAAGTCTAGTTTTCTTTAATGGGATGGGGAAACGAGTCAAAGTCACAATCATTTATTTCAATTACACCACAGTAGGCACTTTTGAACGTCAAGCAAAAAAAGGAAAAAAATATTTGAAGAGCTCTAACTTTAGACATGTCAGTCTGTCCGTCTGTCCTCTAGTGAAGCTATTTGCTCGTTCCAAAGTGAAGATTCCTATGGAGAAGAACGGGCAAGAAACTACATGGTTACTCTTTTTCAATCAGTTTTACAATTCATTTCTTTGTTACATCATTTAGTCGGTTCTGATATGTGAGAATAGTGTACTTAACACTAATGTTTAGGCAAAGAATCCGAAAAAGAAGTTAACCTCAAGGACAACATATTTAGACAGCCATGAGATGACCAGTCCCAATAGGCGGCGCCCGTTCACACATGACACGTACACCAGAACCGCCCAACTCAACTATATTATAGGGAATCGAGCGAACCAGTGCCCGTGCCACCGCCAATGAAACCTCTGAGTGAGCATGTCAGAGTAACGTATCGGCGCCGCCTACAGATACCCGCAACATCAAGAAGAGTTATAAATATGCTACTTAATATGGTATGTTCTTTTGGAGGTTGGGGATTTAATCATTGAATATTTGGGGATGGGGTAGTACGGATTGAGCTTCCGGTAAGCTCGCTCATACGGTGTAAAAACCGACGAAAGCGTTGTTGTGTAATGTGCCGAGTAAAAGTAGGTCGGCCAAAATATATTAGGGACTAAGATCAGTTTCTCAACATATTTGTGCATTTCGAATGCTATTCACCCATTCAGAGATCCAAGTCATTGTTATATTAACACCCGGTTTCCGAAAGGCCGATCAATGTTAAAATCAATTTAATTACGAATGTCAAGTCATCTGATTGGTTGACTGAATTATCAACAACCAATCAGATGACTTGACAAGAGATTTAACAGGAGATTAGTTAATTTTAGCGTTGACAAGCCTTTCAGAAACCGTGTGTAAGTATTGTAAGCATCACGCAAAAAGAAATTAAGTTAAATAAAATAAAAGTCAAAACTACTTACTTATCGAATACATCCTTCTTAACATCGAACAGGTAAATATCCTCGTCGTTGTAGGAGCCGAGAATTTCAGTTCCATTGTGGTTGTACACTGCGCAAGTTAGGTGCATCATCGAGAGCCGGACTTTTCTCCTTACCGTGCCCTGGAATAGTTTAGCCTTTGCTCATTAGACTGTCAATTAATCTATACTAATATTATAAAGCTGAAAGTTGAGAGTTTGTTTGTTTGCGCTAATGCTAATCTCCGGAAATATAGTTGGAATTGAACAATTATTTTTGTGTTTGTTAATCTATTTATCGAGGAAGGCTAGAAGCTATAAAAGCTCACAAATAAGTCAACAAGTGCGGCAGAGCCATGCTTCGGCATGAATGGGTCGGCTCGACCGGAGTAATACCACGGCCTCACAGAAAACCGGCGTGAAACAACCACAGCGTTGTGTTTTGCCGTGAGTGAGGTTACCGGAGACCCAATCCTTCCCCGCCCCCAATCCCTCATCAATCCCTAAATCTCCAAATCCCTAATCCCTAAAAGATCGGCAACGCACTCGTAACTCCTCCGTTGCGGGTGTCCATGGGATGGATTACTTACCATCAGGTTAGCCGTTTGCTCGTTTGCCGATCTATTACATAAAAAAATCACGCTATGATCTTTAGGAGCTGAGCAGCGAGTGAAACCGCGTGAGAGTAGCTTGTCTATACTAATATTATTAAGGGGTAAAATTTGTAAGCCTGTATGTAGGGAGTAATCTTTGGAACCGGTGGTCGGATTGCCAAAATTGTTTCACTGATAGATAGCTACAATGTCCCTGAGTGCTATAGGCTATAAAACATCACGCTACGATCAAATGAAGCCGAGCAGAGGGTGAAACCGCATGAGAGTAGCTAGTAATGCATAATGTGGGAGAGAGGCAAGCTTCGGCACGAATGGGTCGGAAACCGGAGTGAAACAACAACAGCGTTGTTTCGCAGTGTGACAAATCCCTCCCCCTCCCCCTAACCCTTCCCTATTCCTAAATATCCGACACCCTTATCCCAAAAAGGCCGGCAACGCACTAGTAACTCCTTTGGTGTTACGTTACCATCAGGTAATACGTCTGCTCGTTTGCTGACCTATCTCATAACAAAATACAGTTTCTGGAACGTAGCGTGGAATTTAGACTTAGCGGAATGTATCCTACACTAATACATATTACAAAGCTCAATTACTTAAATGCATTTCTGCGTGTGTAAGTTTGAATGAATAAACTTATAATCTATTGTGTGTCTTTCACCATTGGAGAGCTAGTATATCCTGAGTAACATAGGTCATAATTATCTTTAACATAATTTGTATATAAAATTTAATTTGTATAAGTAGTTCTCGCTACACATGAGAACGATTAGGTCGTTTTGGCTAATTTCGGTCTTAATTTTATTCGTGGGGAAAATTGGAAAAATTGCTAGTGAAATATTTTCTTTCTTCGCGACATTAAATATTTGACAAGGAAAAACTAACGAAGTTATAACTTTTCAGGCGGTACGGATTATAAGGTGGAATAACAATATTTCCCACAGCAGCAATGCGAGATAGTATTGCGTTTATAGATTACAATAGTAAATATAAATATAATTATTTGCCACTTTTTTTTCATACAATAAAGCTTATAAATTTCGTTATCATCATCATGTTTCCATCCACTACTGGACATAGGCCACTGAGCTCAATGCGCCGCTCTTCTCATCCAAACCACTGCCAGCCACTCTACAGTCTATCGTCAGTCCACCAAGCTGGAGGGCGCCCTACACTACGTTTGCCTAGACGTGGTCTCCACTGCAGAACACGACTACCCCAATGGTCATCGGTTCTTCGACAAATGTGACCTACACAATTTGCTTATCTGTTTGGCTATGTCCACAATTATAGTCAAAGTCAAAATCATTTATTCCAACTATGTAAACCATAAATAGGTACTTTTGAAACGAGTTCTCGGTCGGATCACCTAGTTTTGAATACGATCCATCAGACAAACTCCACATGTAACTCTTTCTATAGCTAACTACAGGACTTTAAATTGGAGGGTCAGTCGCACTGCCAGTGCCCACGTCTATACTCCATTGGTAAGAAGAAGACTGAAGACTTTTGTCTTCAGGCTTTGCGGTATTTGGTTGCGTTACTTGGTTTCCTCTCACTTTTTGAAGAACATAATGACGAAGCTCTTGCCCCAAGCCAAGCACCAGCTTTCCACCTGTTTTCAGGAGATCCGTCGTTATTCCATCTATCCATTTTATCAAGGGAATTTTCCATGGCTTATCTTTGGCTGATGTCTGACATCTCTTCGGTAAAGTGGAGGACAATTGTGGCTCCAAAATCCCCCGAATCTGAGTCTGGACGCGATGCTTTTGAAGTATACAATTCACCGTAGAGGCGCCGAACTTATAATTTGACTTGATTTATTAGTATAAAACCATATAGCAAAATGCCGCTTCACAGATAAAAAGAACAATTGTTTTCATTGACAAAGCGACATCTCCCGCGTAATTTGTTGCCCTTATTATGCATAATAGAGCTAGTGTTAACTTATATTCTGGGATACGAAATTTCGTCACTATTGTAATCTATAAACACAATACTAACTCCTATTAAGCCGTTGCAGACATTTTATCGTACCTTATATAAAAATTGGTATAATATAATTAATCGTTGTACCAAATTTCATTCAGTAACATTAAGCACTTTAAGCCTTAATAAGAAAATAAAGAACTAACATACAACCATGCATGGCCTCATAATTTTTCGATTTAAAATATTATGAAATCGCCATAGAATGAGGCCTTTGCCCAGATTTTTTCGATTCTAATAGGATTTTCCCGTGTCGTGGGTGCATTAATTATAAACATACAAAAACCATCACATACATATCACACCCAGAACAAAACGGGGGATCGAACCCACAACAAGTTACTTAACTATCATGCCATGCAGCCCAAGTTGGGCACTGGGCCTCACTGAAAACTGGCGTGAAACAACGACTGCCTTTGTCTTATGAGTGAGGTTACTGGGAGCCCAATACTTCCCCCATCCCCGGTTTCCGATCACCCAATCCCAAAATTCCCATCCCCTAAAAGACTAATAACGCACTTGTATCTCCTCAAGTCTGGCAGATGTCCACGGGCGGCGCTGATTGCTTACCACCAGTGGATCCGTGGGCCCGTTCTTCGGCGTAAGCTACAAAAAAAATAATTCCATTATGGATCTTCAATCAAAAAACATCTTCATTTTGCAATACAAGATAACATGTTAGTACTTGAATACTAGTCAAATTCCTAGTACCTACAGTTTTTTAACAAAATTGACAGTTTTCTGTTATTTTTTTACGGCATAATGTATTGCGACTTCATATTTTACGTGAAATAGCATACATGAATCGGAAATCGAAGCTCAACTCTAAGTAATTATTATTTTCATTTTACTTAATTATTATATCATGTGATAGTTATTTTACTTACAGAGTTCTCACTGAATGAGGCTGGGCAGAAGTATCCGATTGGTTTGGTGCACTTGCGTCGGTCGTAAAGTCTCACATATTTGTCTCGACCGGCTACTATAAGCTCTCTGGGCTCTAACGGGTGGCCACATACACTGTATAGGGGGATCACCACTGAACGATCCTTAACTTGGAATAATCTACAAATAGAAAATTGGTAAATTAGAACTATAATTACAATAAAACAAAACTTTCAATTTTAAGTGTGGGAGAGTCGTGCTTTGACACGAATGGGTCGGCTCGACCGGAGTGATACCACCGCCGCCTCACAACGGGAAACAACCACAGCGTTGTTTGCGATTACCGGATATTTACGTATGGTAACCCTACTCGCAACACCAAAGGAGTTACGAGTGCATTGTCAGCCTTTTGGGAATAAGGGTTTCGGATATTTAAGGATTGGGAGGAATGGGGGAGAGGGAGGGATTGAGTATTCGGTAACCTCACTGACACGGCGAAACAACGCTGTGGTTGTTTCACGCGGGTTTTCTGTGAGGCCGTGGTATCAGTCCGGTTGAGCCGAGCCATTGGTGCCGAAGCTTGGCTCTCCCACAGTAGAAGTGTAGCAAGTTACCTGGAGGGATGTTCAGTCCTGACGTCGCACTGCATGACGAGCCCGTCCTCCCCGGCGGAGACGACGAGGTGCGGCTCGTACGGCGTCACGTGCAGCTTGTGCGCCGCGCGAGAGTGCGAGCACAGCTTGCGCCGCGCCGCCTGCGGGCCTCCGCTCGGGTGCGACTGCAGGAGACGGACCTGGCAACGCAAACGAAACGATTTCTTTAACACATACATATAACTGCACTTTTACACGCTTGTCGAAACTTTGCAAACGTCCACAAACACAAGCGTGCACTCAACAGCTTGCAAGAGCTTGTCGGAAACCCGGATCCAGGCAGGGAAAAAGATATTACCGGAAAAGGTCATTGAAAAGAATTATGTTATTGAAGATGATGGTCATCCTAGCATATTTCAGCTACATCGAACATTTTATCGTGTTGTGTTATTTTATGGGAAGCGCAACATAACTGTTGGAAGTGGTTGTTTAATGTGGTAGTGGACAAAGAGGTGGCTTTATTGTACCTTCGCTAAATACTTATACCCTTTTATTTTACACGCCCCCAGCCCAAGGCGAGAGAAGCCATTACATAACATTCTCACCCTTCAAACAAAAAAAAGGTCTATCAAGGTTTATCTAGTCATCTATGATACTCAGGGCAAAATGAGTAGACCAATTAGTTGCACTTACAGACAAATCTGGTATTTTAAATCCGCATCGCCCTTATTTTACGGAGTCCGGCAATACTCACATTGTTAAACTTAATCCCCGTATTACAAAACAGAGCAAAATAATAATGATCATGTCTTACCTGTCCATCTCTGGCACATGTTACAATATTCACTTGACTCTTAGCGTTAAGGTATAGGAACTTGCTTTGGAACACATTTGATTTGTGTCCCGTCTTTATTATGGTTAAGGGTTTGTTGCGGGCCCAGTCCCATAACACTACGTTTGTATCATCCGACCCTGAAGCTAGCATTTGACCTGGAAGGACGAAAAATAATAATATTTTAATCTATTTCATTCATCAGTACTCTGTTAGTGCCGAAGCCTTCGTGGCACGATGTTCGATTTGTAGACTAAAAGTGCATGAATTTAACAACTATTAATTTAACAACTATCTACAAGTCAGTGATAAGGCCTGTCCTGCTGTATGGGTCAGAATGTTGGGCTCTGAAAAAGACGGATGAAAAGCGATTGCATGTAGCAGAGATGAGAATGCTGAGATGGATGTGTGGTGTGACGAGAATGGATAAAGTGAGAAATGAGTATATTAGAGGAAGTTTGAAAGTGGCGCCAGTGACTGAAAAGTTGAAAGGGAACCGTTTGTCTTGGTATGGCCATGTGAAAAGGAGGGATGAAAAGCATGTAACAAAAAAAGTCATGAGTATAAATGTGGATGGATGGAGAGGGAGGGGGAGACCAAAGAAAATATGGATGGATTGTGTGAGAAGTGATATGGAAGACAGAGGAGTTAGCGATAGCGTGACGAGTGACAGGACAGAATGGAAGAAAAAAACATATTGCGCCGACCCCAAATAAAACGGGACAAGGGCAGGAAGATGATGATAACTAAAAACTTCAAACATCTGTCATGTTTACTCTCGTGACGTTTGCGGGAGAGATGGATCCCGGCTAGCAAAACTACTCAAAAAAGTTTCAATATGATTTCATTGTACTTGCAAACGCTATTATCGTTCTGATTACATTTCTAGAATCTATTACAAAACAATATGAAGTATTGATTGATTTGATTTTTCCAATTGCAACACACATGAAATTCGTTTCTGTCACATAAAAGTAAGCATGATAAAATCTCTTATTTGAATCAGTGGTCTTACCTTCAGGATGAAAGTTAATGCAATTAACACAGCCCCTGTGTTTATTGAGATTGTGTAGCTTTTTCAGTCTGTATACCGCGTGTAGGGATCCGTAGAACCTGCTCTCGAACACGGCGTGGTCTTGCGCGGTCTTGCCGCAGGGAAATGTCAGCCCCATCTCCCGGTTCATTATCTCTGTAACAAAAATCAAGAGAGTGATTAATCTATGTGTTGATGGATCGAAAAAAGAGGAGAAAGCTATCAATGTCAATTTGCACAATTCCTGAATTGTGCAATTTGCTGCTACCTCCATGGTAAGGTTTCTTCACAGGTACAGACTTAAGGTGTATAAATATGGAAGGATCGAGAGAGAGAGGCAATCAAATAAATTATGGATAGATTGTAGATATAATTTTAGAATTAAAAAAGATTTTTGTTAATTTAAGTGCAATATTGAGGGAAAAATATGTGCTGCTTGTAATTACTCTGGCAGATAACAAAAAAAAAACATAGCCCTTAAATGTTTGATTTAGTTCAAAGCCCATTTTTAATGTAATTTCAGAAAACTGAAGTCTTAAACTAGTCTCTGAAATCCTAATAAGCAAAAATAAAATTATATTTTTACACTTATAAGAAGGTACATACAAGATATGGTGGAACACTATGTATGAACAAGACACAGTAAAAATTACCTCTGAGCAGCAAATAGCTGTGTTTGGGTCTAGGCTTGAGTAAAACAGGAGGTATTGTGGCTTCACTTTCATCATTGCCCTCATTGTCTTCAGTCGGATTAGCAGCCTCATCATCAGTATCAGAGTCTCCAGATTGAATCCCCAAAATATTATCAGAAGCAAAACTCCCTGGACTATCTGACGAACTTGAAGAGCTGTCAAAAAAGGTTTTTTTCCAAATTATATTTTGCTATTGTAAACATATTACTATAGTAAATAATAATATATCACATATTATTCGGACTAAAAAATGCAACAGTGCAACTGCTAATTTTATTCTGTGTTTACATTTCTAATATGAGGATTTCTAGCTATACATTATAAAATTAAGATTATAGATTTTTGTTAAATGTCAAAAATAACTTAAACTTTCCATAAATTATGTATGAAACAGGATGCTGTAACATCATACCTGTTTTATATCAAATATGCTAATTTAACTAAAAAAGTATGATCGATTATTTATTATTATTTCATGGTTTCAAAAGTTAAAATAATTTCTTGATTGAACAAAAGAATTGTTGTCATGTCTTGTTTATTTTGATATCCTCCATCTGATATCATATGCTGTCTGTATTTTCTTCATGCCTAAACTACTGAACAGACATAGTTTGGAACTCTAGAAAGGACATAGGATAATTTAAATATCAAAAATCTTCAGCAAGCCACTATGCCACGCAAATGGGGTCACAGGCAAACCTAGTTTTTTTAATATATTGATAAAGCATATTATTATCTAAATAAGATAATAAACAATTCATTTTACAACATTTTATAAAATTATTACACAATATTTTTGTAATGGTCATGATAGGAAGTGGAAAAGAAATCTCATTCTCTCTTAGTTATGACTGAAATGGAAACTAATAAGGTTTTCTAAGTTTATCAGAATAAAATAGTTTTATTATATTTTAAGCCAACATTTGGCTTCTGATACCACAGACCACTTTAAATTTAACAAGTTAGACATTAAATCCAAAATTTGTTTAAAAGATTTACCATTGCTGTTGGGGTTATCTTCATCAATTATAGGGTTATCAAACAAGTCACAATATGTTTAAAATCAAAAATAATTTTAAACAATTTAAGTTGTAAGTTCTTGTAAAACATGATTTGTATGGATTGCAACTTAATTGTATTTATGTTAGGAATATGTACACACAAATTAATTACTCACCCACTGTGACTGTGGCAGCTCATATCAGACTCTGGAGTAAGGAAGTCTGCCAACCTCCTTATATCATGTTCACTTTCGGTTTCAGAGTTTGTATTAGTATTTGAAGTATCATTAGCCCCTGAAGGAGTCTCATCTACAGATAAATCATCAGAATCCCTGTCTGAGTCACTGTCGGAATCCCTACCGGGAGTCTTGCGTTTCCTGTAGTTTCTGCTCCACTTAGGACGTTTAATATTCAATAGGATCGCACGGACGTTACTGCTGGAAGGCGCTACGATCACCTCCTCGTTGGATGGGCCCTGCACCGGTGCTGGAGCACTCTCAGCACGCTCAGCGCGATCATCGCTACTGGTGCTCTCAGACTTATCCGCTGACACCCCACTGTCCACATTCTCGTCTTTACTCTGCGACACAACTAGAAAAAAACATCAAAATGGACTCCCGAGTTTTTACGTCATATTTTTATAGTTATAATGAAAGAATCTTTACCAGTTTCCTTGACACTATCTTGCGAACTTCCATCGTTAAGTTTTAGTTTTTTTCCTCCGGATTTGGAGCCTGTAGAGGAAGAAGGAATTTCGTCATCGCTCGAAGAATTATCTTCCATTGCTGCTGCTTACAATGAAAATGTTAATCTACAATGAACTTAAAACGAACTTCAAAAGGAATACTGTAACGCAATAGCACTCCAGCTTATTTATTGAAGAAATTTTCTAACATAAACTGAAGCTAATTATTTTGAGTATTAAATTAAATGGAGGATTTTTCCAAAATTTTTGTGTAGCGTTTTTGGCAACAAGAACAAGGACAAAAATAATGGTGTTACCAGTACTGAAAAACGTATTTATTTTGGGTTTTAATTATTATTATTACTTCTTATCAGATTTTTTGAAAGCATGAAAGTTGGGAATCAAATAAGATATATAATATATTACAGTATAATTATTATAGGTAAATATAATCAAAGCAACGATAAACTGTGTTTTTTAAAAACACGATGGATTGCACGAACTACTATTTACGTGTATGAGATTTTTTGTGTTTTCTAACAATGGACATGATGTCGCATTATCATCAAAAACAAATTCTGTTAAACAAAAGCTTTCCTCTAGAGAGAGAGAGTTTACTTTAAATTAACTATACTTTTGGAGCAGGATGAGAGTTCAGAGCTGCAGTATGTAGTTGCCTCATGCACACGTGCCTGTGTTTTAGAATTGAGTGTAGATTCTTTCACTCAGTAAAAAAACATATTCGTTTAAAATGTTTGACCATCGACTGCAGATTGTATTTAAAACAATAAAGTTTTATACTTAATAATCATGCCTATTTTAATTTCTATATTACCTTTTTACATCTTCATATTAGCTTGACTCTGGCGGAGTACAAAATATAATTAATAATAAAAACTCGGCTAGTTTCTAATGTAAACCTGTTTTTGAAACATTGCGTGGTTACGCATTTATAACGCAAAGAGTTCTCCTATATCTACATGTTTATTGTAGGTACTCATTGGGCCAGCGTTTTTTTTAGAATGGCAAGATCAATTGTTTATTCTTTCCGCTGTCATTTTCTATCATCTGTAACCTGTCATCTCTCTGATTGGCGCATGGAATTCAAAACGTGAGAAGTGCCGATGTGCGCATGTGCATTCTAAACTAATCATATCAAAAAGATTTCAAAGCACGATAGCCACGAGTGCAAATGAAACAGTTAAAAAATAATGCTATAAAAATAATATTTTCGTCGGTCTATGTCGCCTGTCAAAACTGTCAATGTGGTTGGCCGTATTGAAGTGAAAACAATATTCGTGTCGCATTTCAAACGCAACAAATAATATATTATACGCGAAATTACTTCAAGTGCAGTTTTAAAAGAAATTGTTATTTGCTCTTTTTAGCAATGGATACTCAAGGTGAATTACTATATTTCCTCGATCTACTAGATTTGGACGAGGAAGTTATCGATACCCCTTTGAAAATTCTTATGGGAAAAAATAAGCATTCTAATAAAAATTTACAAAATGCTATACAATTACTGAAATACAAACTGCTTATAAACATCCAAGAAGACATAGAATGTGAGAATAGCGAAGAGTTTGATTTCGTTGTTAAATTATTGAAGGACCTTTCGAGTGACAATATTGAATATGTTTGTCAAATTATTAACATAGTACTGTGCTTGAAACCGAGCGATGTAGTCAGTAAAGCGGAACATTTACTTCAACAAATATTGTCCAACATTGAGTTTCAGACAGAAACATCGAAAACCTCCTTTATTACCGAAGTAAATATGGACAAATTACTTAGTTTAAAAGTGGTTGATAGTATCCTGAATGCGACCATTAAATTTGGAGAGAAAATATCTCTACTGTTCTTAGAGACACCTTTAGAAAAGATTCTAGATTCAACAGATGAAGTACTGAAAGTATATTTTTTAACAAATATTGTGCCTGGTTTACTTCATGGGGTAGTTGGATATGATATACTGGACAGAATATGGGACCACATCCAATCTTTTAAAGGAGATAAAAAGGAAAATGCTTTAAAGGTACTCAGCTGCCTTTCCGATTACTACCTACCCACACCAGATGCAAAAGGAGATAGTCAATTTGTATCTGAAATTGTCCACCAATATAACTTCTGGGAAATTGTTCTTTTTGGCATGATGTCTGACAATGCTGCTATTAGAAAAATATCTGTGTACCTTACTAAAAAGGCCATAGACTCTATTATAGCTGCCAAAAAGGATGTCAAAGTTATATATTTAAACGAAGCCATATTCCAATGGAATAATGGTAATGCTAAAGCTCTGAAGACCATGTGGGACAACTTCTTCATCCTAATAGATAGTTTAGAAGAAAAACAGGGAAACATAGTATTGCCATCTCTAAAATTATTTGAAAGTGTCAACATTGGTGACTGGTGGCTGAATTCTGCCTTTAACATGGGTCTTAAACATGAAAATACTCAAGTTAGATTAAAATGTATAGAGTACAAACTTAGAACTAAAATAAGAAATGAAACAGAAGCTCAAATATTGCTTGAAGCCATTAATGATATTAATTTATTTGATAACAATATAATATATGAAGGCCTTAAGGCTAAGATAATGGAGTTACTATCAGATCCACAATCATTTACAGAAATATTTAAATCAATAACACAAGTAAAATGGTCACCAATACCACTGTTCCATTTGACTGATGTTTTAGCCAATTTAAAAACTGATGTTCCATTAATATCAGTTGATAAGGATTTAAAAATTACAGCAGAAATTTTGAAGATACCTTGTAATAATATTGTGTTACGAAGAGCATCACAAATTAATATTATACATTTTATCAAAAAATGCGTAAATGACTTGAATTGGAAAGACATTATAAAGATTTATCCTAATATTAATTTAAAACTACCTTACCAAGAAAATCCTTTCATTGAAATTGTAAAACAAGTCCCAATGATGAATGAAGATAAAGTTATGAACTTAAAAATTATGTCAGAAAATTACGCAAATGTAGATCTTATTTTGTTATACTTATTGACTCATGAAGAAGACTTAAACATGTTCCTTGAAATAATTCAATACAAACAGAAAAAAATACAAGAAGGCATTAATAGGCAATATGCTGATAAAAAGGATTATCTCAATGATGTTTTATTCTTAATGGATTTATCAAGCAAAGCTAATGAGAATTCTGCATTCACTAAAATTAATGAGGTGATCACAAGGCAAAATAAGACTTTATTGCTCTATGTACAAAGTCTGTTTACAAATGATGCATTTTTAAGAATGGAGGATATATCAAAATTGTGTAAATATCATGAATTAATTTTTAATGAGAAAGAGCTAGGAGATACATTGTTACAGCTGTATAAAACTGCCATTCTATTTCTGAAGTCCAACCCAGAGATAGACAAAGCAGTCCTAAGTTTATTTGTTATAAAATTGTTACACAGTAGTCCTGTGATGTTATCCAGTTATTTGCATGAAATACTTAATGTAAATAGTTTTATTAAAATAGTTTCAACTGTTCAATTCAAAGACGCACAAAACGAAAGTGTGGGTAGATCGAAAAATGTGTTTTATGAAAAATCTTGTGCAATAATATGCTTTTTAATTAAAGAAGACAATGATGTTGAATGTTGCTTAGATGAAGTGATAACTTACATCGAAAATGTTATCGAATGTGGAGGGTATGGGTGTCTGAAATGGATCCTGAAGACAGTCAACAAAATTATCAACAAACTTTCAAATGATAACACAAAGTTCAACTTAATTCAGTTTGTAAACCGAGTATGGACTGAAATTGAAGAGCTGAAGTCCAACAGTCAGTATTCACCATGCATTGAAGAGTTTATTGAATTGATAACTCAAGATTGTATTCTAAAAAATGCAATGTACAACAATGTGGTGGTAATTACATACTGTAATAAGATCATAGAATATGGACCTATAAAAACGAATCCGCTATTCTATTTGATAAGGAAATTAAATGGGAAGGATATAAAGGAGCATGGGCATTTGATATATGTCTTATGTGAGATATTACTCTACTGCCCTGTGCCTAGGAAGGATCAGAGGTAAATATACTAAAAACGTTTGTATCAATTCATGACTGTGAGAGATATTAAAAGTAATTTCTTTTACTCTTGTAACTGGTCAATGGCATTTCTCGATTTGGAGAGTTATTTAATTTTTAATTCAATATTATGAGCTCCGGACATGACTTGAAACTAGTCGAGTAAGCTCGTCAACTAGTGTTATATGTCTAAGAATATATTATGTCAGTCACATATTATGTCAAATTTTATGTGTTAACATATTATGTCATAATAATAACTTGTTGCATAAAACTCTACTGCTAAAGGTGATGTGTTTCTGGTTTCAGGATTTCAGATAACGTAACACTAGAAGTTCTACAAGACCCGAGATATCGCGTAAATAAAGAAAGGTCAGAAATCTTCAGTTAATTATTCAGTAGTTTATATCACTACTCAACTGATTTTTCTATATGAAACCGTGTTTTGTTTTTAGTATTGATGTCCACTTCAACTATGAAATCCAGTATCTAGCAATAGCTTCATTATGCAGTATAAATGACTTGAAAACTCTCCGAATGATCACCAATTTTACGACCATCCGCATCGACAGTTTATTTAAAAACAAACAGCGTTACCATGGCAACTCGCAACTTCACAGAGTTTTGCAAACTACCCTACAACATATCCTGTTGCTGGTGTTGAAAAATGGCGACTTGAAAAGTTTGTTTGATTGGAGTCTAGATATGTTTGTGAAGCTTCCTCATCAGCCAAGTGTTAGGATATGCTTTGAATGGTTCATTTCACTATATTTTTATGTTGAGGTGAGTTAGCCACAGCTTGATTAATCACTAGTCTAATATTCTAGTAAGGTCCAAGGTCAATTATGATCGTTTTAATTTATAAAACAACACTATGAACAAAGATAACCTCTTTTCTGTTCCAGAAAATCGACATTGGTGAGGAAATGCTTCAGATTATGAAATCAAGGCACGTGCCGTTGACTTCTCAGTTCTTTATATTATATTGGTTGTTAAAGCATAAAATATCGAACAACACATACAAAGAACTTGAATACAACTTCGTATTGGACTTTCTACTATCCCATACAATGGGCCAACTGTTCAACGTGAGACTGAACGCACAATATTTAGCTACAGTCCTATACACACTAGCTAATAAAACCACAAAATACGAATATACTATAAATATAATAGAGAAAACTTTCACGGAATGTAACACCGACAAGAACTATTTAAAACTTAAAAGTGATTATTTTACCACTGATTTTGATATTGTTGGCAACCTTACACCATACTTTATATATTATTTGCTGCCAAAATTATGTGAAATAGACTGTAATGAAAAGGTTGACATGCAGTTTGTTACTAATATCATCAAGGATATTAACGAGAGGATGGCCAGAGATGGTACTGGAGACTTTATAGACGAGTGGAAACATTGCAGAAAGGCTGATGATCAGTTTGTAGTTGTCCAACCGAACAAGGGAGCTGATGAAAGGAATTCTGGTGATGTAGAAGCGATGGGCACTATTCAGAAGAAATATGTTCCTTGGAGGAACATGAGCGATGTTAATGTTTATGATGTGGGAAAGAAGGTATGTTGTTCGTAGATAATTTTAGCTTTTTTCTTAAACATTGAAGCATAAGACGTCCGTCCTAGCAAAATATCTTTAAAGGTAGGGCAGGAATTGTGCAGACTGATCTGATGGTACGGAATAGGTGCCGCAATGGAGTTGGATACACGCAACACTGGAACTTGAAAAGTCCGTTGCCGTGAGAGAAGGAAAGAGCCAGTAGTGACCTCACTCACATAGCGAAAGACTAGATTCACGCCTATTTGCTGTGAACCTTACCGTGCTGTTGAGCCTTTTGTGTCAAAGTATGATTCTCCTACATTTGTCTCCGATTAGATTTCTAATTCGGTCGGTCCACTGACTGCTTATTAGACCAGTAGACTGGTCAGTTAGTAGACTGACCGAATAGATGAACTATATCATAGGTATATAGACTTTTATTTATACCTCATGTACAGTTTACTTTGCCATTACCTATTTCTGGAGATACACGCTTTATTTCGAAAGTCAGTCAAAATGCTTGACAAACATATATTAAAATAAAATGCTATTAAATTCCAGAGAGAAAGTCCAAGTCAATTAATTGTAGTGGCATCCTTGATCGATAAATTACCCAATTTGGGTGGAATGGCGCGTACCAGCGAAGTGTTTGGCGTACAGACGTACGTCGTGGACAGCTTGAGGCATCTGCAGGATAAGCAGTTTCAAGGTCTCAGGTATGCTCAGACTCAGGTGTGTTTATGAATATCTATCATAATCATCATCATCTATCTATATTTGACCATCATCTCCCCATTTCTGTCCATTGCTCAACATAGACCTTTCCAATATCGACTTAATGATTTCCAGTCCTCTTTACATCCAGCAACTGCCCTGCTAGCCAATTTGCTTGCTTGACGATGCATATTGACACTCACTTCTAAATCAAAGACTGCCTCATTAATCAAATTGTCGAGGTTTTAAGTTTTTGCCATTCTGGACAAATTATTATTGGGCCTTTTTTGAAAATTTCTTAGTTAGGTATAGCACGGAGTTTGGAAGTGGTAGGTATCTGTGTCCCCAAAATCAGGGGCGTTTAAAGTAGTGATATAGTGATGTTTCCAATCACCTGATAGTAAGCACTAACAATACTAGACCCAAAAATGCGTTGCTGGCCTCTTCGAGGTTGGAAAAATGGGCATTTGGGGTATATCTAAGGATTGTGATTGGCTTAATTACAGTAACCTATTTCGTAAATGTTATTATACACCTAGCTTCAAAGATGAACTATTTGTGGTTTAGTTGAAATAAATATTTTGACTTTGATTACTTACCTGAGGAATAATACATCTTAGCAATTTCGATTGCAAGCACAGCGATTGGAATCCGCTACTTTATGCTGCCGATACGTCTTTGCTGTAAAATGCTTAGTGAATTTTTGTCTTTTAGTGTGTCAGCAGAAAGATGGATTAACGTAGAAGAGGTTCGTCCTGGCCGTCCTCTCAAGGAATACTTGCTGAAGAAGAAAGAAGAAGGATATGCCGTGGTAGCTGCGGAACAGACCTCCAGCAGCTCCAAGCTGCAGACCTTCAAGTTTCCTAAGAAGACGTTATTGTTGCTTGGGTAAGAATTAGTTGATATTTTACAAAGTGTGGGAGAGCCATGCTTCTGCACGAATGGGTCGGCTCGACAGAAGTGATACCGCGGCCTCACAGAAAACCGGCGTGAAACAACCACAGAATTGCGTTTCGCCGTGTAATTGAGGTTACCGGAGGCCCAATCCTTCTCCGCCCCCAATCCTAAAATCTCCTAATCCCTAATCCCCAAAAGGTCGGCGACGGACTCGTAACTCCTCTGTTGTTGCGGGTGTCCATGGGCGGCGCTGATTGCTTAACATCAGGTAAACCGTCTGTTTGTTTGCCGTCAAATAAAAAAATGTGTTAGAGAAAACCGGTTCGGGAATCCAGGTTTTAGGAATGGAGGAACAGACAAACCCAAGTTATCTTACGCATACGTCTCATGGGGATAGACAGTTAACTGAAGAGCACTTACCACAAACTTTTTTTATCGTATTTTTCCATCGTCACTTTTCTTTGTAGCTACAAACTTGTGTAAGCAGTGTTTGAAGAAAACAACTTTCAAATTGCATAAATAAATGTTTATTTAATCCCGTTTAACTCAAGTCCATTCTATGTCTTTTGTTGACTTTAAATGCGTTGAATAAATTCGAGTGTCTTATTTGACTTCACCATTCTGCCAATTGGGTAGTATCCTAGGTCAAAAATAAATTTATTCGACGTTTCAATACAATAAAATATTGAAAAATAACTATGCTTTTATTCATCGATCAACCGACACACTGAATTTTAGATATTAAAAAAAAATAACTATTTGACGCCAAAAAACTATGACGTCATAACTCAGTTTTTCATACACATAGAAAAGTAGTTTTTGACATTTGGATAAAAGAATTGAATTTGACTAGTTGGAAATTACCGTATTCAATTCAAAATTAACCTTGTTTAACAACATATTATTTTCTTCTAGCCACGAGAAAGAAGGCGTACCCTGCGACTTACTGCCTCTAATGGACCACTGCGTCGAAATCCCGCAACAAGGCTACGTTAGATCGCTAAATGTGCACGTTACGGCAGCCATTTTTGTTTGGGAGTATGCTAGACAGAATGTTTTATAACCTGCACAGCAGAATGTTGAAGACATGTTGTCATTTGACTCTACATTTCCAGCGAAGTCTTCTGTGATCATGTATTATTTCTACAGGCTCAGACAAATAGCATAAATGCTCAAGTAGAAATTCTTTGTATGAGGTTCTGAGGAATTCTATACATTGAAAGTTATATATTTTTTTAAGTTTATACCATTTGTCCTAAGCAGTTTAAGCAATTACCAGTTTTTATACTTTTATATTTTATTAATGTTAATGTAAAATTGTAGATGGCCATTGCGATGCGCAATTTGAATTGTGTCGAAAAATAATTATGTTCACTTTAATTTTTTTTAATAAAGTTGTTTAAAACACAATTAACTATATGTAAGTTTTTGTACTTCATTTCCTTGATCTGTCTTATCTAAGATCTTGATAAATTCATTTTACTGAAGTTGGAACTCAATATCAGCGATGAAATGATGCATTCCTCTCAGGATCACCATGAATAATATAAATCAAACTATCAATACTTTTTAACATTATGGCAACTTTATTTCTCGTTGCTACTACAGAATAATTTAACAACTTTTGGTAATAGTGTAATCTTAATTGGCTTGGCGTCATACTCTTCTCTGTCTATGTCAATTATGGTGGAGCCAAAGTGTTCTTTAGGGAACAGCATCACACTTCGAGCGAGGATTGCATTCTTTATACTCTTGTCTCGGACTCTATCCCAGCCTTCAGACACAAAGTCTGTATAGTTGTAATTATTCTTCCCAATTCCAATACTTAAAGCTGGTGTCAATTGAGTATTCTGTAAGTTGGGAGTTACAATCCTAAAATCACTTGTTTTAAAACAAACTTCTTCAGTAGACTCACATTTACTGTTGATTAAATTTGCAGGATTATTGTCTTCAGCTAAAGTCGTTGAGGGCAAGAAGAATGCCCATTTCCTTTTAACTTGGGTTCGCTTTTTGATACAATTGCTGCATCCATCACAGGGAGGACTGTATTTTATCACACCTTTGCAGTCCCAGTTGAGAGATTGTTTGTATCCGTTGAAAACATATGCAGCATATTCTCTTAGTGAGCCATACAGCCAGTACTTGTGTTGCTTGGACAAAACATCTCTAAAAGCTCCCCACTCAAGTGAGCACAATGCATATATTGGCTTCCCAAATACTCCTTCATCTTCCTCTTCTTCAATTGGTTCTATTTTCATTGCATCTTTCCATACAGTATTGCCTTTTATTATAGCCATAGAAGCATCAATGAGTTGTTTCACACGAAGAACACCTTCCCCTTTTGGGAAAAGTGTGTTGCCAATGGTATTTGTCCTTCCGAGTGGAAGAATGCCAAGAGGGAAGCGGTTTGCATCATCATTTCTGCGTAAAAGTCCTGGAATAGTCAAATATTTCAATTACTTTGTGAACAGAATAAGAATTGCAAAAGTACATTTTTAAAATACAGTTCGATTTGGGGATGTAATTTTCTTTTTGTATTTATAGGGATGTTATACACATTAAATTGTTTATAACACATAATTAAAGGATTATTTTTTCAAGCAGAACTTTACCTGTTACACTTTCAGACAAAGTGCCATCTCCTCCTGCAATCACAATAGCCTGAGTTCCTCTCAATGTTTCAACTAGCTCCTTTGCATTTCCCTCACTGGATGTCTGTATAACATCGACCTGAAGCCCAGCCAAGTGGAGGAGTGGCTCACAGTACTTCTCAAAATCCTGCTTAGCCTTTCTCTTATTTGCAACAGGGTTCAGGATGACAGTCACGTGAATTGGATTCTCGTCTATAGAAATCATTCCGTCTCCATACTTTGCAGCCTCTTTACAAGCTGCTCTCATAAGTAAATTAATTCTGGAAATCAATTTAAATAATTACATTTCAAGATTTTTAAATATGTTAAGGTTAACTGTCGATAAAACACGAATGTAATATTGCAAAAGAACTTTTTTTGTTCGTTAAAGTGCATGTTTTTGTTATTATTTTGATAAATTTAAAAGGTAAAATTAAAAAAAAAAACTATCTCAGCTTACTCATATTTTTCTTTTACTGTCATCGCCCCATAGTAAAAAGCTATGGCCCCGAAAACCGACTTCTTCCAATTATTTCGAATAACTTTATTTAAATTAATAATTTTTGCCAGCATTTTTAATTAAAATCCATTTACTTTGGCTTTACAATTTGAGGTTAGTCAGCTGTTCCACTGACAAGTTATAAATGACACCATATAGATTAATAATGACATTATGACACTGTCGTTCAATCCAACCAAATGTAGTAAACAAAAAATTAATTGTGAAACTGATTGAAAAAGGAGTACCTACACATATAAATAACCATGGATTCTTGCTCGTTCTTCTACATAGGAATCCCTACTTTGGAACTAGCAAATACATAGCCTTCATTAGAGGACAGACTGACACACATAAAGCTACACTTTTTGATATTCTTTCGTTTCATGGGATAACAGTCCTGAAGCTTTGGAAGGCGTACGAGGGGCCGAAGCCCATGAGAGGCCCGTTGAACAGTTTTAATATAAATGTAATGGGACATCACCTACACCTTTTGATATTATTATTATTTTGTCTGTAGTCTATTTAAAATAAGTGATTTGACTTTGATTTTGTTTTAACTCTTCACCTGAGACTACTAAATGGCTCGACTTTTTTGTTATTATTTAGCCGGCCATCATTTCGCTTGGCGATGATTATTTTGATAACAATGGATTTGACCGTGCGGGTGCTCCATCAGTCTGGGTTGGGGATCAAGCGCAATAATGTACCACGGCCCCAACTTGTAGCAGGAGAAAGAACGCTATGCTTTTTAGTCACGAGTTTGATTCTTCCTCTCGCCCCAACCAGGGCTGTAAAAGATTCTTCGACGATTTGCTCACAAAAAAAACTTACTCCCTCGGATGGACTTGATAAACTGGATTATGACTACGATGGCAAGAAAAAAAAATAAGTGAGTAGGTGATGTAAGTTAGGATTAAAATATTAGAACTTTTATTTATTAGGTTTATTAGGCACACCAAGGTGCTTCCTTTAACAATGAGAAAAGTTTTTGCATTAAAAATGCAAAGTTAAAACTGAAGTAGGTACTGTTGATGATCTCGAATAATTAGCATTCATACACGAATAAGTGGTTTATTTAAAAAGAAATGGTGGCATGGTTTAAATGTAACTACCATTGAGATAGAAAATATATAGAGGCGCCGTGTTATTATAGAAGTATACATGCTTATACAAATATGAGTGAAATATGAAACAAACTATGAAATATAGTTTTTTCTCACTCTTTCTTAGGCAATAATTGTATTAGACAAAAGGGACAACAATATTTAAGTTGTTGCTTATTATGGCAACAAATCATTTTGACATTAGCAAAGTTGTAGGTAAGTGCCATGTCCGCCATCTTAAGCGCTCAGAGTACCTGAGTTTCATGGTAGTTGTGCTGTCAAACGGTTGTTTATGTTTTAAATTATTGCGGTTTTCCAGTAAATTACAAAGAACCATTTTTTTAAACTTCTAATATATATAGTGAAACAAAAATACAATATGCCTGCGTGTTGTATTGTGCAGTGTGGTGCAAAAAATAACGAAAATCAACCTCAATTGTTTTTGCATAGGTTAGTAAACAGTTTTCATCAAATATTACTTAGAATAATCCACATAGATAGAAAAAAATGTTACGGATACTTGAATCTATTGCCAAAGTATATATATCTACTTCTATTTCTGTCTGTGAGACAGTTTTAGTAAAAAATTGTTGTTTACAATAATATGTCAAAATGGCATAGTTACGTACCATTCCACAAAAGTATCGATATAATCTCCCATTTAAAATTCAAGATATATTATCCTAAATAATCTATTTTAGCAATGGATGTTTCCTCAGTTTTGTGTAAGGCTAAAGTAAGACGTCAATATTTTGGTATTGGTTTTAGTTACATAAGTAGAAGTTCAAATTATCATGTTTTATAATTATCCGGGCGCGATTGACAGAGCGGCGCTGGCGGCGATTCCAGTGGGACCACCAAGCTTAATAAGTGAGATACATACAGTAAGATTGACTTCACTACTTATCTATTTTGTGCTAACGTAGTTTCGAAGATATCATCGCTTAATCAGACGCACCGAAATTGTCCGCGAGCACTTCACAAATTCCCACAGGTTTTCCACATATATAAAGATAAACATTTAAGAAACACTATCTTTTTCAATTTCACCATTCCATTAAACGCTGTTCATAAACACAGTCCTATTTTTTTTTAAAGACGCTTTACGTAGAATTATATGAATACAAATTCGACTTGAGAAAATAATTAGCCAATCAAGAGACCAAGGTAACCCCGGGGTCCGGGCTCTAGCTAGGCCGACAGTAAAGTAGGAACAGGAGTTGATTTTAGTCAGTAACGGTCTGTCACGAAAAGGGCCGGAGATGACATTAGATGATTTCCCATAAAAAATACCGTTAATCAGCTGGCTAATTCCTAAAACTATACCTACGTAGAACTTATACTCAAATTGTATCGATACTTGTTAAATACTTAGTCGGCACAACCCTAGCAACGGCAGCCATCTTATGCGACATTTTGGATTGTAGGTATGCACCTTTTCTTCGTAGGTATTTCAAGTCCATATATTTCCTATGTCAATGGTAACTACCCACAATAATGTCAAAATTAAGAAGTCTTGTATTGTATATTCTTGGTAACCAATACACAGAATCAAAATAAAATTGACAAGCTTTTCCATAAAAAAGTTAAAACGTCTGTCTGTGGTTAAGATTGAAAGGAAATGAGAAAAAGAACTTTCTGTCCATGGCATACGGTACAGAATTTATTTAAAACAAAGAAGGTTTGGTTTTCAAGTTTTACCATAGAGTAGACTCAAATTGATTTGTCAAATAAATATCTAGGTATATTTTCATTTTGTGATGTGTTATATGATATTTATTATTTATTCAGTATTTCGTGATGAGTTCCGATAAAAAAGGAGTCGTCAAGTTATCTGACGGCTGGGTGCTTTGCACATCAAAATCAAATCCTGGTAGAAAGTATTATTTCAATAAGAGGACAGGTAAATCGTCATGGACCCAACCACAGGTGAATTTCGTATTTTTTCCCAACATTCTAACATTTTTGCTGGAGAACTGGTTTCTAGAATGCGTAGGGTTGATTTTAATATGCGTTTATTAATAATTTAGGGTACATATGCATGATTATATTGACCAATTGCTTTGTATATTTCAAGGCTACTGAAAAGTCTGATAGGAAACACAAAAACAAGAAAGAGAAAGTAAACAGAGAGAAGAACAAGAAGGAAGAAGCACAGAAGAATTTAAAGAGGAAAAGCGATGGCAATGAAAGTCAGGAATTGGAAAAGAAAAAGCTTAAAAAGGGTAAGTAAGGCATCATTATTTATTTACTAACAATATAAATGTTGTCATTGAATTCAATTGACAAGCGTAATACATACGAATTTCTTTACATTTTACATGATACATACTCATGGTCTACAATATAATAACGGTGAAACAATGTAATTGAGTTTTGATATTTAGTCCATTATGATAAAAAAACTGACTGACTGTGTAACAAAGTTAATACTTACTTGGTCTTGTATAATAGTTACTATGTATATCTTAATAATTTCAATTACATTTACAGTAGATGAATAACAATAAAGTAAAAAAATTAATAATTTGAAATGAAAATGATTCAAACAGTTATTAGATCACTGTTATGTAATATTTATAAGTATGTTTGGAATATTGAGGGTATTTGATATTGAGAATTTGAGATCATCTTTTTATTACTTTGTTATTGGTATTGTAATCATTGATAGTTAGTTAATTATTTATTAGGAATACATTTATTCAGGTTATCAATACTAATGAAATTACTCTCATAGCTTGATGCTTGAATAATAACTTATACATAGAGTCTTTATAAATTTTTAGTGCTGTATCTCCTATGTACATATTTAGCAATAATCCTGTATGCTCTTTGATATATATCTCTTTCCAGCTATGTGTACAAGAAAGGGATGGTAATAAAATTAAAATTATTTTCACAGAAGTCACTGCCACTCCAACAAAGCAGAAAGTTAACAGCCCATCACCACTCAAACCTAGCCCAAGTACGAAAGAGACCCCTCAGAAACGAGTAAAGAATGCAGCAAATCAAAGACTCTCACAGTTAAGGGCAAGGTTATCATTAGAAGCTCAGGATGAGAGCACTAACAGTACAGACCAGTCCCCTAGCAAAGCAGTTAAATCAAGCCCCACAACTGCCACCACCCCCAAACCAGCCACAGAAACGAAACCCCCAAAAGTTGAAAACAAAAGCCCTAATGTTACAGAAAACAAATGCACAACATCACAGTCTCCAAGCAGTGACAGCTTACAGTCCATACCTTCCCCTTCGCAGTTCTTTGCGGCTAACAAAATAATCTGCTCAATGAAAGCACAATTACCTGAAGATGCATACTGTGATAATCCAAAACCGAAAGACACATTTGCGGACATTGAGCAGGGTATTTGCAATCAGACTTCAGAATATCCATACATGAAGCATCCTTCTACTCCACCACAATTTTCACAAGCCAGCCAGCTTTTGTCTGCGATCAAATCTAAATTGACTAAAGTGGCTGTTAGTAAGGATGGGAGTTGTCAAGAGACTGTGGAGACTTATGCATCAGCTAGTGAGCGAATGGAAAAGTTAAGGGCCAGTTTGTCTAGTGACCTGATGGAAATCGAAAGTGATCCACTAGTTTTAAGCAGTAGTGTCAGCATAGAAAAAAATTGTTCAAGTGAAGGAATGGATGTGGATCTTAAAGAGGTATGTTGGACCTATTTTAATACTTTTTACAAGCCTTTTTTATCTTGTATGGTTGATAAGTAGAATCTTGGAATAATGGAGTAAAATCTAACAACTATATTTTGAAGCAACTGATTGTGCTGAAATTTTGTATACATCCTTAGTTTGCATGACATTAACTGCTAAACAGTAGACTTTATATCCATAAAAATGTCTCATAGACTGTCTTGTCCAAGAACTTATTGACCCACATTATAAAAGTTATCCAGTTTATTGATATATTAGTTGTAGTATATTATGTATGTTTAATTTATCATGTACCTACTATTCTTGACGATACCAATCTGCCTTTGGTAGGATACATAGAGAAAGATGTTTTTAAAATAAGTACAATATTGTATAGCTTATAACCTTAGACCCAAAGTTTTATTTATATCTATTGTGTTATGACAAAAGACGCAATTGTTTGCAACACCATTGTGAGTGCATAGTATCTCTAAGTCATCAGTATTATAATGTATACTGACTATTCTTACTGTGTTGCTCATTTAACATTTTTACATTGATATTATCTATTTTTTTAATATTATCTCCTAATGTCTTTAAGTGTTTGTGTGTTTCTGAACCCCGCTATGAATTTTATTCTTTTGTAATAATAAGAATACTCATGTACTTATGTTTATAGATATATATCTTGGTTTTCTTCCAGATAAAGCAAGTAGCAGCACCTCTAGCGAATTGTACAAAGGATAACATTAGTACCGACCTTGTATTAGTTGTGGATACAAATATTTTTATACATGAATTGTCTATTATCAAGAATGTGCTCAATTCTAATATTAAAGGTAAGTTTTACTTAATACGGTGTCCTTAAGTGCAGGAGACTTGCTTCAACTCTGATGCGCCGACTCGGCTGAGGAATATCACGTCCTCACAGAATAACGTGTAACACAAAGTGTGGGAGAGCCAAGCTTCGGCACGAATGGGTCGGCTCGACCGGAGTGATACCACGGCCTCACAGAATACCGACATGAAACAACCACAGCGTTATGTTTCGCCGTGTGAGTGAGGTTACCGGAGGCCCAATCCTTCCCCTTCCCCGATTCCTCCCAATCCCTAAATCTCTAAAACCCTAATCCCTAAAAGGTCGTTGCGGGTGTCCATGGGCGGCGCTGATTACTTACCATCAGGTAATGCGACTGCTTGTTTGCCAACCTATTCCATGAAAAAAAAACGTTACGTTGCCGGACGCCTTATTAATTACAATTCCAAAAGCCTCAATCTATCCTTAACAACACTCAAAAGGCCGGCTATGCTCTTGTAACTCCTTTTGAAGCTGCGGGTGTCAATGGGCGGCGTTTATTGTTCACCATTAGATGGTCCGCCCGCTCGTTTGTCGACATATCCCATAAAAAATGGCCAGTCTCAGAGTACTACCAAGGCTTCACAGAACACCGGCGTGAAACAAAGCGTTTTACAATTGATGATGATGTCTGTTATAAAGAAAAGTATAAATCTGTCCCCTTTTTAAGGATTTTCTGGGCAGCCAACGTTGCTCGTACCTTGGCGTGTGGTGAACGAGTTGGACAGACTAAAGGATAATAATAATTGCAATGGCGCGGTGTGGAAGCGAGCCAAACGAGCCATGGATTATCTCTACAAGTCCATTCCCGAGAACAGCAGGATACGAGGTCTGTTCATATCATATCTTATCTTATTTATCTATATACTAGCTTTTGCCCGCGACTCCGTTCGTGTCGAATAGCGACTTCGTGCAGATTTTTGGTATAAAAACTATCCTATGTCCTTTCTTCTTTCGAATTCCAAACTATGTCTATACCAAATTTCACAGAAATCGGTTCAGTAGTTTAGGCGTGAAGAAAACACGGACAGTCATAGTTACTTTCTATATAAAAGTCAATGCCACTTTTCGTTGTTATGTTATAACTCAACAATGCCTTTACTGATTTGGCAATTTTGGTCTTGAATTATTCGTAGAAGTCCAGAGAAGGTTTGTACGTAGAAAAAATTAATTTATAAAAGTCTTGTGGCTCCCTCACGAAAAATCTTTTAACGGATCAGAACACAGCTAAGGAATGTCATTCTTTGCCGGAGTCTGTGTTTCCCGAAGGGTAAACTAGGTGTCTTGAAGGCCCGAGTGAATAGGCTGCTTATGGGTAGGCGTCCTCTATCATAGGTCGCAAACAGGAGTGAGAGCGGCCAAAAAAATAAAATGGCGCAGATATAGATCATGATGATGATGATGATGTGATGTCTGAAATAATACATAGGTTACTTTTTTCCCTGTACTGCAGAACCCGCTGGCGAAAATTAGTACTATATTTGCCACCATCTCTGCTCCTCCAACGATTAAAAGACCCAACTAAAACTGAACTCTGTTGGTTTTAAAACTTTAACAATAGATAAAACTCAATAAAAAAAAATCTATCCGTGAGTGAGACTATCCGTCTTTTTCAATGTAGTCATCATCTTGGTATCAAAAGATACTCATTTTGATAAGTTAAAGTACTAAATCATCAAGATCAATCATCAAGTAATAAATCATCATGCTACGATCAAATGGAGTCGAGCAGCGGGTGAAACCGTGCGAGAATAGCTAGTTTTTATATACATTAGCTATTGCTGTGTCAACTTTGCATTTCAAAACAGTATGGTCTTCAGTTATGACGATAATATGTTTGTACAGGTCAACCGCTTCGCGACGCAAACTCCCACATATACCCGTGCGAGTCTCCCGATGATGAGATCCTCAACTGCGCGCTGCAGCAGGCAGAAAGAGGGAAGACTGTGGTAAGATAACAATACTGCTAACTTCTTGGCACCGTCCATGACTGAAGACCGTTTTTCTTTATAACGATTGTTGGTCATAATAAATATTTTTGAACCGCGCAGGGTGCAGTCATTTAGCTTATACATAAGTAGATTTTGTTGTCCTGGCTGGTGGCTTTAGCTTAGAGGCGACTGTAGCGGTTATACCGGTAAAGGAGTACACGTCATATATATAAAAAAAAAAATTGTTATCCCTATTAAGGCCTTGTAAATCCAAAAACCAGAATGCCTAGTGTGTTACGCGATTGTTATTTGATATGCAAAGGTAGCCGTGTTTAAACCTTCGGTTCTCTGATTGGTTGACTTTAAGTTAACCAACCAATCAGATAGCCGAACGTTATAAACGCGTCGATTGCCTTGAAGTAAAGCAAATTCGCACTAAGCTCTATGTAATAAGGAACATCTTACTTCGTAGAACATACATACCGTACAATGTATGTGTGAATACATATGCGTACAATTTAATATTCAATGTTTAGAAATATTCAACTTTTATCACTCAAGTAACAAGTTTTTGTTCAATTCCAGGGTTGTACAAAACATATTTACGTTTTTAATACCCCTTGTTTAGATATTACTGTGTGATGATTACTAATGTTCTTTCGAGCTCGAAACATTTCGATTAAGCTCGAGACTTCTCGTTTATGTTTGTGAGTTTTCGAACTAGCTCGAAAAATAATTTTCTCATTTGTTCCTCAGATTTTGCTTTCAAACGACAAGATCTTATGCAGTAAGGCAGAAATTAATAACGTCAGGAGTCTCTCGCTGTCTGAGCTGAACGATCTACTGGAGACTGCTCCTCAGGAGACGGATCCTGATGCTTTCGACAACCTGAAGCATTACCAGGCCACCATATATCAGCTGTTGGCAAACATACTAGAGGTATGCTGATCAAGGATGTTGTACTTTTAAAGATAATTATGTTTGATTATATATAGGCAGATTGTGCCGGCTTTGTAAAATAAAAAAATATATGTAACTACTTTTAACCTATTCTTGCGAGTTTTATGAGCCGAACGCGGATTTGACAGTGAACCAGCCCTTGGAAATAATGATTTACTCACGTAAATTATGTTTAAAACTAAATATTACTATAAAATAAAATATAAAAAATTGATTATTGATTATCAGCTTTATTGTAATTGGCATAGATATAATTTTCTTCCACCTTTCCCAGAACGAAATGCGCGCGAAATACAACAACTTATGGCAGCACGTACTGTTCAAAGCGCCCCCTTGGACGTTGGCCGATGTCCTCCAATGTTTGCTCAAACATTGGATAGCCGTGTTCAATGAGGTGTTCCCCAGGATAGAACATCTTATCATCGACTTGAAGAACTCTTTGACCTCTGTGGATAGTAAAGGTAAGGTTTTCAATACTAGCCTAAATCTTTATCATTATTTACACACACTAATTGGATGCTTTAACCGCTTGTCTCGTTATATGACAAACAATAGAAAACACACGGTTTTAGCGATGGTTACGATTATCATAATATTACCAGAGTCTCAGTTATTTCTTTCTCCATACTCAATCCCCAAATTTCGAATCCCTAAGGGCCAACAATGCATTTGGTTGGCACTCTTCCGGAGTTATAGTTGTCTATTGCTTTGTATATAAATATTTGCTATACTAAACAAAAACTGTCCTACATGATGTGCAGTACTAATAATTCTTGAAGTTGCATCAATATTTATTTTACCCCCATATGAAGTGGAAGAAAGAAGAAAATTCATAATTTTGTACAAAAATATTTGCTAACTTTATTATATTATTATGTAGTCCACCTACTTACTCACCACGCACGAAATCCATCTATACCTACCAATATTATAAAGAGGTAAAATTTGTAAGTTTGTATGTAGGGGGTAATTTTTAGAACTTTCTTCAAAATTCTTTCACTTATGATGATAGCTACAATGTTCCCGAGTGGCTATAGGCTATAAAACATCACGCTACAATCAAATGGAGCCGAGCAGCGAGCGAAACCGCGTGGGAGTAGCTAGTATTCAATAAAATAGTTTCAAACTAGTCAAATTCAATACTTTTATCCAAATGTCACTCGAAACTCAAAATTATGTCGTCATAATATTTTTGCATAATATAGCGTACTTACCTATTTCGAAAAACTAAGCTTAAAAATATCGAATATTTTGTGTATCGATAGATCGATGAATAAAAGTATAGTTATTTTTCGAATAGTCGATTCATTTATTTTTGACCTAGGTAACTTACCCAATTATATCTTTTTTCAGATTCAAAATCATTAACGGACTCTGAAGTATCAAACTTCAAAGACTTATGTTTAGAAGTGGCGAAGAAATGTCAGATAATACCGGAGTATATGGAACTGGCCAAGGTGACGGTAGACCGGCTTCTGAACGACCGCGCCTGTGATGCTGAGGACGAGAAACACGGTGAACTCATGGTCATAGAAGCCTTCGAAAATGTTTGGACTGTAATGTCCAGTTTTTGGTATGTTTTTTCTATTATGTAAATTCGATAAATTGATAAGTTAATCAATCAGATTTCAATTTTCAGGAGTTCTATAGTACAGGCCTTGGCTTAGTTGAGACTCCAGATCTTCCACAAATTACCTTTCGTTACTGTCAACTTGCATATTTAACTTTAAAGAGTGTCTCTGTCCGTCATGTGTTATTTGTGGAGATAAATAAAACATTTTATTATTTATTATTGAACACGAATCGACTGCTAGTTTTTAAAGTAGTTGTTCGCTTGGTGTCCAAGGCTAGAGAGCCTGTTGAGCAATCTTGAACGTCCATCAGTCAGACTTTTGAATCACGCCATCTACATTCCGAAGTGTGATACTCATGAACCTCCCGACTTGTGTATTACGACTCTAGGAAGATATATGAAATCAATTAAAATGTGAGTTTCTTCTGTGGTCAGTCGGCAAACGAGACAGTTAACCTGATGGTAACCAATCAACATCAATACCAGATAATTTATGAGTGCATTGACAGCGTTTAGGGGATTAGGGATTGCGATCGACTAGTTACCACGTTTAGTACTCTGATTAATTGATTAACAGGACCAACGTTACCAGGAGAGCGACTCACGTCACAAACGTCGCGATAGCTTTACTGTAAAGCAAACTCGCAGTAGGCACCCCGTTAGTGATGCCGATTGTGTTTGTTGTTCTATGCTGTTGACGATTATGACCCCAGCGCGTCTCGAAACTCGTCGAGTCACCTTGTCAAGTAGATGAGTCATAAAAATTTAATATTAAAATAATTATAATTATGTTATTTTGTATTGTAGTGCCAAGTTAGCGAGTCGTTTGGGTGTTTCGCACAATATAGAGGATAAGTGGCCCGGGGACGAGCCGTTGGAAGCGCTCACCACCAAGCTTACACTCTTCACCAATCAGATCACCGCCTTCGCGCTCGCTATTAAAGGGTAAATATTTTTTATATTATATTTAATAAAAAAAGCTTTTGTACAAAACTGCGGTCTATGTCTGTACTTTTAACTACAGTTTTTAGAGAGCGCTCAAATAACTACTAAGGCTTAGAATCATGAAACTATTTCAATATCGAAATCGACCCAAGGTTGAAGAGAAAATCATATTATAAAGTTAGTTAAAAAAACTTGATTTTAGAGATAAAGCGGGCAGTAGTAGTAATTGCGCAAGTTTTGTTATGTCAATGTGGATTTTTTTATGGTTTTTCTGGTAAATAATATGTATGTGAAATTGTATGTTTTTAACCGCACCAACGACACAGGAGAAAATCCTAATGTGGGGCGACGTTTTCAAAAATTAACAAATAAGACAACTTAATAAGTAAAAAATGCCCAGCTCTGTCGATGAAACCAGGAACGAAGATGCTCTATAGTTATACAAAATTAATGTGTCGACTGTACGGTTGGCATAGTCACTGGGTAACTGGCTGCTGTGCAACATGCTGCGGGATCGATTCCCGTACAGGACAACACTGTATGATCTACGAATTGTTGATTCGGGTCTGGGTGGTTTATGTATGTTTGTGAACGCACGCAAGACGACACACACGAAGAAAAACCTAGTGTGGGGCAACGTAAAAAATAGATGTTATGCCAATATCAATGTCTCATTGACCACCTAGCTTCACTGACGAACAGACTGACAGACTACTATTCTATTTTTACGTTTCAAAAGTACCTATTTATGGTTTAGTTGGAATAAATGATTTTGATTTCATTTGATTTGTTTCCTCAGAGTGTTAAGCTCAGAAAACCCGGAGTCGAGTATAGAGGCGCTGGAGCAAGCATTCCGGGACAGTTTGCAGCTCATTTGCATGGACAACGAGTACATCAACAAGACCAGACTCGCCACCTTCTGCGGTAAATGCAGGTAAATATACAACCTATTCGTTTTATACAATAGGTCTGCAAAAATATGGTCGCGTGATTTTTTACATGAATGTAACTTAATTTACCATGTCATTACCGTGATCCCAAATTCAAGTCTAAGTGTGGGAGAGTCATGCTTCGACACGAATAGGTCGGCTCGACCGAACTGATACCACGGCCTCTCAAAAAACCGACGTGAAACAACCACAGCGTGGTGTTTTCCGTAAAGCATCGGTGCTTTGTGCTAACTTGAATCCATATGTCCCGGCCAATTAGCTTAATTAGCCATCCCAGTAACGTACTAAATGATCATATATGCGGTTCAATGGCTAGATTAGTCATTGAGGCTTTAATAGTCGATGGGTGAACGATTCACTTTATGGTCATTGCTTATGCTTTATGGTTTTAACTTATTCATTACTAACTAGCTTCCGCCCTTGGCTTAGCCCACGTTGTAAGTTGTCGAAAAGCAGACACAGCCCATGTGTTAATTCAGAGTATCATCTATCTATATACCAAACTAACTACTCTCTCGCGGTTTCACCCGCTGCTCGGCTCCATTTAATCGTAGCGTGATGTTTTTTGTAGCCTATAGCACTCAGGAACATTGTAGCTATCTATAAGTGAAAGAATTTTGGCAATCCGACCAGCGGTTCCAAAGATTACCCCCTACATACAAACGTACAAATTTTACCTCTTTATAATATTTGTATAGATTTTAACCAAATCGCCCAACCGTTTTTGTGTAAAAGAATAACCAACATACATCAATACATTTTCAAACTTTCAAATTTATAATATAAGTAGGATTGAACTATCTCTCCTATCTTTCTATTTGTAACAATATAATATTTTTTTGCAGAAACATGCTACAGGAGGCGTACACAAAGTTCGCACAGCTGACAGAACTAATCGAAGTATGTAAAAACACTCTTAATACAGCCAATCAATAGACAGGTATAGTCGCGGTCACAAGTCTGTGATGTCATAGTCTAATATGTACAGTAGATCAAGTATAACTCAGTATATAACGTACCTTATATTTAGGATAATTAGTTAATTGTTTATCATCATTTATACATACAGTTTGCGACATAAATAAATCGTAATATCGTAATTGTGTATAATTTTTTCATAAAGACTTGTCGCTAACTGTACTTCACAGAATAGACAGATACACGATTTTTTCAATGTTGTCCGATCACAAAAATATTATTCAGGATTATACAGCGTGTTATCAAGACACTGTTCCACGAAAGAGTATAAGATAGGGAATAATTATATTCGTGTATTAATATTTAGATAAAATATGAATTTAGTGCAAAATATAACTTTTTCGGCATTGTTATTGGTGTAAATTTCGGAACAGTGTTTTTGCAACACGCCGTGTAATGAATACATTCGATTACGACTGTATTTCTAGTCCAATCTGTATGAAACTGTACCAGCTGAAGCTGAAAAGTGACCCCTCAATTATATGAAGTTCCTTTCTTGGACATAGCCCTACATATGTCGTTGATAACCTTAAATATAACTATAGTTTATCGAAAACTAAAAAAGTTAGCTATTTCTACGTTGGACTCAAAAATTTGACAAAAATAGAAATGTCTAACCTGTAAAACATTAATTGTTATATACCTTGTTATGTAACTTGGGTAGATTATATAAAAAAAAACATGTATATAAAGTCAGCCGTTGCGTTCAAATTATTATATATATAACTTGCTTGACTATGCTTAGATAAATATAAACATTGTTGAAAAAATAATCATTTACAAATGTCATCAAAAAATGAAAACATCGTTTTGTATGCACAATTCGCTTTATTTTTGATATGGACTCCATAGTTTTGGACTCTAGTCTTTTTGTCACTAACTGCCCTAGTAACCTACGTTTTAAACAAGTTTACCACATAGCCGTTTATAAAAAAGATTTGATTTTAATATATCTAGCTATAGTAATTGTCATATTTGTTTGTTGAACGATAACCGAAAGATTTAAAAGCACCATAATTAACGTTGTTTTTGGCTTAGGGTTGCCAGGTTGCTTGTTTTTATTAAGCCTTATGAACACATATTTTCGTACATAGACGGACCTTATCGGAATTTTGTCTTGGCCTTAGAGGCTAGTTGAATACTAGTATGGATCAAAATTTTAAGTCTAAATGAACCTAGTATATCAGTCGTGATCTCAATCCGCGTTAATGTCGAATTCTAAAAAGCCTGGCCATTATTTTTAACGGAATAGGCTATCAAAAAGCCTGACTAACATTTTGTTCGGCTTTATCCGGACGTCTAGATATACCATACTTCAGCGATTGTAACACCCGGTTCCTGAAAGGTTAAATCTCTTGTCAAGTCATCTGATTGGTTGTTGATAATTCAGTAAACCAATCAGATGACTTGACTAGAGACTAAATTGATTTTAACATTGATCGGCCTTTCGGAAACCGGGTGTTAACATATTTTTTTTTTCATTTGTTCGGCAACCAAAGTGGCGGTACTATGACGGTTATAGTCTATTTGTGTTTCAAGATACAACACTAGTGTCAAGTAATAAGAAAAAAAAATGCAAAAAGTTCACTATTCAACGTTTTTCATACTTTACAATTTCCATTATTACAAAAACTATATCATAATATGGAGTTTTGACACTATAGTCGCTTGCTTCTCCTCGTCCAACCAAAAGGGACTTCATTGTCTTTTAAGACTGATTAATCGTTATATTTTGAATCATATTCAAATGGTTTTTGCCCCGCTAACCGATTTCTTCATACCCTTAACAATTTGTTAACTTACGTATAACAAGAAATTATGTGAAAGGTAAAACATTTTCTTTAGCATAATTATATTGTTTCTTTAAATATTTGTAAGTTAATGTCATTGATGGTGTAAAATGTAACATAAATCTAGTTGTTGTGCGGTTCTATTGGAATGAGGTTCATTTAATTGAATGGTGCTCTTTGATTGTGTATCTGTATACATCTGTGTCAAGATTGATGTGAAATGTTTATAAACGTATCATGGATGCCTGCTGAGGATGCAAAGGCTAGAATGTAACGCTGTCCCGGCTCGGAGCAGGAGAAGGGACGGGGTGGTTTTTAGTCAGTAAGAGTCAGACGCTACCTCTCCTCAAACCAGGACGAGTGTTCTAGGGCAAACAATCCGTGCTTAAGATTTATTTATAACAAGTCACATTGATCTTGGTACATGGGTGGGGCTGATCACTCACCTATTTCATGTAAAAGATTTGTATTCTACAAACGATGTGATATTTCGTTTATTGTTTTCATACTTATCTCCTTGTTGCTTGTGTTATGAAGCTTCTAAGTGTTTTGGAGTCCACGATAAGCAAAATCTCATGTATTTCATTCCAATCATTTGGATATTATTGACAAGGATATAAAAACAATCAAAGTCGTACGACCAATTTTTGTATGAGTGTATTTTCAACAATATTGCTAATGAAATGTACTAATTACTTCATTTTGTGATGATACGTTTAAAAATGTAATTAAATGAACCGCTTGATTTCGCATTTCCTTCAAAATTATCATTTCTTCAGTGTTACGGGTATCTGTGTAGTTACACTTGTAAATATATTATCTGTGTACACTAGATTGACGTTGTCAGAATGACATTCACATATGTCACTTGAAAAAAGATGAACTCATAGAGGAATAGAGTAGTCAAGCTATATGAGGGTGATTCTTTTTTTTTTTGTACTTGTATTAAATATATTAATGATTCTTTTTGTATTGTATGAAGTTAGGAAGAAGTGTTAGGAATTTAGAGGGTATGTAGATATGTTTATAATGTCATCGGAATAAATGTGGTCTTAAAAATCTAGTCTATTGTATTTTAGCCTTGCATCCTGATAGGCTTTTCCTTTAATTGAACTGTCCACGAATATTTTTCTTATCTGATAGTGGTGATAAGTGGTAGAAAGAGATAGGAGACATATTGATATGTATTTTCTCTTTCTTTTATTGATGTGTTCAGAAAAGTGTAAGAAGTAGCTTGTCTCTATATCTCTATGTTAGATTATATTATCTTAGCAATAGAAATAAACTTGTTATTTATATTGAGTTGTAGAAGAACTCTTCGGTAGCGGAACGCCTTAGAAACCTGGTATATTAAAAAAAAAAACGTGGCACAAATTAGAATTTTCAAATGTCGTGGATGCGTTTACATACTAACTATTTTACATACACACACATGCAAATAAAGTAATATTTAATAATACTTTTTGAAGTAGTATTATATTTATTTTCGAAATGTTCAAATAAATTTAAATAAAAATTTAATTCAATTTATGACTTTGACATAATTTGTCAAATGTCAATGTCATATTAAAAAATATTGTGTATTCTACTCGATAAGGCTAGCTCATTTAGCCAAATTTTAGAACACACGTCTCCATAATAGACTAATTAATATTTCTCAGCTACTATATATATGTTGTTTAAAATAAATTTACATTTTTAATTAATTATGCCACGCAACAGTGAACTACTGAATTGCGGAAAATTTGCGCAAGATAATCTGGTTTATTAAATATGTATTTGTTTAATAGCCTTCACTTTGACGAATGCACTGTATGTCAGCAGCTTGTGTATTGTGGGTGGCTTATTATCAGAAAGCTACGACTGAATATATGCGTTCCCCAATATTTTCCAGATTAGCCGGTTGGCGCTGTAGTAGTCAAGTCAACCTACTCTAAATAGAAAATCTTTTCATTGGATTTTCTTACTATATATCAAAACTGTGTCGTGGTGGTCCGGAGGTAGACTTCCACCGTTCTTAAGTACGAGAATGCGGATGCGATACCTGGCAAGTACCAATGTGACGTTTTGCGGGTTAGATATACTTACTTGTATTTATACATCACTGACATATGGTGAAGGAAAACATCGTGAGGAAACCTAGACTTATAATTTTTAATTATAAGTTTGAAATCGCCAATTCGCTTGGTAATTATTGTCAGAAGAGGCCTTTGCTCATCAATAATCTCCGTGCATATTATTTACCTTTAGTTTATCACCTGAACCGATAGACCATAGTTAAAAGTCTCAACGGGACTTCATCGCGACGCAGTTGGTTCTCGAAGAATTCACGAGAGTAAGTCGTTGTTTTGTAAAAATTAAATATGTCTCACTATATTTAATATCCAAAAATAAATAGTAAACCGGTACTGCACATTTTTTTTAAAAAAAAAACGTTGCCCCACACTAGGATTTTCTCCTGTGTCGTGGGTGCGTTTACAAACATACAATTTTACATATACATGATACCCAGACTCGAAACAACAATTTATGGATCTATTCCGTGCGGGAATCGAACCCACGACAAGTCGCACGGCAGCCAGTTGCCCAGCCACGGCGCCAACCGTGCAATGTTTCTTTCAACAAAATAATATAATAAACAAGTTTATTTATCTCTATTGTTAAGATAAAGATTTAGGATAAGTATAAACAAAATATTAACATTTCCAATACATTAAGCCGTGTAAACTATTACAGTTCGTTTATATATTATATTCATATAGATAAGTTAATAGTAATATGTAACGTATTATTTTTGTATTTTTTTCCATAAATGTAAATCGGTATGTGACATTATCATTAAATATACATACCGCCTAATTTTTGTAAAATTGTCTTAAAATTTAAAGATTTTACTATAAATCGTAACTTTATTAAATAGAGAATCACTGATTAGTATTATAATTATCTCGGAACTGATTGACGGAGTTACATGCTCGTCTAGTTTCAAGCCACGACAGGGACCCATGAAAAAAAGCTTCACACGACGCGGCGAGCCTCGCGCCGTTAATACTGGCTTGAAGACAGTCGAGTAACCTCATCGCTCTTACATGAGCAAGACTTTATTAAATTAAAAGAAATCATAACAAGATACAACTAAGAGCAATCATCCTTTGATCGACAATACCTATATTGTAAATTTTAAGACAATTTACAAGAAATAGGATCATAATTTATAATAAAATGTTATTGTCTTCAATGTGCCTTCCAAATAATCACGATTTTTTCAAAAATCGAATTCATTCAAATATGTATATCAAAAAGAAACCATTGTACAGACGCCATTTTTGAATCTCGAATAACCGTTACCGTTCGAAAGATTTTGAAATAACCCTCCAAATGTTTCGTTTGTACGTCCATTTTAATCGGATACTTATTATGTAGTGTTTCGTTTAGGGCTGATTTTTCAATAGTTAGATAAATATTATATGAGGAATAAAATTGTTGCTGTCACTGTCTTATAAAAACATTCTGACGCGACAGCATCATAATTATTCCCCAGGTAACTTTTATCTAACCATTGAAAAATCAGCCTAAGGGCTGATTGCCGTATATTAAAACTTTAATTTATTGATTTTAGTACCTTATATTTGCCTTAATTTGTAGGTTTAGATTTCCATTTTTTTATTTAGATAAAAAAGCAGGTTAATTAAGTGTTGCAATCGTAAAACACTAAACGTAAAACTAGATACTATGTTGATAATATGTCTCCATATTAACTGTTCCTTTATTTGAACAACTGTTTACAAATATCTACGATTTGATATTAATATGAGTATATTAAGCAATAGTTTTGAACTGGTCCGTCAGGAGATATATTTGATATTTGGCATTTAATCAATTACAAGGTAAATTAAAAAGAAAATTGTAAATGCTATATGACTTGTATTTTCATGTAATCAATCTTGCAATAAAAAAATCAGTTTTAATGAGATTTCAAATATATATCCTTAAAGAACTTTTCTTTAGCCATTTATGTTTTTATTAAATGTTTAGTTCCATTTTTCTTAACAGCCGCCTTCTGAAGCAGATTGAAACATAGTATTCTCATGATTGCCACTAAAATAGACGTAACTAAATAATTTATTATCCAAAAATATAATTTCCTTTACACAAAATGAGAAATGAAGTTTTTTTTCCATTGACAGTATGTCAGATTCCTGTCGCTATAAAGATTAATACTATATCACTGAACTGTCGATTTTTGCGCAGTTTCGTATATTAAGGGTTAATTCATACTTGTGCCAAAATCTGATATTATGGTATGGCATAGCAAATTCATTCTTCTCAAGATACAGTAGACTTTTTTTCTTTATTTATTTAAGATAAAAGCAGTCAATTTGCGCAACCGAGCGCAACTAATGCTGTTCAAGGAATATTTGCATTACTGGTTTCTATTATGTTATACATATATTCAATTAAATATTTTAATACGTAATACCTTTTACATATTCTATTGTATGTGTATTTCATTTTGTTTCTACAAACATTAAATAAATAAAATTACTCGTAAAGAAATAAGGGTGATTTTGCTGTGACATCTCAGATTGAGGCTTTAATGCGCTACGGATTTGCGCAAGTATGAATTGACCCCTACGTTCCGGTAACGTGATTATATGTGAGCCTTGGTGATTATTTTGTATAAATTTATTTGTAAAACTTTTGTAAATATATGTATAGACAATGTTAAATATTTCTACGTTAAATGTTAGTTAAAAGCTATAATTGTTGTAAGGCATTGAATAATGAAATAAATGTGGAAATGGACGGTGGGAGTTAATTATGAAGTTTTTATTTTTATTACTGTGTATCCTGGTTCATTTATACAAAGATCACTGATTAGGAAGTTGTTTTTATTTGTGGTATTTCAATTTTTCTTATAGCTTATGAAACTGCTATTAGACGTACGATTAAATAGATGTACTTAGGCTATGGTATTTTATATATTTGGAATTGTATATAATAATACTGTAATTTGATAAATTATGGAGTTTGCATGAATAAATTGTGGAACCATTGCCACATATATTTACATTTACATATACAGTCAGTCCCAAATATAGGGACATAGTTAAACGTGAGACACTTGCTGAAATTGGACAACAACGGCATTCGAAGGTCATCCCTCAATTAATTAAAATCATAGTAAGCTCTCTGTGGGTGTATCACAGGGCTCAATATTAGGCCCTTATCTCTTTTTAGTCTACATACATTACTTACCGTATTTATTTCAATATGGACGGGGAATGGTATTATTTGCTGATGACATCTCGTAAATTTAAAAAATTATTAGACTAAATAAGAATCATGATGTAAATATTGCTATCACACAAAATATCAGACAAAATGTATACGATTCAGTATGCTAAATGTTGAAAGTAACGGATGTAAGATATTATTTACTATGTAACTACTTTTCTGGGTATTTGCATGAATAACTTGAATAGGACCCACATATCACATCTGGCAGAAAGATGCTTTGCAGTGTTTGCTGTTTGGAAGAATTGACAGCTAACAAATGCACTTTTTTTGTATATTTTCTCATTATTACAATAGATATTTACATTAAATTGCTTTGCACTGCAAATCTCGACTTTATTACTTTTTAATAGCGTCCAGGGTCATTAATTGCCTGGCTTGGCAAAAAAATGCTTATCTGAATATTATGAAGATATTAATAATCAAACAATTGTAACCATATTATTTGTTGATTTATTATTACTGTAGTAGGCGGCTCGTCTTACAAGTGGTTGGCCTTGAATTTATTGGTTTTTTTTTACAATAATTTGTTTCATTATTTAACACAGTATTTCTGAACTTGATCCAACATTATACCTACGTGTTATCTATCTTTGTAAGTTTATATAACTTCTCGCAAATTTGTCTCCTGTTTTTATTTATTACTAGCGGCCCGCCCCCGCTTCGCTTTGGACCCGAGCGAAGCGGGGGCGGGCTATCTCGCTATCAAAGGGTCACTTTTTCTTAATCCTCCTCTATATTTTTTTAATATTTTCGATAAGAACCTTCTCCTGACAATAACAAACACAACAAAAAAAGAATTAGCAAAATTGGTCCAGGCGTTGTTGAGTTATGAGCTTACCAACACATTTTGCGATCCATTTTTATATATAAGATTATTATTTCTTTCACGGTTGTGATTTAATTCTTGTCTGTTTATATTTTTATTCCATAGTCTTCTTTAATCATGTCTCCAGCTTTTTCAGCAATCATGATCACTGGGGCATTTATGTTTCCACTTGTGAGAGATGGCATCACACTGGCATCCACTACCCTTAATCCTGTAACACCCCTGACCCTTAACCTTGCATCGACCACACCCTGACCTTCCACACCCATCCTACAAGTACTCACAGCATGATACTGAGTACTCGCCAAGTTTAAAACATAACATCTCCAATATTCATGACTCCCAAAACTAATTCCTTTACATTCATCAACTTTAAGGTCAATGACTTGAGCCTCAATTTGTTTAAAGTATGTTGTATTTATCACTGTAATGTAATCTTCAACGTATTTTGCAAAGTTTTCCAAATCGTCTTCGTTACTAAAGTAGCCAGAGTAAATGAGGGGACTGTCTTCAGGGTTGGTGCTACGCAGATTGATCCTACCTCTAGATTTTGGATGAAGATGCGTAACCAGCGCGAATAGAGCTCCTCTGGTTTGAGTTTTATCAGCTAAAGCGATGATGGAGTTGTCTTTTATTGAAAACGTATCCGAACACAATAAAGGAGGCAAAAGCGCCCCAGTAGGCGTAGGTACAGCAGTCACTTGATAATCTGGATAGCTTTGAGATTTATTAAGTGTAACAAAGCCCAAGAATGATGCCATCGGAAAACGAGTAGTCTCTCCTAGAGGTTTAATATTTTCTAATATTGATATAAATTTTTTCTCTCCACTAATAATTAGAGGAATTAATGCGTGGTCCTGCATATTTTGTCCGACGTTTGGTGAATCTAGTAGTACATCTATTTTCATTTCTTCTAAGTGATCTTTAGGGCCAATTCCAGACAGCATCAGTAATTGTGGCGTATTAATTGCTCCAGCTGATAATATAACTTCATTTTTTGCTTTGAGTTTTATAATTTGTCCCCCAGGAAGCCTTGCTTCAACCCCAATCGCTCGTTTATTCGTGTCCAAGATAATTTTTCTCGCAAGAGTTTTTTTAAGAACATGTAGATTATTTCTAGTTTTTATAGGGCTTAGAAAAGAAAAGGCTGTATTTTGTCGGGCTTTCTCATCAGACGTGAAGCTAGACATACCGTATCCTAACTGCTGATGCCCATTATAATCCAGAAGAATATCGTGGCCTTGTTCTTTGAAGGCATTTAAGTAATCTTTGGGTATATCTCCCCAATCCGGTTGAGTGACGCTTAAGAATCCCTCTGTTCCATGTAAATCTGCTGCATCGCTATTCATTATAGATTCGCTTTTAATTTTTTCACTTTTCTTGAAGTATTTAGAGACATTATTCCAATTCCATCCTTCGTTGCCATCCTGGGCCCATTTATCGAAGTCTATTTTATTCCCTCTAACATAATACATGAAGTTTGTTCCGCTGGATCCCCCGAGCATCTTACCTTTTCGGTTATGTATGGTCTTTGTTTTAAGTCCTTGGCTGGAGTAGCCATCGTCGACTGTATAGTAGTTCCAATCAGGCAGTGCTGACGCTACGATTATTGATAAGCCTGGTATCTAAAATGGTAACGGTATTTTACATTAAACTGAACTCTTGAGGATGAACCTATTACAGCTAAAGTGGTGATTGGTGAGATTTTGCGCTCATTTTTAGATTCATAATTCTATTAGGTACATGTTCACTTGCAGTCGGAAGACAAGCAAAATTTACCCCGTGGTTAGGGATTGCAGTCACAGGTAACCAAAAATTTCGCACATGGCACTGCACCTTTTAGAGGTTGTTTGCCGTTGCAGAAAATATGGAAGATCCTTGTAAGTATCCAAAAATACAAGAGAAATATCTAGAAATAAATTGCACTTACAATAGAAGCTCTTGGTGGGTCATCTCCTTCTTCAATCAACAGGACATTCCAGTCAGATACCTCTGTGAGTCTATTTGCGAGTACACATCCAGCTGATCCCGCACCCACTATTATGAAGTCAAACGTTTGGGAATCTGAAACATGACCCAAAATCATTTTCCAATCAATTTACATAAAACGAAAAAAAAACCTAGGAACCCAGGTTTTTTATGTCATAAGTCGGCACTCAAGCCGTCGGATTGCGGGTTGGTAAGCAATCAGCGCTGTCCATGGAAGGAGTTACTACAAGTGCTTTGCCGACCTCTTGTGAGTCAGTAGGAATAAGGGATCCTTAACTCCTTTGATTGAAAATGGGGCCGGAGAGGGTAATTGGGTGTCCGATTAAAAATAAATTTATCATACCTGCTTTTATTTCTTCGCCTTGTTTAGGGGAATTAGGTACAGGTAAGGATTGAGCTTGTGCCAGTGTTTTTTAACGCCGGTTTTCTAAGAGGCCGTGGTATCACTCTCGTCGGCCCATTCGTAACAAAGCATTGCTCTCCCATACTTGACTTACGACTTCGTTTAACTTCAGTGAATTTGGAAAAGCCCAAAACACCCAATATATTTCCGGCCTAATAATCGCACGGATCGCACCCAAGATGGGGGATCTTCGCTCGGTAATCGCAAACAAAAACTAGGTAATTATAATGTCAATACAAATTTGACTTAGTATTGAAATATGGTATGACTATATAATGTTGAGGTATTGTATCTAATAATAATATACGTGAGTAGTTACCGGAAAAGGTGATAAGTCACATGTAAAAACATGATAATAGGTATTATGTTAATGCTAATTTGCTTATACGCGTTTTTTTATGCGTTTCTTCTCGCTGTTTGGTTCTTATACTTGTAGGTCGTAGTGTGAGTTTTATAGCCTCTCCATGGCCTTCCTCAAAATATAATTGTTCAGTCAAACCAGTTATTGTAGAGATTAGATAATAAAGAAATTCTTCACTATTTTTTGTATAAACGGACGCCCAGTCCTTTCCCTGCTCTTTCTTATAAGTAATCTCTAATTTCTAATTTCTGTAATTCTTAACTTCTCCCAAAGGGGCGGCAAAGTAATCTTTACTCTTCCGGTGTTGCCGGTATTCATAGGCGGCCATCAGAGGGCCTACAATGGCGAGAAAGAGATATGGAGCTATACACCTTTAATAAACCTCTTTCTCGCCCGGAAGTTTGACGCTTTAACACTTCATTGTAGGCCTACAGGTCTGCTTTGCTATCTACATCAAAACGACAGATTATTTCATCTATTTCAGAATATAATTGCAGAATTCAACCAACCTGTAGATTAAGTTTTCAAAAGGATGACGTTACTTAAGGCTAAGAACTCACGGAGCGATTTTCGCCCGCGTCCGCTGCGGTTGCGGGCCCGCAGCTTCTGTAGAATTCAAATATTTATATAAAAAATCAAAGCACATTTCACGACGCGTTTTACGCCCGCGGTGTACGCGGTTGTATGCGGCTCCCGCTATACCGGCGGGCAACTAGTAGAATCGCGCGGGCCGCGGTTACCCGCAGCCTCGGCGGGTGGCACCCGCGCGCTTTGCGATCGGTTGGCGAGCGACCGCGGGGGCCGGCGGGTCTTCTGTGAAGTAAATATAACGCAACGGTTCGCTTCTGGTGTGTGTCCATGGCGGTCTGGACCTCAACTGATCGTTAATCGCCCGTCTTGCAATCTTGCGATCATCGCCCGCCACGTTTGCGGGCGATGATCGCAACCGCGGCGGCTATGTAACCGCGCAAATAACCGGTCTCGTGAGTTTGGAAATAAAACCGCAGTTCCGCTACCGCGGCGGGCACGGTTCAAAATCGCTCCGTGAGTCCTTAGCCTAACATCACAAAAAGCTTCATGGAAATAGAACATATTTATCTGACACACAGTGCGCTGAGATCACGGCGACTGAAGACAATAAACTATTTTCGGATATGCTAACTATTATAGTCATAATACCTATTTAAATTCAAATGCGGAATCACTATGCATAAAGTTTTCATGCTCTTAAGTTTTGGAATGTAACGTGTTAAGTGAGTGTGTTTTTTTATGGAATAGGAGGCAAATTAACAGACGGATCACCTTATGGCAAGTGGCCTGCGCCGCCCATTAACACGAGCATCACCAAAGGAGTCACAGGTGCGATGCTGGCATTTTAAGGTGACGCTCATTTCTTGAACGTTTGAAGGTCGTATCGATAATACCGCCGCCGAAAGACCATTCCAATGTTGTGCTATGCGGGGCAGAAGTTTCGCGTTAATCACACAGATGCTAACGACCAACAATCTATGTGGTGGAAATGAATACGTTTTCGCGTAGGACGATAGCGAAAAGATACCGCGTGGATTTAATCGAACAATTACACGAAGCACTAGGCTCTCCGTGATATATGCGATGTGTGTTATATTTCAATCAAATTAGGCACATTTTTTATTGAGGGGAATATCGTCAAATAATTTCTTTCGGATGAGGCGAGAGGGAGGGTCAGAATTCTACTGACTAAAAACCACCCTGTTCCTTCTTCTGCTCTATGCTGAGGTCGCGGTACTTAATTGCGCTTGCCCCATTATCGGGCCCTGTTGGGTCTTGTCTGTGGTGGTCTATTGGCTCTTTCAGGTTCTTGCCCTTGCTCGTAACCCTCAGGAAGATCCGTAGGAGAGCCTGGATTGTCTCCTACTGTTTCCCGCCCGGAGTGAGGAACGACATTTGCACTGTATTTTATTTGTCTGAGATGGTTACTGAAGTCCCCAATCTTACAACCTCAACTCCAATTGCTATATCATCAAACAGGTACCTAAACCACAAAAGGTCGGCAATGCACTTGCAATTCTTCTTTTGTTAGAAGTGCTGAGTTCGGATCCGGGGACCCCTATGGTCGTTTGCTAACTCATCTATACTTATATTATAATTATAAAGCTGTAAACTTTGTTTATTTGTTCGAATTGAACAATTAATTTTGTGTTTATTAGTCCATTTATTGAGGAAGGCTATAAAACATTACGCTACGATTTGTAGGAACCGAGAAGCGGAAGAGTAGGTACCTACCTAACTAGTAAAAAAAATATTAATAGAATGAATATTTCTTGACTTACCTTGTACATTTGCTTGTGTTGGATATAAGGAATTATCTGATGGGAATAGACTGACAATAGCTATCTGGACCAGCCGTATCAACGGAAATAATACTTTTACTTCGAACACCGAAATAGCATGTAGGATGTTCCTGAAAAATGTTATTGATAGATAACTTTTATTTGTTCTGTCTACTTCTTTATATTTGCACACAAGAAAAGAAGCGAGCCAAAAAGAAAATATTTAAAAGATTTAATGGGTTGACGTATTGCAGATACTTACATATTTATTAAGAAGTAGTCAATATCACTATGGCAGTCGTAAGATGTAGGTAGATACTAAATGTAAAACTGTGCCAATGATTTCCAAAATTTAAACAAATCGGCTGGATAGGAGCCTGCCGGGCTCCCTGCAACCTTTATGTGAACCTTTCCCCTTTAACACCTCTTGGACGTCCGGTTTTGTACTTGCCGGTATTTTTTTATAATAGGTATTAGACAGCCGAATTAAATAATTCAGTACTCACTCAAAGTGTAGTCCAATTAACATAATAAGTAGTGCAAGAACAACGCCATTAAATTTAATGCGCGGGAAAATATCCATAGCGTTCTTTTATACGTCCGTTCCGTTTCACTGGCTACACAACAGAAGTAAAGCTACTAAATATTAACCATACTGGTTTTCTGACGCTTTATAAAATTTAAAATAACAACAATAGAATAAAATTAACTTAGGACCCATTCACAATGAAAGATGACGCAAGCGCATCAATAAGTAAGTATACTACATACCTTATATGAATTGCGTTGAGAGCAGGAATGTAAGGGAACGATACTATCAAATCAAAAAAAGAAGGGAAACCAGAGTTAACTATCAAATCAAATCAAACGTTTTTTTGTGGACATAGGTATACAGAAAGGTCTTAAAACTAAATATTCAGGAGTTCTACGTTCTACCAATGGAATTGGTGTAGGTACAAATATTTTAAATAGTGCATGGATTAGATTTTGTGATCAATTAATTTATCATTAAAAAACTCTTCAATTGAGTAATATCTATACTTATAATAAATCTGTAGAGAGGTCAATTCTGAACATTAAAAATATTTTCAAAATTAATAACAGGTGGGTGACAAGTAATCGATACTGATGCCAAAAATGCAATCAGTAAATTTTTTGTCTATCTGTCTTCCTGTATGTTCCTTATAGAAACAAAACCTACTCGACGGATTTTAACAAAACTTGGTACAATTATTCTTTATACTCCTGGGCAACTTATAGGATACTTTTCATCACTCTACAAATAACAGGAGCAGAGCAGTGAAGGGAAATGTTGGGAAAACGGGAGAAGTTACTCCCTTTTGAAAGTTTCCGTCGCGTGTGTAGCCTTAATGGTTAAAGTTACGTAGAAATTATGTGTGACGAAAATATTTTATGTGATGGTGTGGGTGAAAACTTTGTAGTTATATTTAAATCCCGAGGCGAATGAGGGTTATGTTTGACGTGTGTGTTTAAAAAATGTAATTTGCGTTATTGTCGTTGGAAAGTTGATGCAGAAGTTTCTGACAGTTGCACTGAAGAGGACGATTCCGCTGGCGGTAGTTAGTATCTATTAAAAATGAAGTTAATTGGCGTTTGTAAATACGGATATCTTGTTCATTTCTTATATATTTAGGTAGTTTATTATATATTTTTGGAGCCATTGTAAAAATACTGTTCATGTATAATGTAGTTTTAGATTTTATAACATTTAACTGGTTACAACGACGCTGACTGGATCGTGGTCAAAGTTTAAATTATTTTTGACAAATAAAGCCGTTTCGTAAATGTATAGTTAGGGCATCGTTAATATTTTCATATCTTTGAAGTACGTATAGCAACTGTCGGTAGTTCGTAGATTACATATAGCTGTAATGCACTTTTTTGGCATTTAAATACCAATTCTTTACCCGTTGCATTTCCCCAGAACATAATTCCGTACCTCAGCGCTGACGCTACCAGACCAGGATATGCCGTTAGGACTGTTTATCAGTTTTACGGTTTTATTTAACATATGGAGTGGATAGGAGTATCGATTTAGTTTATTGCGTACTTTATCTATATGTATATTCAGGCCTGCTCTTAGTAATTTTTCAATAATGTTTACAATAAAGTAAGTATATTTAAATATAATCGGTTCCTAAGTTACAGGAAAACCACAAGGAATAACTATTTCTGTTTTTGACGTTGAAAGTTTATAGATATAGCTGTTTAGGCATCTAAATGTATATTCTTTTATTAAATAAGTACATAACTCTGGACGGTTTGGATCTTTGTTACTGCGTAGGGATATAGTCTCGCTATGCGCTTTCTATCGCCTATACTACGGGGAGTGCTCCGAAGAATTATTCGGTTTGATCCCTATCGCATCTTTTCGCCATAGACCCACGCAAAAACACTTTCATTTCCATTATATAGATAGATGGTTGGCAGTCACCAGCAACAATCTTTTGCTGGCGGTATTTCCGAACCGATACAATCTTTAAATATTCAAAAAATGAGCAACGTGTCTGAAGGCGGCGTTGTTCACCTACCATCATTTAGATCCTTCAGCTCGTGTGTAATGTATTATGACTTTACGAATAGGTAATATTAATAATATTCCCCCAATTAGCCTTTGTTGACATAAAATTTTAAATCAAATAGTGAATACTACTGCTTCGTAAAGTGGTTAGAAAGTTATGATTATATCACTGGTTATTTCTACTGAGGATTTATAACTTCTTGACAATGTAATTTTATTTAAAGAAAATATTTCATCACTTCTTGAACTAAACAAGTGCTGTCACTTTTTAATTGTCAAAGTCAACTCATCAACTGTCTAAACTGATGTAATTTGTCATGTGTTTTTGTGTTTTTGGTAAACTTCTGAATATCTAGCCGAAAAATGTCGAAATTACGTCCTATATTGAATCTATCCTACTGTCGATATTACAGTGTAAAGCAGGCCAAGAAGAAATTACCTATCATAACGTGCAAACGGCCAGAATTTAATCATTATGAAGGTCAGAGTTACAGTAAGTTTGAAGGGATTCCTCTGGCCTCTAAAGGTTGGATGAGTAAAAAATCCAAGAACGATTACTTTATAATCTACGGAAATGCCAATAAGAAGGAAGAAAAGCCGGTTTACAAGAAGAGTTTCGAAGAAATCGGTGTTTCTCCTGCTTTGATTGAGGTTATGTCGGAGCAAGGATTTTCTTTGCCGACTGCAATTCAAACTAAGGCAATCCCTTCTATATTGAGTGGTGCCAACACAGTGGTGACTGCGGAGACTGGTTGTGGGAAGACGTTGGCGTATTTGTTGCCAATATTTCAACATATCTTGGAATGGAAACCGAGTATTAAAGAAGAGTTTAACAGTCCTCTAGCTGTTGTTATAACTCCGAGCAGAGAGTTAGGTATGTATATTTTAGTCTTTTGCCTTAATAATTCTATAATTACATTGATAATTTCTCATTTAGATACTGACTATCTTCTGAAACTATTTTTCAGCTACGCAAGTTGGAGAGGTAGCCCAAAACATGGCTCAAAGATTAAACCTTAATGTGACCACTCTCGTAGGAGGTCGTACAAAACAGAAGATGTTGAACCCACCAATAGAGTACTGTGATATTCTAGTCACTACCTTAGGTGCATACAGTAAACTGGTTACAACCGGTATTTTCAAGATTAATAATGTCCATCATTTAGTCCTTGATGAGGCGGATACCTTGTTAGATGATAGTTTCATTGACAAAGTTTCACATTTATTGAAGAAGTTTCCGGTAAGTCAAATTTTACCATGTTCTTAATAATGTTTGGGTGTGTTAGATTTGACTTTAGTTTTTTAATTTCACAAGTAATCTTTTGGCTAGATGTACCAATCATAAGACAAAATAGGTATCACATTATAAGAATGTTCACAAAAGTTTCTAAATTAATAAATATTGCATATTCACTAGTAATCATCTTTGTTGTTCATTTTGTAATGGATTTTAGAAAGGAAACAAAAAATGATTATGATTCAATGTAGACCTACTTAATTTTATTGTATTTTTATGTTATCATTGGCTAACTACACAGACAGCTCAGTGGCTGGGCAACTGGTTACTGTTGTACAACATGACAGGTTCCATTTCTGTACAGTGGAAGTATGGGAGATCTCAAATTTGTTATTACTGGAGTAACATAAATAAGAAATAGTACATTTGCAAACACACCCACTACACAAGAGAAAATCATAGTGTGATAGGAGGGCTGTAGTTGCACTCTTTTCTCTTTTTTTATATTACCTCTTGAAGATTCATCACTTATTAATTTTCTATCTCATGTATATTACAGATTCAGCAAAAAGTTCAGATCCAGACACCACCTGTTGGATGTCAGATAACACTAGTGAGTGCAACCATGCCTCATGAGTTGCCAACTGCAGTGAACTCCTTTGTGGACCCAGAGTCCTTGAAGACAGTTACAACGAGCAATATACATAGGATACTGCCACATGTTCCACACAAGTAAGTCAAATTTTATGAATGCAAAGCTGCCATATACTAGCAAATCTCTTGAAGATAAAGATTTCATTGTGTTCTTGTATTTCAGCTGCTCTGCATAGCTTCATATGTATTAAATTATGCCAAAAATGCCTTAAATATTTAGACGTGCAATAAAAACTTTGCAGGTGATACCAAATAATCTGGTCTCCAGCAATAAACTTAGTGTTGCTTTCCTTAATGACTTGTGATTTATTTACCAGACAATGGCGAAAAGCACCTTTGTAAATAACAAAAAAAACTAAGCTTGGTTCTTACCAATTAGATGTTTACCAAGTTATATCTAGCTTTAATTTCTGATTACTTTTTTTTTTACTTGCTATAAACTAGTGTTTGACTGCGATCCCACCTGATGGCAAGCAGTGATGCGCACTAGTTTATTAAGAGTCTATGCACTCTAGCCTTGAAGACACCTAAATTGTATTCAGACGGAAAGACTGCAGTCGGCAAACTGTTCCAATCCCTTGATGTACGCGGTATAAATTATCGGCGTAATGAAGCTATAATGTCATTCTAGTTCAAAGGACCTAAAATGGATAACGAAAAAAAATCCAATTGTAAGGTTTTTGCGTAATTGTGTCCTGATAGCAGTCTAAGAAGACGCGTATGTTCAGTAACGGCTGCACGTTGTGGCTGGGCAACTGGCTGCCGTGCAATGTGTCGTGGGTTCGATTTCCGCACGGAACAACTCTTTGTGTGATCTATAATATGGGTCTGGGTGTGATGTGTATGTGGAATAGTATGTTTGTAAACGCACCAACGACACAGGAGCAAATCCTAGTGTGCAACATATAAAAAAAAAGATATCGTTCAAGCTGATAATGTGATTGAATTAATTATGTTCTCTTCTCTATAGATTTATTCGTCTCGGCAAAGCCCAGAAACCTATAGAACTACTCCGCTTAGTCCAAGCAGATATGAATCAAAATCGTCCCGTAATGATATTCTCCAACCAGACCTCCACTTGCGATTTTGTATCGATGTTTCTGAACGAGAATAATATCGAATGTGTCAATATAAATGGAAAGATGGCGGTCGCTTTAAAAATGGGCAAATTTGAACTGTATAAGAGTGGGAAGGTCAATGCCCTGTCTTGTACGGATATTGCTTCGAGAGGATTGGATACTTTAAGGGTGAGTGTTCTATAGCACTTATATTTTTACTTTTAGAATCTCTTATTTGTGGTAATTTGTTGATTTTTTATGGTATGAGGCGGATTACTGATGGTAAGCAATCAGCACCACCCATGGACACCTGCAACAGTAAAGGAGTAACGAGTGCATTACCGACCTTTTGGGATTAGGGTTTCGGCGATTTAGGGATTGGGTAAGGGGAAGAAGGATTCGGGTTCTGGTAACTTGATGTTGGTTTTCTGTGAGGCCGGTCGAGCCGTATATTCGTGCCGAAGCATGGCTCTGACTTTGTTTTTAAGACTTTGTTTTATACTATGCAGTGTTAATGAACTTTTCACTTTATTACAGACACAACACATAATCAATTATGACTTTCCGTTGTACACCGCTGACTACATACACCGCTGCGGACGTACGGGCCGTATTGGATCTCCCAAAGATTGTCTCATAACAAACTTCGTTGCGTGGCCCAGAGAAATAGAACAAGTTCAGAAGATAGAACTGTCTGTCAGAAAACACAGTGAATTACCAAGCGTTAATGCTAATATCAGACGTATTATTGAAGATAGAGTTATTAAGATGGCTGGAGTTTTGTAAATGTTTTACAGCACTTTTGTATGGTAGCAGCCCACCTCAGTTTCATTTGTATGTTTGTCGACGATCCCCGCGAATGTATAGATATTTTCTTTTATAAAAATCTTAACCGCACGATAAACAGGACTCCATAAAAGAGTAATTCAATTTGGTGCAGCCATTTAACACTTATACTTTATTTACAAGTATAGATGTAGTTTTGGTAAGCTTGTTATGTAGATGTGTATCTAAGATGTATTTGTAAATGTGTAATAAATTGTTACAAACAATCAATTTGAGTATTGATTTCAATTAATAATAATTATGTTCATTATTAAAACCTTTTGGTTGCTTGCCATATTATCTTCACTTGGCAGCCAAACTGAGGAATTGAGTTGGAACGTTTACTAATGGAGTTTTGTTTGACAAACGATAATTTGGATCGTCTTAAAGTAAGCAATCAGCGCCCGTGAACACGTGATCGGGGATCGGTATCGGGGCCGTATCTGTTCGGAAATAAATACCTCTGAAGACAGACTATTTCAAAGTTTTGATGCGCGTATGCATTGAATTTTGTATAAATTAGCAACTAACTTTTTTTGCGTCAAGTAGTCTGTGTATCAAGTAGTTTGTCTTAAAATTGGAAAAAATACGTTAAACATTAAATTAATGAATAAGTGTGGTTATTTTTAAATATTTCATTGTTTTGAAAAGTTGAAATAATTTATTTTTGACTTTTTTGCGATAAGCTCGTCATAGCCTCCCGATACCGCTGTAACTGCTATAAGCCAGGATCTGCAGTCAATATAACCTGAATGATGTAGTTCGGCGCGTCCCAGGAACCTAAATGATTGTCTTGCACCCGGCTACGAAATAAATGGTAAAAAATAACTCAAAGGTTGACTGAAAGAGAACGCTCATTGCATTAAGCACATAGAGCATTTATTTATTTAAAACTTCAGTCATAACTTTGGTTGTGCATGAAGTTTTAAATAAATAAATAAATTAAGTACATGATTGTTTCAGTAGCAAATGGTATTTTTTAATCTTAATTAAAAGTGCAGGCAAAAAAAAAACCAAGGTTAATTTAAAACCCAATAAAAGTTTATTCACACAATAGTTAATCTACTTCACACAAGATCCCTTTATAGACAATTGAACACGATGGGACCATCTTATTTACAGGGACAGGATCTAGAATACACACTCTTAAAATAAAATACCTTACAACTATTATATATTTACTTATAAAGTTCTAAAATATTGCTTATTATGAAAACACTACGTATATTTAGTGGGGCAATGTTGCCTTGTATTTATAATTTTATTAATCTATGCTTTTTTTTCTTTATGGTTATTTGACAGATGCGTTTAATACCATGAAATATCGATGGCAGTATCTACTAGTTTATAAAGTTTTATGTAAGGGTGCTTCAAAATGGGCGAAGTTTTTCAGTAATTTGGGCATTTAGGCTCTGCAATATTAATAAGTAATTGCCCAAATGCCACAACAATATGTTATTTATTAAAATAAAAAAATAAGAATATTGAAACATGTTGCACCTATTTTATGTGCAAGGCAATCGATTTTAGTTCTTATTCTAGCTTGTGATAGTGTTGATTCTGAACTGGCATTGGTAGGTGGGCTCACAGCCGTTTTTTTTATAATCTAGCATTTACTGGCTTTGTGCTGCTACTGAGAAAACGATAGGTTTACTGTAGGTCTAAGTATATCATTTTATCAAATAGGTTTCCATAAATATTATAATTAATAAGCACACAAATTAAAATATTCGCAGTATTTCACAAACTTTGGGGTAAAAAAAGACAAGTTGACACATTTTTTGTCTCTTTTTAACCCACTTTATAAAAGGAGGAGGTTCTCAATTCAACCGTGCGTTAGGTACATATTTTAAGATAAAATATTGACCAATCTCTACAAGTTAAGCTATGTCTAATAACACAGATTTTCCACACATATGTAAAATTGAATATTTACAGTAATATATTAATTAGAATATGTAATACTTAGAATATATTTATTTATTCTACAATGTTGTAAATAGTAGATTTGAAATAAAGGGGAACCAAACAAAACATATGAGCAAGGAAGAATTGTGAATTTACAAACATTTTAGAATATATTTTTTTGTTTATCTAAAGTTTACACGTGGGACCACGATTAAAAAAAAGCAATCAAATGATTTCAATTAGACACCCTGCAATTCACTAATAATTACTTCAAATCGATACAAATATCAAGACTTTTTAGGTACAAACCCAGTACACAATAGACCTAAAAAAAACAAGCAATTTTAAACCTTAACGACTTATTACATTATAGTTGAGTATTGTATTTACAAACTAATCTATCATTGGTGTCAATTTTCCTTTTTCATCATGAGTTTTACATAATTCGATATCTACACATTTACAAATATTAAAAACTACATGATTTTTTCAAATAAATAACCCATGAATAAGGGCCTTCACAAAGCGGCAAACGGCCGGTAGGGAAAATTTGGGTATACTGTTTGTTTTGTTTTGCTTTTAATTTTTGTAAACGTTGCTCCACACTAGGATTTTCTCCTCAGTCGTGGGTGCGTTTACAAACATACAAATTCAGATACACGTCACACCCAGACTCGGAACAACAGTTGTGGATCACACAGAGTTGTTTCGTGGCGGAATGGATCCCGCGACACATTGCGCGGCAGCCAGTTGCCTAGCCACCGCGCCAATCGTGCAGTCATACTATACTGTTTGGTTTTCAATATCTGAATTGCTACTATGTTTTTTTTTATTGTAACTATCGTGAGACATACAAAATTTATTGAAAATAGCGAGTTACTTGAATTAACAGAGAAAACCTCGACTAGTCGAAGTGACACAACGTCGCGCTGCCAACTGACTATCTAAGCATTCAGCCGCGCGACGTCACTCGCCGCAAAGCATGAATAAGAGTTCCTTTGTACCTTGAAAGTAGTCGAGCTTTTCTCAACAATTGCCATCATCTTCACTCTCAAAACGAAAGACTGAAATAGGTACTTTGGACCTTACGATATGTGATTTTCGTTTCAGTTAAAGTTAATATTAAAATCTTGTTAATTATCTGTGGAGTCTAATTTTTGCTAATGTCTATCTACTGTAGAGCTGCAAGATCTATTTTAGAATAGTTTTCTACTATTGAAATTTTTCGTACAACATAACAGTAGAAAACTATGGAGTAGATATATTTTTACATATAAAATATTTTACACAGGTTGTCTTAAAAAAGTGCTTGAGTATAAATTGATTTCATTGTTACTATTATTTTACTTTATGTGTAGATACATTATAGTTTTTACAATTAACCTTCAATTTAGTGTAGTTTCTATTGCTGTTTACTTCCTTTGAAAAATACTAAAACACAGCTTAAAATTAGATCTATCAATAATGTATCGTTATTTTCAGAAACATAGGTAAGTAAATAGATATATTAGTTGAAATAAATAATTTTGACTGAGCCGCGTCATCCTCTAGGCCACAAAGCTTATTATTTTTTTCAAACTCGATATTTTTTCTTGGTTTTATTATAGGTAAATATAAGAACAATTTATTTGCATGACGTAGGTACTTAAACTATAATTATCCGACTATATTCACACAAATCTACAAAAATCTAAGAAAATCTTTGGCACATATAATGGCACAGTACAATCAATATCATACATATTTCCTCTAATCTCTGGACGATGGGCCAGGTCTGGCATCCTCAGTAGACTTCCACCTGCTTTCTAACACAGACTTCCCTTTAGCATCACGACTGACGTTCTGGTGGCTGTACCGTCTCTGTTCTTCAAAAACCCTGGCAGTTATGTTGAACACGCTGTCAGCACTGGTTTTTCTTCGAGTGTCAAGAGTGGTTAAACTATTGGCGGCTGAAGGCGCTATACGATGAGGGAATCTTGGTGACCCCTTGATCTTCTCACAGGAATTCTGATGAGACATCGGTCTTTGATGCGTCGTTGGTAGAACGAAATTAACCTTTGTCTCAGGTTCAGCAATGTATTTCTGCTGCAACGGTCTCGGATGATCAGGTTCATATGAACAAGAAGGTTCGTCATCAGTGACGCGGATAATAGGACCACTTTTAGCATAAGATTCTCTTCTTAACTTCAATTCTGGATGAGGCACGTGAAGAGTGTTGCAGGATAGGACCATGGAATGTTTCCTGTTCCCTGGAACGAGACCTGCTATCATACCAACGTGCATTTTAAGTGCTGCTGCTATACTGGCTCCTGTAGGATCTGCTATTGACATGGTAGAGGCTTTCCTACTGGACGGTCTACTGCTGCCGAAGAAACTTTTAATTCTACTGAGTAGACCGGTGTGTTCTTCTCTCTTGTTTAGGCAGAGGTTGTAAAGGTCTATAGATGGTTGAGATTTCCTGTAGTTGAGTTTTGGTTGTGAACTGAAACTGACGGAGTTTCGTCCTCGGAAAGCGTCGGTTGATGGCCAGCTGGCGCGTGGTATGACTGGTGGGAGGACGGACAGTAGGAGCATTGGTAGACCGCCGCTGATACTCGGAGTGCGCCTGTCTCCGTCTACGTGAGCTAGGCCTTCTTCTTCAACGGTGTTTAGTTCAGTCTGGAACGAAGGGAAGCTTTTAAGAACACAGAGAGGAAAAACGGAGTCCTGCTCCATGAAGTGCTAAATACCAGGCTATTGTGATGAATTAATTAGCTCTCTATTCTCCAACTAGAATTCAACCGATTCTAGTTTACCTCCAGATTATTTTCATTTTGTAGCTATTTAGATTTAAGAGGATTAGAGAATTTAAACTCACCCGTTTATGCAAGGACAGCGATGCATTAGAACCACTCCCGGAGTCCAGGGGCTCAGCCAACAGTTTCTCCAGCCTGCCGATCTCCTTGTCCAGTGCTGCCACCTCTCTCTTATACACTCTATTCTGTATCTCTATCCTGAAGTGTAGCTCTTGGGTCTCGTCTGTCACGAATCTTCTCGTTTTGCATTCTAGTCTTAGGCCCATGCTTTGTATTACGGGGTCTTCTTCAGCTGAAAAATATATCAAGACAATTATTATTTCCTGAATGGGTGACAGAAGTTATGTTAATAGTGGTTTGCTTCATCAGACTACATTTTATTTATTATTTAATAGGTCGGCAAACGAGAAGACGGATTACCTGATGGTAAGCAATCAGCGCCGCCCATGGACACCCGCAACGGAGGAGTTACGAGTGCGTTGCCGCCCTTTTAGGGATTAGGGATTTGGAGATTTAGGGATTTAGGAGGGATTGGGGGAGGGGAAGGATTGGGCCTCCGACATATTTGCATAGCCGCATAGGATTTACGATTTGTTCTTTTCGCGACTGACTTTATGTATCACGGCGTTAGTATTATAATATTTTTCTTCAGTAACTCACCATTACTCCTAATGGCGACAATCTTCGGCAAAAACAGCAAACACAACGTGGATGTAGTAGTTATCAAAATCAAACTTGTTATCGAAATGTAGGCCAGAGTAGCTCTCTCAGATATTATAGTTCCAATAACCACCACACTGGCGCTGGTGATGACAACGGAATATACACTGATTCCTATATATTTGGAGTCGTTCAGAGCTGATATCTTGACGTTTCTGGTCTCCCAAGCCATGTAGACCCCTACTATGAGGAGCAGGCCCTTATATGCATAGAGGGCACAAAGCCAGCCAGTTGTGTTTTGGGATTTGCAGACTTCTATCTGAAAGAGATATCGGGGAATTAAATTTCGGTATAATAGTAGTCATTGTTAGCCATAGGAGTTTACATTAAATTGTTAGAAATATTAAATTATTTTCACCAACTTCATTGATAAGGTACCTATTAAACCTAACATTTCTTTCATGTTAAGGACGACGATTGCTTCTTACTTTATTTTTGCAATGATACAATCTGCTTGGAAAATACTTCCAAGTTTTGGCCCATACTTCCAAGTTTTGGCCCATTTTATCCATTTTGTAACTGTATTTAATAGCAAATATGTAAATCCTTTGAATTCGACTTCGACTTTGACCATTTCAATAACCCATTCACGATCTTCTCACCTGAGGTTGATATATGACGCTCCTATCAGTGGTGCTGATCTCCGTCGTCAGGTTCTTGAGATGCCGCTCCATGGGGTCCAGCATTGTCCAGAGTGTGACTATCATCCCATCGATGACCAGTAGCGCGCACACCAGAGATATCAGTGGGGTGTCTTGTAGTAATTTTGTTTTGCAGACTCCACTGCGATTGCTGGAAAAAAATATGGTGGATAGGTATATCTGGACACTTCTGTGAAGTTTTTTTTTAATTGCTTTATTTGTATTTATTTATATATTTATATTTTATAGCTTTTGTTGTTTTTTTTAATGTCTTGCAGCTGACAGAGTATAAACATCAGAACCGAAAACATAATAATTTGCTTACCAGGTGGTTTTCAAGCCAGTTGTGCCAGCCTTCAATTGTGTGGGTATTATAACTGTAATGATCAGATTATCTGATGATTGTACGTTACCTTATAAATATCCTATGTACTCGATACGTCTTTGCAAACATGGAACCGAAAGCCAAGGAGAACCCAGCTGAGAGGATGTAGACCCTGCCCTGGAAGAAGAAAAGTTAAATTTTAATTTTGGTGGTCGTAAGCAAAAATCTTCGTTTCCAACCGGCTGATCTGCAAATCATAAGCCCCTCGCCTATGGTGAGTTGGAAAGGCCATGACGATTTAATAGAAATACGCCAAACAAAGATTTTTATTCTACATATAGGTATAACTGGTGAAGCATTAAAACCTTTTTTATATGTTGCCCCAAACTATATAGTTTTTTTTCTTTTGGCATGTCGTAGGAAATCACACCTAGACCCTTAAAAACAATTTGAGGATTACACAAGGAGTTGTTCCGTGCGAGATGTAAATTCACGACACTTTGCACGATGACCAGTTGCCCAGTCACCGCGTCAAATGTACATTCAAAGGATACATTCACTGAACTGAAAATCTTAATTTTAATTGAATAAATTGTAACTTCTTTTTCACGGTGGACTTACAGTGCACATAGCGGAGAAGGGGACATATGAAGGAAGAGTCGCGTTGTCGACACCCAGTAGTGCCACCGCCGTGTAGACTAATACGCAGCCGATCAGCGTCATGTTATTCAAGCGAGGAGATGACAGCTTTATCGATCTGAAAATATATTTTAATGGACTATTACCGTAGTTGTCCGGAGGTTAAGACGCCCGCTTCTCATGCATGAGGATGCGGGTTCGAAATCGAGTTATTTGTACGTTCAATCATTAAAAACTGAAAACTGGATAATTTATATAAGAAATCGCCAATCAGCCTCGAGTAAACGTGGTGATTAAAGCTCAAATCTTCTCTGTGAGAAGAGACTTTTGCTCAGCAGTGGGCACTGATTGGCTGATGATGTGATGTGTGGACTATAACTTATAGATAGATACCTATAAGACCTATATACCTTAAGTGTTAGTAGAGTTTTATGGTTTTTTGGTTCTTGCAACTTTGCAGTTATGTTTGGCCACATAAGTGAGGCTACCTGATCCTAAGTCCAAGCTGCTCCCTTCAAAACCCTTGCGACTCCTCTGGCGTTGCGGGTATCTGGGCAGCGCTGATTGCTCACCATTAGAATTCGTTGTGGCGCAAAATAATTTCAGCTAAGATTGTTAAATGTTATACCGACACACTTAGCTGCCCTGACGAACAGACTTATAGACTCCAATTCAATTTTGACGTTTTAAAAGTACGTTAAGTAAGTAACGTGAATAATAATAGTACATTATGGAACAAGTGTGTAATGTTGGTGATTACCGCTGAGGCGCATTGAAGCCAGAGCCATTAGGTGAGGGTGTTCAGGAGACGGGGACGTTAAGCATCAATATAATTGATGATTACCGTCCGTCCGTACCGAGTATCATACGGCGTTTTTTAACACACTTCTGAATAAAATAATACTTAAATAAAAAACCAAATAAAAAAACCTATTACTCACTAGTGAATAATATTAAAAAAAGTCACATTTTGATTATAGGTGCCATTAAATGCCTAATTGACGGGGAATTAGAGCGACTTTATGAGGAAGTGTGTTAAAAAAAAAACTAACCTTCGTTTACTATAGTGCAAGTTGAAGACCAGGAAGGCTAGAGCTAAGGCCACACCCAATGCAGCTAAAGCTGCAACTGCAAGCCTAGCTGGAGGCCACACGGAGTCCACTCTAAGAACCAGTACCCTCCGAGCTGCTGGAACACCTCCCGCCCATTGAGGGCGAGTGCATTCAGAACAGGTCATCTCCCTCCCATGAGTGTAAAGCGCTACAGTTTTTGGTCTGCCACCTGTAAATTTCGAAAGTAATATGATGTACATATTCTTCTCCCAAAACAGTCATTCATGTCCCTGAGATGCGCCGGATTTACTGTAGATTCTGACTTGCAGAAGTTGCAGCGGTTTAGAAAGATGTGGCCGGTTTGTCCCATTTAAAAAATATGAAAAGGGTCTTTTAATAATAATAAATATCGATGTAATATTGATAGATATAAAACTTTATCGTTATAAAAACATAAACCTCATGTTGGATCTGTATATAGAAATATATTCCAAAAAAAGAAGCATGTTAGTGTGATAAAGTGTAGTACCTTGAATTTGATAGAAAGCAGATGTTCCTATCCTGTCAGCTCCATTGAACGAGACGGGACCCTGGAAATATGAAAATGTATCTTATGAGAATTATATTTTCAAAATGTTGTAATAGTGAGAAAATTAGTTTTTAACGATGGAAGCTGAAAATAAATGGTCTTTGTTTCAACTTAAGTATTGAAGTTGTTCAGAAACTACGACAGCGAATTTAAAAATCAATTACTGAATAAAATGAAGATAAATTGTCTAAGCAGTGATAGTAAGGTTTATTTTAGAAAAGAGGCAATGTAATAACGAACTTTTCTGAGTATAAGGTTCTCATTATATTTATCAGCCTCAGCCTATAGTGCCTACTGCTGGTAAAGGCCTCTTCTCACAGGGAGAAGGTTTAAGAATTAATCACCACATATACTTCGGATAATATCATTATGAGATTTTGAACCTTGAATTCTCTTGAATAAGAAACGGGCGCTTGAAGGTCCTGTAATTGCCCTGTGAATTAGATTACTGTAAGATGAAAAGTTATGTGCGGCCATGTCTTATGGAAATTTCCAGAACTTTCGATCTTCAAATTAAGGACATAACCAGTAGTGGGCGTTTTCTATAACATTATACACATACCTACACGTAAATATACATAATAATAATTAATAACAATTCACTAATTCCTAACTTGTTATCGGCATCTGTTCCTGAATATTCAAATGTATGTTAATTTCATTCCACTCCACATGCTGACTATAATTTATTTGACGTAGTTAATCCTATAAATGCGTTTGAGAGTTCCATTCTGCTAATTTGACGTTAATTTGTGATATCGTGTTCGTAGGCACAGGTATTAACTGCACGTGCCCAATTTATTTTACAAGTGGGTTTTTAAAGTCGCCCGTCGTACATTGCTCATAATGTTTAAGTTTACGCGGCGATGACGCGACTCGATGCTGCGATGTATGACAAACACAAGACGCGCTTCGCAATGCTCTACGTGTCCGTAAACTATCAGCGCCGCCCATGGACAATCATTATACCAAAGGACGTTGCGTTGCGTTGATGACCTCTTGTGGGTTATTAGGGATTAAGGGTAGGGGATTTCAGAATTGTGGTTGGGGTTGGGGAAGCGGAGGGGGAGTATGGGGCTTCCAGTAACCACACGGCGAAACACAACGTAAGTGTTGCTTCACGCCGGGTTTTTGTTAAGCCGTGGTATCTCTCCGGTCAAGCCGACTTATTAGTGCCGAAGCACAATAACATTCAAATTACAGGAGTAAGCAATTACTCAATTTTGTGGTGTCCCGGAGGTTAAGACGCCCGTTACTCGTACATGAGGGTGTGAAACCTAGCAGGTACCAATGTTACTTTATCCGACTTATATTTGTGTACTTTTTATGATTATTTAGACAAAACTGACATGCGGTGAAGGAAAACATCGTGAGGAAACCTGGACTTATAATTTCTAATTATACGTCTAAAAGCGCCAATCTGCCTTTAAGCATGGTGTAAGAAGAGGCCTTTGCTCATCTGTGGGTATTTATAGGCTGATGGTCTTATTTTTTATTCAAACGTCGGTTCGACCGGAGTGATACCACGGCCTCACAGAAAACCGGCGTGAAATAACCACAGCGTTGTGTTTCGCCGTGTGAGTGAGGTTACCGGAGGCCCAATACTTCCCCTCCCCCAATCCCTCCTCAATCATAAAATATCCAAATCCCTAATCCCTAAAAGGTCGGCAACGCACTCGTAACTCCTCCGTTGTGGGTGCCCATGGGCGGCGCTGATTGCTTACCATCAGGTAATCCGTCAGCTCGTTTGCTGCCCTATAACATAAAAAAAGATACATGCTGCCATTGTTAATTAATATAAAAAAGTTAAGGAGTGATAAAATAGTCACCGAAACTCCAACGAAGCTGAGGTTTGCGAGCTGGTCCAGGAACTCCTTAGCCATATCCTGCCTATCATAATCAAAATGGCTGAGTCCTAGTCTTGTGGCATTCGTCCCGTTATTGCTCTGGTCACCCAGAGACCTCCATAATTGTTCAGCTTTGCTCAATGCTAGGGCTATGGCCCAAACAGCGTCGTATGTTTGTGGAGCGTAGGGGGAAACAGCGACTCCAGCGGCTTCCATTTCCCGGTGGAACATTTCATTGGTCTGTGGACAAAAAAGATTAGGTATCAGAAAGAAGAAGAAAGAAAAACATTTCTTTGAGACTAGCACAGAAAATAAATACAATTACATTTTAGATATACAAAAAAAACAAACCAAAAATAAACAAAACAACAACAAAAAATATTAAAAAATAAATTAGTGGTTGTGATATGTGATTTTTCAGATAGTGATTGATCAGATAGTGGTTGTTGTTTTTTTTTGTATGATAGTGCGGTAAACTTGTAGACGGATTACCTGATGGTAAGCAATGTTTTGACACTTATGTCTCCAGCAGTTAAATTGTATAAAAGTATCTTACTACCTCACTAATATTATAAATGCGAAAGTTAGGTACAATGTTTGGATGTTTGTTACTCAATCACGCCAAAACGTCTGGACGGTTTTGGATGAAATTCGGCACAGGCGTAGGATACTTTTTATCAACATCCCACGCGGGCGAAGCCGAGGACGGAAGCTAGTTTGTTGTAATACCAATTATTATTACTACTATTGCTATATTACTATACATAGCTAAATTATATTTATTTGGAAGTCGTTTATCACAGGAGTTACTGGTCCGGATTGAAACATTATTTTTGGGTTTAATAATACCGTTTAATTCATCACGAACGCCGGCGTTCGCACTCCTATTGTGTCTCTAATTACCACGATTAAAAGGTTAAGAAGAAAACAGTGACTTATAGACACCGCACTTCGATCTAAGCCAAGCAGCAAGCGATATAACACGTGAGAGTTTTATATTGGAAATTCTGTAGGAAAACTAACCTTTTCTAATTATATGAACGCGATCCCATCCACTTACGTTAGCTCCTATTCATGTTCGCAAACTCAACTTGTTACCTACATAGAGTTATACAAAGTTATGTAAACATAAATGATTAAACTTTGACCTGTCGATGTACTAACCACTCCAATTAGTGCTTGCGGCTTATCGACCTGATTAGTTAGACCTAAGTATTGAGTTGTTTACATGTAATTTACTAGCAAAACCTAACTTAAAAACTTCTCTTCTTCTCCTGCTCTAGGTTGAGGCCGTGTTGCCTCATTGCGCTTACCCCGCAATTGTGGTCTGTGGTGGTCTATTGGCTCTTTGAGGCGCAAGCAAAAGGCATAGTTTTAGAATAATGTTTAATAGGTACTTCCATTTTTTTTAAGGTTGTCCCGCACTTAGATGTATGTACGTATTTCTTTCGGAACAACAATTTGACTATTAAATGACATTGTCAGTATGCATATGTGAGCGACATATTTGAGATAATGAAGGATTTTAAATGGAATTTAATGATGAGGGGTTATCTCATCAAAATTTTGCGAGATTGCAAAACATTATATACTCTTTAAAGATTTTTTATGATAGAATTGTTAGATATATTTTTTTAAGAAGAATCTTGCGTGTTACTTTACCTTTGAATTTACAATTTGGAATGAACGCCTAGCTTCGCCGACGAACAGACTGAAGGACTATTATTGCTTTGTAGTGACATCACATCTTTAGTTTGCTTGCGACCACGACCTGTGCAACCAAGGCGAAACGTCAAGCCTACCAAGGTATTTAAATAATTATTTTTCGCGTTAATACCCGCGTAGGTAATTATATGCCGTAAATAAAACCTTTTTGAACTAAAACTCTAGTGAATATTCATATCGGAGTACTTGCGAAGCGTAACACATTGTACTTTTTATTGGACCACTATCAGGTGGAAGGCAATGAATAAAGCATTACTCGACGGAGAATACGTCTCTGCGTCAGCTGTATATCTCCGTGATGTAGGTACACGTATAAATAAAATATTGCAGCTTACGGGGCCAAACGTTTATTTCGGGGAAATCTGTGCTGGTCTGATGTATAGTGAATTAGTTTCTAAGTGGTGTTTTAAGGATAGAAAGCCGAAAAGAAGAAAAAAAGGAATGGTAGTGCCCACTTTTACAAGGAGCTAAGTTCTTTTATTATTTTCTCGTTTATATTTCATCCTTTTTCGAAAGCAATATGTGGATCGAATAATTTATAGTTAAATTGCACATTAGCCAGTTACATTTTATAGTATGTAATACCACGACGAAAGGACCGAAGTGAAGTTTATAAGAAACCTTATTTATAAGAAAGTTTTTTTTCTATACTTAAAAATATATTATATCGACTTTAAACTGCTTCTTTCTAGTGAAATTATAACCTTTATTTATTACTTATATTAAAAAAATCTGGTTATTGGCAAAGTTTGTGTGATATATAGACAGAACTTGTATTTGTTTTATGGGTTATTAGGTTTTAGTTTTGTTTTTCTTTTTCTTTTTGTTCCTGTAATGATTGCCTTTCGCTTCCCATTTTAATGTTTTTGTTGTAGTTTTAAGTTCATGTGTGTTCTGCGCGAGAATAAATGGTATTTTTTCTTTCTTTCTTTCTATACCTACCTAAATCTTTTGGGGACACCATTTCGCATCAACGATGAGGAGTTTTTTGATGCAATGTAATGTTATTTTATTTATTTATAAGTTGTAAATGTTTTAGTTCTATTTGTTTTGTTTTAAGCGATTTTTTTTATATTAACGTAATTTTCCTTGTTCATGAATTGCTCCTATGTCTTACGATAGTTTCTATTCATCCAATAATATATAAATTACAGTAATAAATTAAAAGCAGACAATTATGAATTAATAATTTACTAGATTAATTATTGTCATCGACTACGCCTGAAGTCAAATGCAACCCTGCATTAAACAATGCAGATACAAGCCGGTACATTCCGTGTTCACCTCCCGGCGATGTCGAATTTTGCATTCATTATACGATTCAGTCTCTTTTCGAATGAACGAATGAACGAATGAATGAATAATAAATACTCGTATGTCATTCAATTAAAATCGCGTTTGTACAAGAGCATTATGCTCCATTTTTATTACCTGTAAAATTTTAAGTTTTTTTTATAAAATTATTATTTTCGTTGCAGTTTTAAAATGTGTTTTTTGTTTTTTTGATTGTGATAGGTATGTTCGTGTTCTCATTTTGTTTTTTTTATTCATATGGCTTTTTTGTTGTTGCTTAATATATTTGTCCAAATTTATAAATGAAATTTAATATTGTCAAAAAAAAAAACGATGTGTAATATTGACTTTAAATGTTGTGTGATTTTTTGTAATTTTTAAATAATATATTTCTTGTAGACTATGTTATAAAAAAACCCATGTGTTAATCCCGGGTACTACTTATCTACATACCAAATTTCAGCAAATCAACGTCTGCTAAAAAATACCTATCCCAAACTTAAAGTTTCACAGTTTGCCGCCGACTACTACTACTATTCAGCACTGGCAGCATAATCTATAAAATTATATGGGAGAATCAAATGCTAAAAAAAACAAAAAAAGTACAATAAAAAGGTTCAAAATACATACCAAGCCAGAGATCGAAGCAGCATCTCCAACGATGCCTCTATGCGCAGTCACGGTGACCAATCCTTCGAGCGCACGCGCAAGTTGTGGGCGGGCACAGGGCGGGGCGCCACGGATGCGCGGGGGCATGCCCGACACTAGCCAGGCGTACTCCGCACCGAACATGCCAAGTCTGAACGCCTGCGATCTCAGAAACATCCGCACACTTACTACCGAAGATTTTTAACTGACTTTTTGAGGGGTGGTAATTATCAAATGATTTGTTTTAGCACGGCGTGTGAGGATAGGGAGTATAAGACTATTACTGCCTAAAAACGACCCCGTTCCTTCCGACTTGGAGCCGGCTCCAGGTCGGTCGGGAGCGCAGTGCATAATTACGCTTGACCCAAAATACCGGCAATTTTTGTTAGTGGCCTTGGTCTTGCTTACTTCGACTTAGTCTTTCTTTAGACTATATTATTATAATATATAGACTACTTCTTTAGACTTAATTATACAGAAGGCATGTTTTACAGAAATCGATTAGGTATCTGGCACATATTTTGTACGGAAACGATGACAAATAAATTATCTGCCGGTTAATCCGACGTTGCAATTTAATAATTTATGAAAAGGTTGTGTATTTTAAGCAGTTTAATCTCTTGACAATTTATTGGAAATGCAAATATTAATTATCTTAAATCCGACTCACCTCACAGAATATCTTTGGTATCATCTCCTGTGAGAAGCTGCCGATGATGATTCGGGTGTCCAGCTCCTGTGGAAAAATAGATACATAAATATTTTCAAAATAATAAAGGATTGTTACTTTGACCTTACAATGTAAGAGGAAAAAAGTAGGGCAACGGGTCGGTTCGATCAGAGTCACCATAGTCTCATAGAAAACCAGCGCTAAAAAAATCACAGCGTTATGTTGCGCCATGTAAGTGAAGTTACCGGAGGCCCTATCTTTACCCTCTCCCATCCCTTCTTTATCCCTATCCAAAACTTTTCTGGAGTTGCAAGTGTAGAGTGATTGCTTAACATCAGGTTGTTCACCTGTTCATTTGCCCACCTATCACACAAAAAAAAATATCATATTAGGGCTTATTTTCCAATAGTCAGATTAATGTTATCTGAGGAATAAAACTGTTGTTGTCACTGTCTTATACAAACATTCTGACACGACAGCATCATAATTATTCCCCAGATAACTTTTATCTATATATTGAAAAATCAGCCCTTAGAATAATTTATACTCATGCTTATCTGGGAATAACGGTAATGCGGATGCAACTATAACGAAGTGAAATCTATACTAATATTATAAAGAGGTAAAATTTGTAAGTTTGTATGTTTGTAAGTTTGTATGTAGGGGGTAATCTTTGGAACCGCTGTTCGGATTTCCAAAATTCTTTCACTCATAGATAGCTACAATGTTCCTGAGTGCTATAGGCTATAAAACGACACGTTACGATTAAATGGAGCCGAGCAGAGGGTGAAACCGCGAGAAAGTAGCTAGTCGTTGAATATTTGGGTAAATTGAGACAAGAGACTTGGCGTCTCCTTTGGGAGGTATAGCGTGATCGTATATCAAGTGCAAATCCTTCAATGTCAGCACTCTTCATACATGACGCTGCAAAGGTATAATCATTTTCAATTTGATATGACAAACCAGAAAGAGGGCAAAGTGGAAACTTCTGTAACTGATATTTTTGTGTTAGGTACCTCTTATTTGCTTTGTCGACGAAGTGTGGCTACAAATATTGTACGGAAGTAAATCGAAGACGTCTATTAGGACATGGTTTAAATATGTTTTATTTTTGGGTTTTTTTCCTATGTTATGTGGTGTGTGTTTGTGTGTGTGCTTTTTTAAATAGCTTAATGCTTTTTATTCCTGTGGTGAGTCACGAATAAATTCACAAACACACCACTTCCAAAATTGAAGGATTATGTACGATTAATCCCTTTCAAAAATGCGATCGATAAAGTTTTTTAAATCATAAAAGTCAGCACTTTAACAAATAGTACAAGTTGCAAATACTTTTATATTATACATAGGTATATATACATACATATATACGTACTTTAAGCGTGTTGTATGTTGTTCTTTCATCTTACATTATATAGAAAGAAAGAAAGACAAATAATGATGAGGAAAAAGCTAACGTTTGCATATCTAACGGACTGTAGAGAGCAAATGATGTAGTGTCTGCTTGTATTGTGCGATTCGCTTAGCACAGGAACAAACGAACAAGTTTATATGTATTGTAAATATGACTAACGATATATGTACCTACTAGCGACAATGCAATGCTGTTACAAAATTTCTCCACTATTTAGAGGACGTTATTACATGATTATAAATGTATTACATACTAGCTACTCTCGCGCGGTTTCACCCACTGCTCGCCTCCATTTGATCGTAGCGTGATGTTATATAGATTATAGAACTCAGGAACATTGTAGCTATCTATCAGTGAAAGAATTTTGGCAATCCGATCAGCGGTTCCAAAGATTACCCCTTACATACAAACTTACAAATTTTATCTCTTTATAATATTAAGTATAGTTACACGTTTTTCTTTAACCACTTTGTTTATTAAAATAACCGGATCAGAATCTGTTGCGTAGTTTTAAAGATTTAATCATACATAGAGATATAGAGAGAGAGAGAGAGGGACTGAGAAAGCGACTTTTTTATGGTATAATTCGGCAAACAAGCAGACGGATTACCTGATGGTAAGCGTTGCCCATGGAAATCCGCAACACTAAAGGAGTTACGAGTACATTGCTGGCCTTTTAGGGATAAGGGTTTCAGATATTTAAGGATTGGGAAGAGATGGAGGAGGAGGGAGAGGGATTGAGCCTCCGGAAACCTCACTCACGTAACACAACACTGTGGTTGTTCAGATGTTGCTTACCATCAGGTGACCCAAATGGACAGACTATTTGTATTTGCCCAATTACAAGGAAAATCTAAAATGATTTGATATTTACGTAACTACAGGAAATAATCTCAACAAATGTTCACTTCAAAACAACGGATTAGTTGTTAATTACTAAATCAAAGAGGATGTTTGGAAGCCGCAGTCATTTCATTGTAATTAATTGATGTTCATTTATTAATTTGAGAGAATGTTTTATTAGTGATTTAGTAGCTGCTGTGTTGTGGTCGGTGCAAACAGTTCGTAGGAAAAGTTGTAACAACGTCGGCTTTGGCTTTGAAGTTGGTTTAAACAATGCCCGATTTAAAACTGGCTTTTCACTTTAAAATCGTTGGTATTATCTATACTAATATTATAAAGAGGTAAAATTTGTAAATTTGTATGTTTGTAAGTTTGTATGTAGGGGGTAATCTTTGGAAGCGCTGGCCGGATTGCTAAAATTCTTTCACTGATAGATAGCTACAATGTTCCTGAGTGCAATAATATAAGTGGTGCTTAAATAAACCAAGAAAGTACATAATAACTCGGAAAAACCACATTGGTACTTGCCAGGTTTTGAACACACATCCTCATGCATGAGAAGCAGGCGAGCCTCGGAGGAGTAGTAGTAGTAGTAGTAGATTAGTAAACAATACTAATCTAAAACAAAACTAATTTAAGCGTAGAATCTAAACTAAAAAAACTAAATAAAAAGACCGTAATTTAAAAAAAGTCATCATTCCTATTCGGTAAAAAACTCCTTTCCTGATATGGATGTCGCCGATGAATTACCATCAGGTTTACATGTTTTTTTGCCGAATTATCCCATAAGATACCAAAATAAAACGACCCATAGTTAGGAATAAATCAATACACTCGACACTTCGTACTCCAGCCAGACTCGGAAACCACGCGCCATGCTGTCGAACAAACACAATCTATGAATGCGCTCCATTCGTCAGCGAGTTCACTACCTCTACCATGAGTTTTAAACAACAACATTTATCGACACTCGACAGTGACAGCGTAAAGTATATGTCAATGTCAACGTCAAGTTATGTCAATTAATCCTTAAACTGACACTTTAGAAATGTCAAAGTTGGATTTTTCGAAAAATTGACGAAGCTAGGTGCTCGTTCCGAGATGTTCATTCGTATAGAGAAGAACGAGCAAAATCACCGTTACTCATTTAAAATTATTGGAAAGCTTTTATCAGTTGGGTCCCGGGGCCAAGAACTTGAGAGTTGTACAGCATAATATAACCACGCAAATTGAATGCGTATAAAAATGTCAGCTCAATTGGTTGAACAATTCTGTTTCTTAATTTAATTGCTAGATTCCACTTCTCAAATATACAGACATACATACAATTATACCTTAAATAAAAGGTTATAAAACAAATAGCGAAAACCAACTTAAAAAGAACGTGTTAGTTCTATTAGTGACCGCTAAAAGAGCTTGTAAAACTGGCATATAATATATTAAAAATTAAAAAAAAACCCGCGACACAAAGAACATAAGCTACCTTCAAAAAAAACTTAAGTGAAATCGTTTCATCCGTTCAGGAGCTATGATGCCACAGACACACAGACAGACACGTCAAACTTATTAATGTTTTTGTTTTTTATGACGTACATAAGCTTAAGTCATAACCTTTCATTTGATACACCACTTGAGTATATTTGCAGACATTCGGTTTTTCTTCCCCACTTTAACCCCCCGTAACTTTTAAAAGACTCAATCGATTTTCATCAAACATATCTTAGAACACTCGCCCGTAAGACACCTGTAGTACAAAAGAAACTAAATTGAAATCGGTTCATTCGTTCAGGAGCTATGATGCCACAGACAGACAGACACATTAAACTTATAAACCCCCTCTTTTTGCGTCGGGGGTTAAAAATAGCATTTATTGAGAAATACTAACGCTTGAAACTAGTGGTAAAGGTACTGATTGATAGTGACAACATTGACAGTGATTGGGTTCGAGTCGGAGCTGGAACTAATTGAGGCACATAACTGCATTGTTTGTGTAGTTCTGTCGTCTCATTTGTACGTTCTAACGTAGCTGTAGGGGCAATTGTTTTGGTATAATATTAAGTAACATAATGTTTTGTACATCAATATCAAATAATAATGAAAGTAATGTCTTGATGATGACTAGTATTTAATGTGGCTCTTTATAATGAAAGTGGTAAACCAAAGGTTAATTAAAAACTGAGCAATTTTTGTATTGATTTATTTTATTAATAATAATTAAATAAATATCTTAAATCACCATCAAACAACAAAAGATGTGCACAAAGCAGCGTGCATTTTTTATGCATGCGCGGCAAACTAGCACGTGTCCATAGTCAACTCGACCAAGTCATATCTCGACCTTACAGAACATCGGCTTGAAAAAAACATTTAACCAAAACAAATTTTGATCAATGTATAAAGGCCGGTAACTACTTAGGACTTACGATAGTCCAAAGGCATCACATAAAAAATGCGCACAGAGTAAGTTAACACTTATATACACTTTTATATGGATATGAAATAAGTCGGTTAGTTGATAGAAGTCATTTTTTTTTTCAAGTTATATGTACTTTCTATAATTATTTAGACATACGGGGAAACCTGGACTTATAATTTCTAATTATAAGTTTGAAATCGCCACCCCGCATTGAGCAAGCGTGGCGATTAATGCTCTAACCTTCTCCGTATGAGAAGAGGCCTTTGCTCAGCAGTGGGCACTTATAGGCTGATGATGACGATGATGAAGCTTTTCTTTATAAAATTTGTACACGTATCTACCACCTAGCACGAGAGAAATAAATTGATGATTTTCCCAACATAAAAACCAAATATAATGTGTTTTATTACAAGGATAATTTTGACTTGTTTGTGTTTCGATCTGTATAACTATCAAACCAAAAACCTTCACCTCACAATCCCTTCTCAACAGAGAAGACGAAAATAGTTCCTTTGTATCCAAACTTAAAGTTCTATTTCAAGTTGGGCTCTGCAAACGATGGCTCATCAAACCAAGACATACGTCGGCATCATACCTGATCCTCAATTCATTATCCAACTCCATTAAAGTCCCAAAAGTGATTGATTTTCAACCTTAACGACCTAAGTTTGTATTGGTTCGAAGACACGACCGATATTACCTAAACATTGAAAACATTAAAGTTTAAAATTGCTTATTTCCGAAGTTTGGTCTTCGGTGGCGTTGTGTGTAAGTTGGTGTTGGTTAAGCTGTTTTAGTAAGAAGGTGATAATGGTTGTGTTCTGGATATATGTACTTTATTATTAGTTTATTTTTAAATCATAGATCATATAGAACCTCAGTTTGATCTTCAATACCAATGAGGAGTGTTGTGTTTCGCCGTTTGAGTGAGGTTACCGGAGTCCCCATTCTTCCCCTCCTACCTTAATCCCCAAAAGGATGGCAACGTGCTCGTCACTCCGTTGTTGTGGGTGTCCATGGGCGGCGCTGATTGCTTACCATCAGGTAATCCGTCTCATCGTTTGCCGTCGTATCACATAAAAAAAGTCTTTAACATACCTTGAGTTGCTGCAACTGTTCCTTGAAGTCTGACTCCGCAAAGGTAATGGAAGCAGCGCACGTGATGTTGGCGGCTTCTAGCTGGGTGACCAGCTCGTTTACAGCCAAAGAGTATATCTCCTCATTCTGGGAGAAAGCTGTCACCGTGTCCCAGCCAAATTGTCTGGTAAAAAAGAAATTACCATCAGTTTAAAATTTTATTAGAATTGGCAATATGTGGTTTTTAATGCTCTGTGATGTTTTTTTTATAAATTTTAAAGTGGCTTATAATTTTGAGACTGTTGGCTACACTGTAAGACTAATGTTATAGAAGATGAATGTAGACCACTATCGAATTTGACAATATCTGTTCTTCATAGTCGATAGTTGTTAGTGATAGAAAATAAATAAAAAAAATTTTCGTTTTTAATTTTTTTGGTATAGTTTCATGGTTTTAGTTTAAGCAGATTTTTTTATTATTGTATTTAAATTTTTTATTGTTACTAAATGTTTTACAATTAGTTACTGTCCTATATTTATTTGAAAAAAAATGGTGTTCCTACACTTTAGTAGGTTCTTGTGAATCAGAATTTATGACCAACTTATATCCAAAATGTCTAGTTAAAATCAAAAGAAATTGTGATTTATTAAAAATATTTTCATTATAAATAAAGCATGGATTTGTCCAGCATTTTTAAGTCCACAAGTGTTGGTCATAAAAACTCTTCAAATAAACTGCACGTACGCGCTTAAGTGGATTCAAGTCATTAGTGTAACGAACTAGGCTCGAATTTTAAACCATTTACACTATAAAAACTATTTTCGAATAATAAAAACGTTGCCCAGTCGTGTTAGCAAAATAAAAAGTTTACGATAAAGTTAAACCAGGTTTTCTGTGTTAAAATAGATTTAAAAAAAAAACATTTTATTTGTGTACAGTTGTTTAGATTCTTTCGTTGTCGGTTTTCACCTCAACTGATGGAGAATTACTCCCGCGCTGTGGTAGCCCGGAGGTTAAGGCACCGGTTCCTGGTAAACCAAACCAAACCACAAACCTAACCTGGTATCTGGTAAGTATCAATGTGAATCGAGTTATATGTAACTTGTAAGTTTATTTAGACACTATCGACAAACGGTGAAGGAAAATATCGCTTGAAAACATAGAATTATATTAATTATATCCTGCCTTGAACAAGTGTGGTGATTAATGCTTTCTTTTTTTTCTATTTCTTTTTCCTCACTTTAAGATTTTCAGTGTTGTAGGTGCGTTTACAAACATACAATGTCACATACACACGACAACCAGACCCGAATCAACAATTTGTGGATCACACAAAGTGTTGTTCCGTGCGGGAATCGAACCCGCGACACGTTGCACGGCATGCAGTTGCCCAGCCACTGCACCAACCGTGCAGTCGAGCTCAAATCTCTTCGTGTGAGAAGAGACTCTGGCTCAAAAGCTTTGATGATGAGGAATTTAGTTTCCTTCTTTTAATAACGATTAAAATGTATTTTCCTATACCCTTTCAGTAACAAAAAACAACTGAAAGAAAATATTTATACGCCTGTGATGGCTTCACTGAAAGACCGATGGCTACACTACCGAATTCGATACTATCTGTTTTTCAGAGTCGATAGTTGTTAGTGATAGAAGATAAATAAATTAATAAATATTTTCGTTTTAATTTTTTTTTCGTAATTTTTTCATTCAAAATAGAGTATAATTATGTTGGTATATGTTTTCAAATTGGTGATAGAATGCTTGTTTGAAAATCTTAACCTTTTCTAATACGGTCGGAATTATAAAAAGGTGGAGGATTTACGCTCGTGGCAGCCCGGAGGTTAAGGCACCAGTTCCTGGTAAACCAAACCAAACCCTAACCTGGTATCTGGTAAGTATCAATGTGAATCGAGTTATATGTAACTTGTAAGTTGATTTAGACACTATCGACAAACGGTGAAAGAAAATATCGCTTGAAAACATAGAATTATATTAATTATATCCTGCCTTGAACAAGTGTGGTGATTAATGCTTTCTTTTTTTCTATTTCTTTTTCCCCACTTCAGGATTTTCTGTGTTGTAGATGCGTTTACAAACATACAATGTCACATACACATGACACCCAGACCCGAAACAACAATTTGTGGATCACACAAAGTGTTGTTCCGTGCGGGAATCGAACCCGCGACACGTTGCACGGCAGCCACCGCACCAACCGTGCAGTCAAGCTCAAATCTCTTCGTGTGACAAGAGCTGGCTCAAAAGCTTTGATGATGAGGAATTTAGTATAACATAACTCATAATAGTGCCTATTTCAATTTTAATTTACATACTAAAAAGTAGCCAATTCAACTTCACAGAAATTCCTTCTCTTAATAACGATTAAAATGTAATCTCCTATACCCTTTCAGTAACAAAAAACAACTGAAAGAAAATGTTTATACGCCTGTAAAGGGCGCTGAAACGGAACAAGTCGAGTATCATTCAGAGCTCGCATCCTGAAAGGTCAAAATACTTAGGAATCCCTTTCAAAATCACACAAGTCTCATTTTACAAGGTACTTATAAGTTAGGACTCACACAATCTTGAATATTGTCCCTTATAAGTCGACAATATACAGGAAATTATTTGTAACAATGTGATATCGGTTGGGAGGATTTCTTTTCTTAAGAAAGGGTCTCAAAAGGTTGTTGATGAGGGCTCTGAATGTAGGGTAGGACCATTACCTACTACATTACGTTGACAATAAAAATTAATTGGGATTTTAATCACAATTAATTTTGGAACTGTTTTATCATTTTATACAATATAATTTGGCTTTAAATAAATTGCTATGCTGTCAATTTTTTTTTAAGGAATTTTGCAATAATGTATGCTTTTTGGCGGAACTTGGGATTGACTATAACCACCTAAATACATAAGATAATAAATTAAATATGATTTAAGTTTACCTACTGCCACATTTTTATGCAGAAATCGTTATGATTGAAAATACATTTTTATCCTTTAATATTAGATTTGGTTTTCAAAACTATTGACTGATTCTATTCTGTATTATATATTTCCTTGCAAAATTCTTACATTTTTACTTCATAATAAATTCTATTGCAAGATAATAAATAATTTTTATGATTACAACAATTAAGTTTCACTACAGTATAACAAACTTCTCCGTCTTCCCAGCTCGAGGAACAAATCAAATGAATGTTGCGCTTAATTCTGTTACAGTAGGAAGTTGCTGCAACAGTTGAGTAGCAGGTTACATGATTTAATTAAAACTCCGTCTTATACAAAGCCAGTCTTTTGATAGTTGACTGGAAGGGTATTATGTTTGTTGGGTAAAAATGTATTGGTCTGATAAACAGAAATAATAAAGTTTAGTGAAGTTGGTAGATAGATATTTTTGATATTTTAAACAGCTTTTGTTTTTAATTATTATGTTTTCGGCTTACTCACGTAATAATTTGACGAGATACTCGACTAGTTTCAAGCCATGCTTGAGGCCCATATTCATGAGCAGCATTCCGCGACACGCGACTCGGCGACTGTCGCGCTGCTACGTGTTATGAATATGGGCCTCTAGCATGGCTTGAAACTAGTCAAGTATCTCGTCAAATTATTACGTAAGCCGAAAACATACTATGTAATTAATTTAGAATGTGCCACGAAAGTTATAATAAAAAGCTTTTGTTTTTGTAGGGGGAAAATCATCAAATGACTTCTCCCTCCCAGGGTGAGGCGAGAGGAAGTGTCAGACTCTTACTGACTCAAAACCCCCGAGTTCCTTTTCCTGCTCTCGGCTAAAGCCGGGGTACATTATTGGGATGGCCCGCAATCCCGGCCTTCCTATTGTTGTGTTAATAAAAAACAGACACTACTGTAAAAAAGATGTAAAAAACGAAATAATATGATATAATTTACGATACCATAAAAGTTTTATATTTTTGACAATTATTATACATTATATATCAACATAACTGTCAAATTTTCTAGCAAGGTAAGCTACTGATGTGATTGTATTAAAAATCAGACAAATTCGTAAATAACCTAAAATGGTTTCGTCAGTATAGATATTTTATTCTTATACAACTAGTACAATTTATTGCACTATAATAATTTTAAAATCAACTAGAAATTCCCTAAACAAAAAGTTGAAAATGTAATTTGTTGGGTAAAGTTCACAGCGAGAGCTCTACAACTGTACTGGACGGCGAAACTATTTCTTACTTTATTTAGATTTGTGTAAAAACTTTTATTAAGGTGAATTTATTAGTTTAGTGAAGTTTAAAGGTAAAAATGAAATATCTAGACGCAAAATAACTGAGCTTACATTATAACTGACATAGGTTAAAAATTAGTTCTTGTCTACAACTTCGTAGCACTCGTAGCCAACAGACTACGCCGTAGTACATCCGTAACTGCTACGCCGCGTAGTCTATCGTACACCATTTCTTTTGGTTTACCTGATGAATGCTATCCTGGCAGGATTATGTGAGGAGTCAGGAGCCACTGTTCTGCAGAAGAGAGGGAACTCTGTTCTGTCACTCAGTGCTGGTGATGTTGAGCCGAACGATACCTGTAGAAGATAAACAAATGTTTATTGATGATGTCTTGCAATATTCTCAATTGATTAGGTTAGTATTGAAAATAATATAAAGCTTAAACACAGACACTAAATTAATACTAAAAATAATAATATTATAACATGAACACTAAATTTATACTGAAAATAATAATATTATAACATGAACACTAAATTTATACTGAAAATAACCGAATGTGTTCTGTACAAGGTCAAAGAGAATTAAAATTAATGATCTTCTGGATGCTTCAACTGAAAGGTATTTATTAATAAACATATTTAGTAGGTATGTCCATATATATCCAATAATTATTATAAACGCGAACGTTTCTACGTGCCATTGTATGTATAGAACGTATGTATCTATGATACTTTTTTACGTATAAATTTCTAAATGGACCTGAATGAAATTTGCATAGGATACATTATAATCTGGAATAAATTATTTACTTCTTATTGCCCTGGTACTATAGGAGAAGCCGTTGACAAAAAATAATCACTACGTACTATAAAACAAAGTCGCTTTTTCTGTCCAAATATCCCTATGTATGGTATGTTTAAAAGTACGCCATGGATTTTGATATGGCTTTTCATAGAGTGATTGAATATGTATAAAACATCACTCAATTTTTTTTATGTAATTGGTCGTCAAAAGAGCACACGCATTACCTGATGGTAAGCAATCAACGCCACCCATGGACACCCGCAACGGAGGAGTTACGAGTGCGTTGCCGACCTTTTAGGGATTAGGAATTTGGAGATTTAGAAGGATTGGGCCTCCGGTAACCTCACTCACACGGTTGTTTTACGCCGGTTTTCTGTGATTCCGTGGTATCACTCCGGTCGAGCCGACCCATTCGTGCTGAAGCATGGCTCTTTCACACTTAAATATAAAAATATACAACACCAAATAGTTGAGAAATTTAGTATTCGCATTGCACCCGTGCGAAGCCGGGACGGTTGTATGTTATAAATCATTGTTGTAATTAACCATTGTCGTCAGTAATCACTCTACTAATGAACAATGACTACTACAATCATTAACTCATGTGTGAAATTAATTACTATGATTGATAGGCCCGGATTAGGGTCGTCACAGTTGTTTCATCGTATAAAATGTCAAAGACTAAATCAAATTATTTATTTCAAATATATTACTATAAATGTGTAACAAAGCGCAAATCTCATGAACGGCTGAATCGTTTCCTGTGATTATTGTTGAGTTTCTTAAGGAAGAAGGTTCTTCTGTAATAAAATTTTAAAAGGTTCAATCATAAAATACAGCTCCTGTCGTGGTATTATGTGAAGAATTTTGCGAAGCTTTTAGTGATTTTTAGTTACTAAATAATAAATGCATATAAGCTACTGAAAGTTTGAATGATACGGTAATAATACAAGTACATTGTTACACAAGTATTGTATTATGATGAATGTATTTAATATTTTATCGTGTAAACAATTGTTGGTGAGCCAAATAATTAAAATAAATAAAAATAAAAAAATACCTACTATTTCTGTTAATTTATAAATTAATGACGACCACCACCAGATTACCTTTTAATTGGAAAAAGCATTTTGCATTTCACAATTAATCACACAAATGTCTTCTATAAGTCCTTGTTTATTTTTTTACTGACAAAACTTCTACTTTAGTATTAGTGTGTACAGTGTACAAATACATAAATTTAATGAGGTCCGATGTAGATGAAAGCTAGTTTTTTACAGTTGTGACAACCCTGTATGAGACTATTGTTGTTGTTAGATTAATACATATAATATTAAGGTCACGATTGACCACAACTGATTATGATTGGGAATTGATTAATTCTAAACTGCCAGACGAACTCGCATCATTTTTATATTATTTATATCTGAATAACATTGTGTTCTAAATAGAAAAGTCCTTGTAACAATATTAGAACTTATTTCAAGAACATTAAGAGTCGTTTTTGTAATTCAAATGTAATCTTGTTGATGTTTTATTAAGTAGATATTATTGTTTTGAGATTATTTTGTATTTTATTTTTAAAATATTATATGTTTACTGTATTATAGTTAAATTGCGATTCTATTATATTTATAATATGTAATTTCATTAAATATGGAATAGAATAAAGCCACATTTAATGTGGGAGAGCAATGTTACGGCACGAATGGCTCGGCTCGACCGGAGTTATACCACAGCCTCATAGAAAACTGGCGTAAATCTACCGTTGTGCTTCGCCGTGTAAGTGGGGTTACTGGAGGACTAATTCTTCTTCTCCCCCATCCTTTCACAATCCCAAAATCTTCGAAACCTTAATCCCTAAAAGGTGGGCAAGGCACTTGTAATTCGTCTGGTATCGGGTGATCATGAGCAGCATTGATTGCTTACCATCAGGTATCGCCGATCTACTATCTGCCCATTTGCCAATCTTTCATGTATAAAAAAAAGATCTAGAGATCAGCTTCAAACACATGAGGAGGATAAGGTGATTTAAATGACGAATAAAATAATATGGCAATATTTATTCATATTTAGATTTAATATATTTTTTTAACTCTTACTGAAATAAAAAAGGAAACAACTATTAAGAAACATGGAACTAAAGTAAAGTATCAGATATCCACTAAAGTGTAACAGACACACGACGTAATTCAATCAAAAAACACCAATCCAGTGTGAATTCCCCAAAAATTGTAACAATACGTTGAATGGAATCACATCTCCTCATCCTAACACAATTACTAGCATAACAAACCGACCCGAAATTCAAATAGTGGTTTCACCAATTCAAATTTAAACCCTATTTTTCCAACACTACAGCTGTAAATTGAATAATACCACTCAGATGTTCCCTATAGACGGAAAATCGAGTTGTCTACCTAGGCTAGCTTCGTTTGTTGGAGATGACGTCGATGCCGGTAGCAGGTAAGTACCGGATTGAAGTAGCGAGAACTGGTTCAAACTGGTTTTAAGCGGCTACAGTTAGTTCGTGACTAATTTGCGGGTAGTTGGTGATTTTAATTGTTAGAATTTTTCATATAGGTTTAAATTAAATATGTTTTAGAATAAGTTACGTTATTTTTATGTTTTGTGGCAGTTATAAATGAGATTTTGTAGTGAATTTATTTACATTTATTATGTATAAATAATAATAGAATTATAATGGTCGATCCATTAGAATTTTGTAATAACGTGATTGATGAAAAGTGGGTGTTTATGTGCCTTTGGTAAAATAGATTACCTATCTAAGCTTTTGTGTCGAATTGACCATGATATAAAATTGTTATCATAAAGGTAAAATTCTATAGAAAGAGTTTCTGAAAAGAACTTCTAACGAGCAGTCTGTATAAGAAAGATTTTTTTAAATGAAATAGTTCGCCAAACGATCTGACGGTTTACCTGATGGTAAGTAATCGGCGCCGTCCCAATGGAGTTACGAGTGCATTGTCGACCTTTTGGGGATTAGGGTTTCGGATATTTAAGGATTGGGGAGGGATGGGGAATAGGGAAGGATTGGGCCTCCAGTAACCTCACTCATAAGGGAAACTCAACGCTGTCGTTGTTTCACACTGGTTTCCTGTGAGGCCGTGGTATAACTTAGGTCAAGCCGACCTATTCGTGTCGATGCTTGGTTCTCCCATACTTAAGTTATAATAATGACGAAACTCCAACCTTTTAAAACATACGAAACATTTTTGGTGCAAAAAAATAAAGATGGCGGTGAAGTATAGAGATAGTAGCTATTGTTACACTTAGTTATATGTTTTTTTTAACTAACCTATATCTATTGTAACAAGCAATCTATACTCATCGAAAAAGTATCTATTCAGTTTCACTTACTTAATTGGAAAACTTTAACAACCCTTTATAAGAACTATTTAGAAAAGTGTAGCAAACTTTTTGGGCTTTCGCCGAAATAGGAGGCTGAAACCCGTATCGAATGAAGATGTTATATTTTACATAGTAATGCTCCTTTATTTCAAACTTTATAGTTTTGATATAAAGTCCGAAATCCAATAACTTAACGTGACGGATTGAGCGAGTTGGCGAATGTACGTTAGAGGTTAGTTAGTGTTTTTTTTTAAGGAATAGTGTAGCTAAATATTGCCAATTTGCCGCGTCATAAAACGTCCTCAAGTAAAAAAGGGTAAAATATCTTTCCTTTTTTAGTTCATACCCTTTATACCATGATGGAGGAATACAAGGATTAACCCTGGATTTTCAATGAATTACAAGATTGTGTATCAAGTAAGAACCACTCCTGAAAATCGAATTAAGTTTCGTAATGTTTGCTTGAAACTGTATTTTATTATTCAAGTTCTGGTCTAATTGGTTATAAGAGTTTAATGTCGTCTTTAAATGATTTTACTTACTTAAAATACTTCTTATTATTTTGTCTCTGATTATTAACGGACTAGCTTACGCCCACGGCTTTGCACGCGTATGAAAGTAATGTGTTCCGAGATTGAAAGAATAAACAAACTCAAGTATTGTAGCCTATACACTCAAGAACATTGTAGCTATCTATCAGTGAAAGAATTATTGAATCCGATCAGCGGTCCAAAAAATTACATCCTAAATACAAACTTACGCAAATATCTTCTTTTCCGAACAAGAAAAAACGTGAAAGAACGATTTTGGAAATAGTCAAATATTTCGTCAGGTGACCTAGTCAGGGGAAAATTCGAAAAATCAGAGTTTGAAAATTGGGAATTGGAATAGCATCCAGGCCGATGGCTAGTAAACAGTTTTTCTCGAACGTGGTATAGAGAGAAACTGGGAAGCGCCATGTTTTTGACGGCGTCGAGTATGAGCAGTGAAAATTGGATGTCCAGTGCACGCTTTGAAGAGAAACTGATTTTATGAAAATACACAGAGAATTTAGAATTTGTCGTATGTACGCGGGCTGCTCGTAAACTTCTACGATTCTCAGATAAAATAGATTGAAGCACTTATTCGTTCCTTTTACTGAAGCCCAGTATAAGTTGTTTTGGGTTTTTAATGCTCTCTTGTGACTTCGTTTAGAAGTATCTTTTTGCGTATGGACCCGAACAATGAGAGTGGACATTATTTAAGTACGATGACGTCGCGCTGCCAATTGAGCAGAAAATTTCATAACGTGTTTATTTGATTGATTGTAGGCTACAAAATTATTTAATTTTATGTATTTATGCTTTGTTTAAAACCTTTAAGAAACTGTCTACATTAATTATATACCAGCTACTCTCGCGTGGTTTTACCCGCTGCTCTAGCCAATAGCACTCAGGAATATTGTAGCTATCTATCAGTGAAAGAATTTCGTCAATCTGACCAGCGGTTCCAAAGATTACCCCTACATACAAACTTACAAATTTTACCTCTTTATAATATTAGTATAGATTACTTATAGATAAAATGCATACAGTAGACGGACTTATTACAAAATGGTGATTTCTTTCTCCCACCAAATAAAGGCAGTTAATGATGCTATATTTAACTAGTGCCCCGCCCTGGCTTCGCAGTGCTTTCCCCCCGTTCCTTCTCTTGCTCCTAGGCTGAACTTCGCTTGCCCTGTAACCCCGGCTGAAGCTTCGCACTGATGCAATACTGATACTAAACTTCCTCGTCAACCACTCTCTATCTACATATTTATTAAAAAAACGTACTTATAAAAATCCGTTGCATAGTTTTAAAGTTTTAATCATACATAGAGGCAGAGAAAGCGTCTTTATTTTTATGCTATGTAGTGATATATGTATGTGTGTGTGTGTTAATATTCTCCACATGTACTTACTTACCTGCACTATATTCCAGTAAGGTACAATCTTGGCGATGCTTTCCGTGACCTCGGAGCAGGCTGTGCCAAGTAACATCACCATGCGGGAATCCCTCTCTGTGTAAAGAGCGTGGAAGAAGCGATCCACGCCCACCCCTGGATCGCACTGGAAACAAAACTAATATTCAAATTCAAATTCTTTATTAGGATTCCATATGTGAAACTAGCTACTCTCATGCGGTTTCACCTGCTCTGCTCCTTTAGATCTTAGCGTGAAATTTTATAACCTATATGTAGCCTTCCTCGATAAATTGACTAACAAACACCAAATGATTTGTTCATTATTATGTTTTTGGCTTACTAACGTAATAATTTGACCAGATGCCTGACAGTCGCCGCGTCGCGTGACGCATGGCATGGCATGGCTTGAAACTAGTCGAGTATCTCGTCAAATTATTACGTGAGTAAGCCGAAAACATAATAATTAATTTAGAACGTCTCACGAAAGTTATAATTAAAAAAAGATTTGTTCAATTCGAAAACAAACTTAAGAAATTAACTATAAATCCCGGGTTACTCACGTGTATATATTGAGAAAAGCTCTACTAGTTTCGAACCACAGAGGGGTTCTTCCTCATGAGCAGCGTGCGCGACGTCGCCGCGTCCGCGCACGCTGATTTATAGTTAATTTAGTATCTCTCACGATAGTTATTATAAAAACTTAAGAAACTAACAAATTCTACAGCTTAATAAATGTAATAATATAGTAATAGATGACAGGTGGTACATTATACGAAAGGATTTCTTATTATTATTTATTTATTTTATAATGTCTTTACGCACAAAATTGTACAAAGGTGGGCTTAATGCCATGGGCAATCTCAAGCAGCCAAACCTTTGGGTGATGCAAAGATAAATTAAACGGTGCACAAAACAAGCATCTGTAGAGACATTATATATAGACTTACACAAATATGTGTAAATAAATATATTATTAAAACTTATACAAAAATGTCTAAACATCAAATACTTAAAGCATCAAATTCTAGAATTTAGAAGCCTAAGCCACATATAGTTAAAGTTGGAAATAGAATGCAACTTCTAAAGTTTCACAGACAGAATAATTTAGATGGTGTCTCACACAGACTGTGGTCGAGTTAAACAGAAAAGTTTTAGAATGGGGCACTTTGCTAACGCTTGTTGCTAAAACGCTTGTCAGAGATGTAATGTACGGGGTTGCGGGTGCATACGCAATGATAGGAGGTAAGTGTCTGACACTCCCTCACGCTCCACCCAAGGGAGAAAATATTTGATGATCATTTCCACCTCAGAAAGTTTCAGTTTCTGAAGACACAACTGCACCGACGGGTCATAAGACAATTCAAATCGTAATCTTACTCATATTATTAATGCGAAAGTTACGATGTTTGGATGTTTGTTGCCCAATCACGCCAATACGGGTGGACAGATCTGGATGAGATTTGGCACAAGCATAGGATACACTCCGGAATAGGACATGGTCTATTTTTTATCATCATACAATGCGGGCGAGTAGGTTGTGAGGACTAGTATGTGATAAACGGATGATAAGTGTACCTTGATTTAAACAGCTATTATGAACGGCATTTTCGAAAAATATGCACTCGCGTTTAATTACCAAAAAATCTATTCAAAAACCAGTTCATCGTGGTCTCGCTCAGTATGATACTTTTATATACTTATGGGCCTGATTTTGTTGGCCCTTGTTTTAGATTTTTTTAGAAGGGTATATCATCAAATGGCCTTTTTTGCCCAGGGGAGAAAAGCGAGCGGGAATGCCACACTCTTACTGACTAAACCTTCCCTCTCCCGTTCTTTCTCCTTCTCCAGGCCGAGGCCACGGTACCCTATTGAGCTTGATCGGCAACCCCGGCTAAATATCAGCTAAATATAATATAAATACCCTTTTGGGCCCCATCTATCCCAGCCATATTTGTACTTGTATACTGTAACTCACCTTAGTATCATTGGTGATAAGATGCAGTTTGTATCCTGGCAGTAGACCGCGTTTGTTGACATGATCTACAGCCAGCCTTGCAGCAGCTAGTTCGGAGACACCATCAGCTCTTGGAGCATCCCCCACTGACAGCTCGAAGAGACCCAGGATGGAGACTATGCGGTTTGACTTCGCTTTTGGTAGATCTGTGGAAGAGATGGACGGCTTAATAATACGTTATAACAATTTGTTACATGTGTTCATTGAATGTGAAATTCAGCAATCTTGCATCTTTTAAAAATTTATGGTTTATCGGGAGTCTGAATTTAAAAACAAAGTACCGCACGGTTGGCGCGGTGGCTGGGCAACTTGTTGTGCCGGGTCTAGGTGTGTGTACATGAAATTGTATGTTTGTAAACGCACTCACTACATAGGAGAAAACCTTAGTGTGGGGCGGGATTTTTTTTAAAAAAAAACCCCAATCCAAAAACCCCTAACCCCAAAAGAGCAGTAACACACTTGTAACTCTGGCGCCGCCCATGGACACGGGCGGCGCCGATTGCCCACCATCAGGTAATCCGTCTGCTCGTCGGCAGACCTATGCCATAAAAATCAGTTTCACCAATAACCTAAAATTTATTTTTTCCAAATCCCTGAAAAATATATGTATAACATTGTTCGACATTTTAGTTTAAAAAGTTTTATTAATTGCGTTGATCGCTTTGACCTCGACTGAAAAAAACTCTATAGAAATCGACATTTAATATCCTTTCCAAAGAAAAACTTTTTATTAAATTATCATTATAGGTATCAAGGTTATAGAAATTTGGTTTTCGCCAAAAACGAGTAAAAAGGGACTTGGTAATCTCCTTGACGCCTTTGTGTACGGAACCTTTACAAGAAGCGAAAAGGGTTCCCTTTCGGAAAGACAAACATCTGACGCCATCCGTTAGGGCTTAGCTGATTTACTTCATATTTTGGGTAAAATATAATGTGGAATAAACGTATATATCGTTCCTAATATTTTATGTAACACTTACAGATGTTTTTTTGTGATGAATTGCTTAGAAGCACGCAATAAGAAAATGTTATGTATGTGGGTGGCTCCATCCTCATCATCGTGGTCCCATCCTCGTCGCCAGTGATAAATACGGGACACGTCAATGAAACAAGGCAGTTCAACGCAGACTGTTTATTCACTAATTATTTACAGTTACCCACAAATGTACATAACATCATCTTAAAGCCACCCACATACATAACACCTTTCCTTCCTAAATTGCAAGTAAACTTAAGTACAACACAGTCCTAGGTATCACACTAGGATATTCAAAATAATTAATAATAATACATGTTTCGTTACTTAAGTGTTAAGGCTGCTACATGGTAGAATCTATGTAGTAGGTTAGTACACAATTAGTGAAAACACAAAACTATTTTATATAAGTATATATATCTATATGGCATTTATATGGTAGTCTTTCTACGTTTGTGACAATTCAAACATAACTGCATTATCATAAGTACTACTACATTTTTTTAAGCATCTCCTGACATCGAATAGCCGCTTTCCTGCGCACACGAGTATTGTAGGTGCAGGCGACGCGGACGCCGGTGGCGGCGAGGGTGCGTTTGGCCGAGATTGCATCTCGCACCCTGCTCCCTCCCCCACACTATCAAAGAATTCCTCTTTGTCGTCCACCTCTTCCGGACGTTCCGTTTGCTGAGTTCCACCAGTGCAATTTTGATCGTAGGATGATATCTCAACCGCCTTACTTAAAGAATGTCGCGATTTGCGCGTATGTAACTGGTCCATGTGCCTCCTATGGACTTGGCCATCATTTGATTTCACTGTATAAGAAACAGGTCCGGTACGCTCAGTCACAACGCCCTCAGTCCATTTACGATTTGATTTGGTGTAATCTCGTAACATGACGGGCTCATGTTGTGTTAGCGTCCGCAGCGGGCGTTTGTGATTGGTCTCACGCTTCAACTGCTCGCTGCGCACCCGCTCAGCTGCATCAGGCCGCAGAAGATCAAGGCGCCCTCGCAAACGTCTACCTAAGAGAGCTACTGCCGGTTCAAGTCCGGTGGTACTCTGTTCTGTATTTCTATACATAAATAGAAATCGGCTTAATGCCGTATTTAAATCTTCTCGTTCTAAATGGGCCTTTTTGAGAATACGTTTAACAGATCTTACTGCGTTCTCCGCAGCACCATTTCTAGCAGGGTGATATGGGGGTATTAAAGTATGTTTGATACCGTTTCGTTGCAAATATTGAGCAAATTCAGAGGATGTAAATGGTGGCCCATTATCGCTTACCAAGCGTTTAGGCAAACCAAAGCGAGCAAATACCCGTCTCAAATAATCTCTAACAATAGCTGCAGAAGTAGTGTTCACTTGCTCCACTTCTATCCACTTAGAGTGAGCATCAATGAGAACAAAATAATATTTATTATTAAATGGTCCTAAAAAATCTACATGCAGACGCGACCACGGTTCGGCCGGCCAGGGCCACGAGTGTAACGGAGCAGCGGCGGGCGCGGGGCGCAGCTCCCTGCAAGCCACACACTCGTGCGTCACGCGTTCGATGTCTGCATCTATGTTTTCCCACCACACATAATTGCGTGCTATTTGTTTCATTTTGACGATGCCTGGATGTCCGTCGTGAATCTCAGTCAAAACTAGTTTTCGTAAAGATTTAGGTACCACGATACGATAGCCCCATATAATGCAACCTTGATCAATGTGCAAACTATCTCGCCTATTATAATAAACATTTTCTATTATATCAGCCCCTTTGTCAGTGGGCCACCCGTGCATTATAAAACCGTATATTTTGGATAATAATGCATCCTTTCGCGTCTCAGTTTTAATATCTTTAAAACTAATAGGAAAGTGTTCTTGAACGAAGTTTAAATAACTACATTCCTCGCTTTTGCCTTTTACTTGACAATTTTTCAAGTCTAAAGGAAGCTGAGAAAGAGCGTCAGCAAAACAGTTTTTTGATGACGTTACGAATTCGATATCAAAGTCGTAAGCGGCCAGTTTTACAGCATAACGCTGTAAACGACTTGCGGCGGTCACTGGTATTCCTTTGTTTTTGCCGAAAATATAACTTAAGGGCCTGTGATCGCTGCGCAGTGTGAAGTGTCTGCCATATACATACTGATGGTGTTTAGTCACCCCAAATATAATGGCCAGCGCCTCCTTGTCTAGCTGCGAGTAATTGACTTCGGCCGAGTTGAGCGTCCTTGAGGCGCAACACACCGGGCGCTCGCAGCCATCAGAGTGTCGCTGTGTCAACACCGCGCCCACGCCGTATGCACTGCTATCGACTGATAATATAAGCGGAAGGCTTGCGTCATAATGGGCTAATACAGGAGCGCGGCTTAACACTTTCTTTATTTTAATAAAGGCCCTACTACACTCATCATTCCATTGCCATTCGACATTTTTCTTCAATAAACTATAAAGTGGCTTTAAAATATCGCTCATATTAACACAAAACTTTGAGTAAAAATTCACAAGCCCCATAAAACTCTTAAGTTGTGTAACGTTAGTCGGCTCAGGTGCTGCCACAATGGCATCAATTTTTTTACTATCTGTGTGTAATCCACGTTTATCAATCTTATACCCTAAATAAGTAACACTACTCTTGAAAAATTCACACTTAGCGAAATTGATTCTTAAGCCATTTTGATTAAGCCTATGCAGCACCGCTTTTAAATTAGCTAAATGTGTAGTTCTGTCCTTGCCTGTAACACAAATGTCATCTGCAAACACTGCCGTTGACGGCAACCCAGCTAAGATCTCCTCCATGATTTTTTGAAAGTTTTCGGGTATGCATTTAATACCGAATGGAACTCTTCTATAAACAAAAGTACCAACGTGAGTAGTGATTGCCGTCATGGGCTGTGAATCCTCATGTAAAATACATTGTTGGAAAGCATTGGATAAATCTAATTTAGTATATTCTTCTCCACCCCCTAATGTCGCGAACAAGTCCTCAATACGGGGCAGCGGGTAGTGATAATCTTTTAAAAGTGGATTGATTGTTATCTTGTAATCACCGCATAATCTTATATTACCGTTAGCTTTAACTACTGGCACAATAGGCGTGCCATAGTCAGATCGTTCCACTTTATAGATCACCCCCTCCCGCTGCAGCCGCTCGAGCTCCTGCTCCACAGGATGGCGTAAGGCCAGCGGCAACGACCGCGCTTTAACAAAAACCGGTGTATCATCCTTTAGGTATAACTGAATTTTAGTTTTAAATGTGCCTAAACCTTCTGCAAAAACTTGTGGAAATTCACTACGTAATTCAACAGCCACCGAGTCGGTATCAGTTAAATTGTAGCATTCGAACAGTGCTAACTTTAAATGTTTGATCCAAGTCCGGCCCATCAGTGGTGGGCCACCGTTATCAATCACATATAACTTAAGTTTTACAAATTGTTTACCACATACAACATTGACTACAATATAACCGACCGTCTCGATAATATCACCAGTATATGATTTTAAAGTTAACATCTTATTTTCTATCGGTACATTAGAGAAGTTATTTTCGTAATAACATTTCGATATAACAGAAATCTTACTTCCCGTGTCTATTTCGAATCTACATTTAATGTTTTCAACAAACAATGTTGCATAATAAGGTCCGTCACCTTCACTATTAATTAATAAATTATAGAAATTACAACTGCCACCATCCGAGTCCGAGTCATTTAAAAAAAACTGACCTTTAGATCCTTTTGTTTTCTTATTTTTTGTACACACCGCTTTTAAGTGACCTTTTTCACCACACACATCACAACTATATTGCTTAAACCGACACTTGCCTTCCGAATGACCTAATTTTCCACATCGCGAACATGCGCGCTGCGCCTGCGCTCGGCCCGAGCCTGCGCCCTCACCAGCGCCGGCGCCGCCACCGCCGGTACCGCGCCGGCCGCCTGCCCGGCCGCCGCGCGACGTGTCAGCGCCCGCGTATATTCGATGCAAGCCGTCGTCTTCGTGCTGTGCTGCCGCGGTGGGCTGCGCAGCTGCCATGCTGGCCGAAGCACACGCCGTAGCTGCGTGCCGCTCCGCCGCCTCCAGCGCCAGCGCCAACTCCACGGCGCGCTTGTAGTCAATACTCTTTTCTGCGAAGATCCTTGACCTCATGTCCTCATCAAATAGTCCCGATACAAATTGATC